GGAATTGAGCATACAAGAGATTCTGATTAAAATAATTCCATATGTAATCCCGTTGAGATTGATGAATTGTGAAGGTTGTGAATATTTTTCCATATGGAAAATTCCTGTACGGCATCCAGCAACACGTTGAGAAGCATAAGAAACACTGCAATAGTGAATATTTTATGAAATTGGAAAAGAATATTTCAACATTGTTCGGGAATGAGTGTTTCCTAGTGACAAATTAAACACATTTCTCGACACTCCACCTCTTTCTATGACCTCGTTTCCATTTCTTTCTGCTCTCATGCCACAAATAGGTGATATTAAAGTGTGTTTATATGATTTTTCGTACTCAAGGAAGTTCAGATGATATCTGCCAGAGCGATAGTCCTTCAAGACACTCTTCCAACTCATGCAAGAGCACATCGCAGATTTATTGTGAAATAATTTAATTAACTCCAATGATGCGATATTTGGTGTGCAATTTAGAGGGAGTTGGGCAATAGTGCTGCCCATTTACAATTTTAGAATGTTGGACTGCCACTTGTGCAATTAATCGTTCAATTTATCTCGTTTCATGGGGACAAATTTCAAGAAGTGATTGAATTTAGTAGCCTTGCTCACTGTCTCACATTTTATTTGCGCAAATGAGTTTTGTGAGCATTTGTCAACGAGTAAATTATTATTTTACACTTTTACACAAAGTGTCACTGTGAATTCGCTCAATGTTTTTGTTGTATTTTCCTCAACTCCCATTAAGTCTGATCATTGCCTATTTCATCATGAAAGGAATAGAGCTTCAAAAGTAGTTGGTTTTCTATAATGACAACATCCGGTTTTCTTTCTATGTCCTCGCGGTTGGGAAAAAAAACACAGTAATCCGCAGTTTTTCCTCGCTGAATCTATTTTTGCGAAATGTTCTCACTTTCTGTTTGTGTATCAACAAGAAGTCAATCATAATAAATGAAAATACTACATGGAATATCAAAACACACATCCCATGGGGACGATGTGTGTAATAAATTATAAATATTGTAGGAAAATTCTCAATTTGCAAGTCTTTCCTGCTGCTTTATGGCGGTGTATTTATTCTCTGGCAATCTTCCTCTCTTTTTAAATATATAGAACAGACGCTCTTCTGATAATTTGTGTTCCTCGTGTAATATTTATATGTAAATAAGAGAGACAGTGAGAATGTTTGGCAATGAGTTGATTGTGAGTTGAACTTGAGAAGACATAATCGGAAGTAATTTTGATATATTCCATGGATTTTTTCTGCATTAACCCTTGAGCTGTTTTACTAATATTTCGACCTCTAATCAGTGTCTAATCAGAATATGATTTGTACTTCTCCAGTGCGCAATTACCGCGCCAAGTCACATTTAGTGCGTTCCACCTTTTTATTAATCCGGGCTCCAGCACACATGATATGATTTGCTTTTTCCCCTCAGTTGTTTATATACTGGCCCAAGGGAATTAAGCCATCTCTCGATTGACATGGGATATCTGTCTCTCCGATTATATTTCAATATTTATAACCACAGGGCTGTGAGGGAATCAGTTTTCGCTGACGTGAGAGCTGTGGCATAACGAAAAAAACAACAACTGGCGTAGAGATCTTTCTTATTCATAAATGTGCATTCAATCTGCAATTATTGATAACCTCATGTGTTTCAAGTTCAAACACACGCTGCAATTTTCAGTTCAATTTTAATCTCTTCTTTGATTCACTAACAAACATGCTCTTAGCAAATTGAATATTCCATTAGGATTTCTGGCTGTTTCGTGGGGACTCTTAAGATTCATGGCTAAGCTGAAAAATATACAATTCAAAGTGAAGCGCTTTGTCAGTTGCAGATCAGAGTCCATGTTAAAACACCAAATTATCTCACAGATCATTTAAGATGTTACCAACGAGAGAGCTGGGGCGAGTCGAGGGGGTGTAGTTATTTTTAGACATGATGATAATCTTTAACTCATGCAAGGTTATAAAATTCGCTTGACAAAATTTTCATACTCGAGATAAAAAAAAAGTTGGCAGAAGGTGTGCGTTACCTAAAGACAGGGAGAGATTGGAGTGCAGTTGACGGTAATCAAATAAATTCACGGTGCTAGCAGAAATGTGATAAAGATGATGAGAACATTTCCAGTGATAATGAAATTACACCTAAGTCACTGCTATTCACATGACGCCAATCGTTGTTGAGTAAAAATACGCTCAGTGATAAGACAGGAAAAGTGAATCAGTGATTTTTATATCACGCACTCGAAATTCTAAGAGTGTGGCTGTAAAAATATAATCTTTTATAGATGGAATAAAGGGGGTGTGTCATTATGCATAACCACAGCAATAGTGACAAAATGTGGATTAAGAGCAGCAATTTAGCATGATTGGCGAGCTAAGTTTAAGCGTGACGCGAGGAGTACATTGTGCTCGGTCGAAATCACTTGCCTGTAGAATGATTAATGAGCAAACAATAGTGTGAGGATTCCTGAGTTGATGCTTTGGCTTTTGGTGCACATGATAAAAAAGAGTCAGTCATGCCGTTGTTCACGTGAATGAAATGGCCGATTTAATTACTTGATAAATTTTTATTTAGACGACAAAGGTGGAGTTTGGCACCAATTTGACATGGTCGGACGGGCAAAAAACCGTGAAATGTCTTAAAAACTGATGGTCTCATGAATTTTTGCGAATTCGTGTGTAGGATGTCTTCTCGTCTGTTGAGAAGTGGAGGAAGGAATTAAGAGAGAGAGGGAGAGGAAAAAAAGTTACAGTGGAAATGGCTCTTTTTTGTTAATCTGCTTTGCAAATGACATTACCGCCAGTGCCACACACAATTTCGTGCGCACATTCGAACTTTGATAGTGATATCACTGAGTACACATTAATATCAGTAGCAAAAATCAATGAATTTGTCAAATAGCTGATTTGTCATGCTTAAAGTTTAATTTTCAATCAATTAGCAGAGCAAGAAACATTTCATCGAGCAGTTGTTGTAAATTTTGCGCCTAGTTTCGTACTTTCGTGTCATTGAATAAGCGAGATTATTGACTTTTTCTGCCTGGCACCCTTATCAAATTTCCAGAAATAGACGCGGTTGGCATTTTTCGTGGGCAGTTGAGAAAAGAAAATTGATTTCAAGTTGAGAAAATGTGTCACAAATTGCACTTTGAGTTGTGTGAAAGTCACAATTAACCTTCACGCGAGAGGAGAGTGTGATATTTTTTCGAGTGACTTTCCACCACATTTCCTGCGATATTTCACTTAACAATATTGTTCCCCAGTTAATTGTGAAAAAATATATGTGTGAAGAGATTGTGAAAGCACATGGTCAAAAGATGACATTTCGCTTCTCGCCACAATCGTCATTTTCTCAGAATCCATCTTCTTCCAATACGCTCACAATATGTATAACACTCGATATATAGTGATAAAATGAAGTCTATTTCACAATATGATTCTCCAGATTGTGACAATTGGAAGTGTACACTCTGTTCCATTGTAAACGCGACAAGCATGTGTTGCGCCAAGAATGGGACACCGAAAATTGACATCAGCGAAGGAAAATATTCTGAATTTCTGCGAATAGACACCCACGCAAGATGGGGGAGAATTTCGATGGAACTCATCCATTGACTGCTTGTTTTGATCTTTTCACCCGAAATCATGCGAATATATATGGTCTATGTTCCAATTAAAAATAATTGCTGTAGCATTGGACGAAAATGTGAGCTGAAGAATGCAAAGAAAGCGAATATACAAGGTAGAATGGGGCACTTAGAATATTTAGCATTCACTCCATATCACGGTGTCTGTTCGTGTTGTTACATTGTGTTTGAGAGTGTGAAAAAAAAACCGCGGAGTCACGTGTATTTCGTGCTTTATTATAACTTTTACGTCAGCCACGGAGCAGAAGTTGCGTCAGGCACGTTTTGGCGGTGTGGCTCTCTCGTGGCTATCAACTTCTCTACACGATGAGCAATTTTGTGCTGAGTGTCTCTGAGACGGTCCCCAATTTCTTCCCCATTCAAGTGTGTCATTAGATCTCACAACCACATGAGACCCATGAGACTCACTCCATGGCCGAGTGCTGGAGTGTGTGCGATTGTGTTGGGCAATTTCGGGCTCGTGGACGAAATACGCGCTCTGCTGATAACAATGCTGGAATCAGTACAGCGCCAGAGAGAGAGAGAATGTCATGCGAAATGTATTCTATCTGAATGTCAATGACGCCTGGGGTATTTTGCTGCTGTGGATTTAGCTTTAGTGGGAAAAAATGTATGAATCATTGACCAAATGGATGGATAGGTGCGACTCTTCCAAAGTCCATTGCGGCGCGAAGATAGGCGGCTCTTTAGACTTATTAATAACTGACATGATTTGCGTAAAAAAACCACAAGTTTAATGCTCCATTCACGCCATGGAGAGATGAGTTGTTCACTCTCTTTTTCTCAGAATCCGCCAAAAGTTATTCCATGTGGAATATTTTTAATTTCGAAAATGTGTCTTTTTTCCCCAACCCAGTCAAAAATATGAAATATGACATGAAGCGGCCAGTTGAATGGCATTAAATATTAAATCAGTGCTCCGTGTGTAATTATTAAAAAGCCTGATGGTGCTGCGGAGGAAGTCTATTTCCAGCACATGAGGGACTCTTTGCTGACCCAAATTATCCTGCTGAATGAAATACCATAATACTAATAGCGCTCTTCCTCTTGCTTTCTCTTTTCAGACATGAGTACCTACAGTGAAGAAAATCGTCAACATCCCGTGCCTAAGGTGCGGCCTATACAGAATCATCTTTGACGCCTCATCAGTAATAGAACACAAAAAGTCAAAATAACCAATTGTAAAATTGCAGAAACTATCAAGCAGAACAACCTAACAACCATACGATTGTGTTTCTTTTACGTAAAACAAAATATCATCTGTACTTAATTATCAAAAAAAACAAACAGTGTAAAAGAAACTCCAAATCTGCAAATCAACAGTTCTACCAGCATCAGCAGTAAGAAATTTAATTCGAGATCAGACAAGAATCCTTTCTATAATCCTTTTCCTCCAAAGTAACCTACTTTGAAGAATTTCCTGAATTTGCATAGAATTTTTTTCGTGTATTTGTAGAAGAGAAAAAGTGTTTCAATCTCATTCATTTCAGTGAGAAAGAAACGTTTTTTGTGTACTTGCTCTGATTGATTGTTTGCCATTTTATCGATTGAGTACTTTACATTTAGCCTTGTAGTATTTTTTTCTAACTTAATTACACATTATATTATTTAGATAGAGAGAGAATAAGTGAAAAAGACACACATTGACGTCGGAGCGTGTGTGCCATTTTCCTTATTTGGCAAAAGTATCTCAATTTCCGAATTTTTGAAGGAAAATATCTCATTTTTTACACGACAAAAATACAAGAAAATCTTAATTTATTAATTTATTGATAAATTAGGGTACAAGTGACCCACTTTAGATCAGTTTAGAGGGGAGAGAATTTTTCTAGGAAAAAAAAATCTAAGAATGGCTGTCTATTCAAAACACTACATACCTGACATCATTAGGTTAAAACGCTAAAAATGTTTGTCTAGAAACCTCTAGAGGTGTGATATATTTTTGTTCTTAATTTTTTTAGCGTCAAGAAAATAGTAGATTTCTCAACCACTATTTTCCGATTTTCTAAGTTGACATAAAAAAACGTGAAGTTGTAATTAATCTATCCAGTTTTTTCCCATTGTTGTCAAGAATTGTATAATTTTTCTTTCCAAACACTTCAGTCAATTTGGTCCAAATATAACAAAAAAAAAGATTTTCTTGTGGAGGCAGAATTTGTATTTCTTCAACTTACGTAGAGTGTTGTAAAAGAGGCATTAGATTTATTTGTACAACTACTACAGCTGTCATTTGAGAAAGAAAAAGAGAGAGAGAAACTCAAGTATTTGATCCATTAGCAATTTTCCTATTATCCTTCCACAATCCAACAACTTGTCCTGAAAAAAGCAAACATCCAACAACAAAAGCCTTCTGATTCTCAACCATAGTGCAGAAGACTACGGCACAAGACCACACAAGCTAAGAGACAGAAAAAAGAGACTCTTAAGAGAAGAATATCCCGAAAAAAGAGGGAGAGTCGCATTAAAAAAGAAAGGAGTAAATCAGAGAAGCAAACATGGAACCACTGAGTGTGGCATTGCTGTGGCTGGTCATCGTGGGCTTCGTGATTGCCTTTGTCCTGGCATTTGGAATTGGCGCCAATGATGTTGCGAACTCGTTTGGCACCAGCGTTGGATCCAAAGTTCTGACCCTCCGTCAGGCCTGCTGGCTGGCAACAGTGTGCGAAATTTCGGGCGCAGTTCTAATTGGTAAATATACACACACACACATTATATCTCTTTCAAATTGTGAACAAACAATTATTAAAGCAATATTGCTTATCAATAACCGACACTTGCGGCGCGCGAAATGGCACAAAAGTGGCGAGTGAGGCACATTTTGGCAAGATCATTGATCAATAAACATGTGGCACTGAAAATACTGTTCAGTGACACATAAATTTATTTATACAGCACATTATTTCATTGATTGATGATCTCAGAGAGATGCAATTGATTAAACTTCTTTCCCAACGCATCGCGCTTCAACTCAATTCAATCAATTGATTCACTCTGGCATTTTGTGGTTCAAGCCATACAGAGAAGAAAAAAAAATCCAATTCGCGTTTTTCCCCTTTTGTCACATCAATTCATCATCTCCGCTGCACCGTTAAATTGCTATCAATTTAAATATTTTCGCGTGTTTGCTGTGTGCAAAATAAATCAGACTTTTTTACTGCCTAAATTAAAAATAAAGCTCGTGGAATTTTAAAAATAAGATCTCACCACGAAAACATCTCGAAAAATATTCGCTGATACTTCGAATTAAATAATTTATAAGCTCAATATTTTCAAGCAGACTTTATGTGGACAGTGCGCAGATATTGCAATCAATCTTGATTTGTGAGAAATGGAATTTTATTTAAAAAAAAAAAAAAGTGTGCAAGCGAGCGCCACGGGGAATGGGAGCTTTCTCAATGGTATTCTTTACCGGATTTCACATGCAATACTCGCATAATATTTTATAAATACAGCAAGTTGAATAGAGCTGTGCATTTTGCCCCCGTCAATGCCAAGGCGAGTCATCGATACATATATCAACATCGCTGGGCTATGGCGCATTTTTCCCTCAAAGCTCACTCACTCGCTCAAGCATAGAAAATGCAAGTTATTGCAACATTTTCACTGTCACACAGTTAACTTATATGTGTACATAATGCACTATGTACACAAAATGATGAGGGTGTTTCTAAATGGATTGGTAGCAGAGTAAATTAAATGATTGTTCTACTATCTCAATTATGCGCATAAATATACAATTGTGCTGCCAATACGACTGCACGGGCTGCAAATTGGAATTATACCTCATCACAGCATGAGTGTCTCTCGTGCTGTCTCATTTAGACCACTTTTCGTGTTATATAATGCCGTGTTTGACTGAATATAAAAATAAAATTCCTCTCAAATTGACGGTGATGATGATGATGACGAGAGGGTTGCGAGTGCACGCTACACTTAAGAAAATACTATTTGTAAGCATTTTCAATGCTTTTTGCACTCGGAAAATTGTATAGAGAGAAGAAATGCCGGGAAAGTGTCCTCGTTGAAGGTTGAAATATTGCAGAATGCTGAAATCATGTTATTTATTATCTTGTCTCTCTTGTAGGCTACAAGGTGTCTGACACGGTGAGGAAAGGCATTCTCGACGTGACCATGTACGAGGGTGCGGAGAAGGAGCTGATGTTTGGATGCGTCGCTGCACTGACGAGCAGTGCTGTGTGGCTCCTTGTGGCAACATTCCTTAAACTCCCCATTTCCGGGACTCACAGCATCGTGGGATCGACAATTGGCTTCAGTTTGGTGGCACGCGGCTTTCAAGGTATCAACTGGGCAACATTGGGCACCATTGTTGCTTCCTGGTTTGTGTCGCCCGTGCTGAGTGGTCTGGTTAGTACGAGTCTCTTCTGGTTCATGCGCAAGTTCATTATCACCGTGGAGAATCCACTGAGAGCTGGCCTCTTGGCGCTTCCAATCTTCTACGGACTCACTATCTTCGTCAATGTCTTCAGTATCGTGCACGATGGGCCCAAATGTAAATCAATCTCAATGATGAATCCTCATGCAATTTGACTAATATATTATATATTTGCAGTGCTGTACATGGACAACATCCCCACATGGTTGGCTGTTGTTGCGAGTATTGCTGTGGGACTCCTTGTGGCCGTGATCGTGCAAGTGTTTCTCGTTCCACTTCAGCGTCGTCGCATTCTGGGCATCCCGAAACCATCAAAGAAGCCCGTCACTTTCACCTTTGGCGATTCAGATGGTAAATATCTAACTAAATCTCTTCTATCTCTCTCTTCGCCGCTTTGGCACCACTATCAATTAATTCGTTCCGCAGACAAGAAGAAATTCACCATGCGTTTTTCTGTCCCCACAACAATAGCTGAATCCTCACCGGGTGGCAGTCCGAAGCGCGGCAAACGCCCACTGTATCTCGTGTGTGATGGCAAGCAATTGCCCGCCATCACAGAGACCACAGAGCTCGTTTCCCTCACGAATGGCGGCTGCTCACCACAGCCCAAGATCTTCTCTGACGCCAATCTGAGCAAGCACTGCGACCTCAATGGCTTCTCGAAGGGGACAGCCAATGGCAACTACAAGATCGATCCCAGTATCATTAAGCGAGCGGAGAATCTGCTGGGAAAGACCAGCTTGGACAACACGGATCTCACCATCACCAGTCTCAACTACATTGATGAGTACCAGAACGGCCTGTCCAAGAGCCCGCCCACGACAAATGCGATCAAGGAGCAGGAAATGGTTGATCTGTCACCTCAAAAGTGAGTCATTTTCACAGTTGTGACTCGAACTGTGTCACTAAAGTCACTGTAATCATTGCAGGAAAGACTATCTTGAGGTTGAAGGCGTTAAAGTTGATCCCACGAAGAAGGATCTGAGCACAGTGGAGAGCGGAGGAAGCCTCGATCATATGATTTCCACCACAATCTCACCCAATTCAAGTCGAGTCCCTCTGATTGCTGGCGGCGCCAATGCCGAAGAAGGTGGACCAATCAAGGCGAATGAGCCAAAGGACGTCTCTCAGCTATTCTCGTACCTTCAAGTTCTCACGGCCACATTCGGAAGTTTTGCCCACGGAGGAAATGACGTGAGGTATGGCGCATCTCTTATTGTCTGTTATCATAAATATTTTCCTTTCCATCTAATCAATGTACCTTGAAGCTTCGCGTGTGTGTTCTTGAGTAAACATGAAACAGTTTTGCGACGCATTTAAATGTCATTTTCCACCCCATAGTTACTCAATTGATCCAAATTCATTCAGTTCACTTGATTGCACGGTTAGTTGCATTTTGGATACGACTTGATTGACGGTCAAAGAGAATATGTAGGGCAGGTGAAATGGGATGATGAGGACTGAGGGGGAGGATTAGTGTGTAAATATCATTGGGCATGCTAATGTATTCTAATTTCCTTGTCGTTTTAGCAATGCCATTGGACCCCTCATTGGCCTCTATTTGATCTACAAGGATGGCTCAGCACTGCAGCACTCCGAAACGCCCCTCTGGCTTCTCGTCTATGGTGGCGTGGGCATTGCTGCGGGATTGTGGATTTGGGGACGTCGTGTTATTCAGACCGTTGGAAATGATTTGACTAAAATCACGCCGACAACGTAAGTTTCATTTTTATGCTGACAATTTGGCGCAAAGAGCTAATTGAATTTGGTGAGGAGAGAAAGATAAATAAAAAGAATGCTTCTCTCACCTTTAGGGGCTTCACCATTGAAATTGGAGCCGCCCTGACGGTGCTGCTGGCGAGCAAGATTGGCCTTCCCATCTCCACGACACACTGCAAAGTGGGTTCTGTGGTGTTTGTCGGCTATGCCAACACGTCCAACTCGTGCCGAACACCCACAGCGGATGATGAGGGCGCAGCCAGGGAGAAGGCGGTGGACTGGAGTCTGTTCCGGAACATCGTGTACGCCTGGGTGATCACCGTTCCCATTGCCGCTGCCCTCAGTGCTGGCCTTATGTTTCTGCTCGTGACGACATTGCTGTGAAGTGGCGGAGGCGCAGAGAGATGAGCTGAGCTGACATTTCAATCGTCTAATGAGCGCGCAGGAGAGAGAATGAGAACTAATGATATTTAACTTAATGCCTATTAAGCGCAAAAACAATTACTTAAAAACTTTGTTTTCGAAGATAGTCATCCGCAGTTTGTGTGGATGTCTCACAATATACTTTAGATGGATTGAGAGTGCAGGGGAGATAGAGAGTATCGGCAGCAGAGCGCGGCATTTGTTCGACAAGAAGCAAAAGACAAGAACGATGCAGCATCAAATGGTTTCTTTCAATTTTTATACTTAATCTATTAACACGTAAAGAAAATATTTGTTTATTGTACAATTAAGACCACTTAATTTAATCGCTGTGCGAAACATTTTGAGACAGTAAATAAATTAAAAAAAAAAAAGTTTTGTGTTAGAAAAATTACAAAAATGAATGTGAGCTGAAATTTTGCCAATTCTAACACACATGCATTTTAGAACGCTCCGTCGTAGTTAGACATTTTTTCTTTGATCAAGGATAAGATAGTGCTTATCAATCATTTTTTCTTTCACATATTATCCCAGTGGTAGAAGTGAATTTAAATTAATCTTCAAAATGAAGAATTTCTGTAGTGACGCTAAAAGTGATATATAAATTCGTATTGAACAAACAAACTAAAATTGAAGCAAAAAAGAAAACCTCTCTCACGAAAGACAGAATTTTAAGTGAAATTGAAAGGAAGAAAAAAAATTGTTGCTGATTAATTTCTCTGTCTTTCTCATGATTCGCGTACGATTTGTTTTCTACTCTAAGGATTCCTCTATGTTGATGCCTATAATACTTTGTCATATATAGAAAAAAAAAGAATAAAATGATACTGTAGTAGAGTATACAAGAAAAACAATGTAGTGAGTGAAGAAAAAAGAATGCATCAATGCTCTTGAGAAGTAATAAAAAAGAATACATTTTACAAGGAATTACCATCAAATTGAATGTTGACAGAGTCTACAATATATTTTTATATGTCTCTAATTCCTCATTGAAAAAAAACATCCAAACAATTTCTTAAATAATTTCCCCCGACAAGAGAAGAAAGTAGAACACATCTACAAAAAAGATCCTTTCAAAAATAAAACAATTACAACTGAACACATTGTTTATGCTCTTTTCCCACTGTAGAAATTGACGCAATTTCCCAACTTAGCTTGACCAAGGATGATCACAAAGGCGAAGGAGAAATTGGAAAATGTCTTCAGAACAATGTGTTCTCGCTTCTTTTGTGTGCGATTCTGTAACTTCCTCAACCCAGAGCGCTTGTGTGAGTGTGCAAGCACGCCACTGCCAACGTGACTCTGTGAAATATGCCGCCAGCCGCCTGTTCCAAGTCTCTGGAGTGGGCAAACTCACGTGGCGAGCGTCGTGCATCTTCTCCAGCTTTCCACTGATGTCTGGAGTCTCCAAAGTCGGATTGCACAGCCAGTCGTCGTCGAATCACTAACCAGTTCAGTCGTCCCATTCGCGCGAATAGGGAGCCAATAAGTGTGCCAGTCAGAGATGCCCAGTGGGAACTCCTGCCAGTGATCTGCTGGTCAGTGAATGAGGTGTGCAATCCACTAATTGCCATTGAATTATTTTTCTCCTTCAAACTGAACCTCTATTGCGCTCCATTGTTGTGTCGATTACATAAGACATTCGAGAAAACACAATCCAGACATTCTCTCTCTCTCGCTGAATCTCAAACGGAGATTCCTCACCCAGTGCTTAGTGTTTACTCCACGGAGCTGACATGGAAATCTACAGAGGATTAAAAAGTCTGTTCTTATTTGGTAAATATTCGCTGATAAATCGCTATAATCAAGCTTAATCACTTCCGATTGTGCACCAGAAATAGCATTCATAGCAGTGACTCGAGTGACGCTCATAAGAATTCAAACCAAACCATTACCACAATATCAAGTTACAAAGTTATCTTCAATAGCACGACACGCGGAAATCAAATTTTCACATTTTTTCTTCATTTATCCCCATATCTGCAACGTATAAATAACTAATAAAACGATAATCACATCCATTTTAAGGCACAATACAGTATTCCTTCTATTACCTCACTTCCTTCTCTCTAACCATTCAGAGCAAAAGTGCTGAAATTAACGTCATCGGCATTCATTGGAAATGAGCACGTGGACGAAATGTGCAAAAATCCTTTTATGTGACTCTTCCTCATTTGCACAGAAGAGAGACACTTCCAGATCCTTCACCACCCCAAAAACCCAGTGACTGAAATATCCCAACACGTCTCACAAAAGCCGATCCTTTTGACGTCATTACCACTCTTCAATGGGGAGACAATTTCGTATAATCCTGCGTGGGATTCACAGCCTATTCACTCCCCCAGAGAAACAGAGAAAGAGAGTTTCATTCACTGACAGAAAACGTGGTCGAGAGACATCATGACGAAATTGGACGAGATTATCTAAACTAGAACTTTCGCGTTATTCATCCTGTGGTTATCTAACATCTAATTGACATGTACACGATTGCCGGTGGAAATTGACTAGCAATTTATTAACAATACATTTTCACCATGCAAAAGCACTTCTCGCAGCCGGACGATAAGAAACGGAAAAATAAATATATTCTCATGATTTGTGAACGACTAACAATGATAAATTATTGTATTTACTACAGTCTTTTTTTCACCTCACCCACTCGCAAGATCGTTCTATAGTAAAATGCATAAATTTATTATTATAATTTGATGACTTGCAAATTGCATAATACCCACAGCTGTGTATTTATATTTTTAAATGCAAGCACTCCATTGCAAAATCCGTCTACCTCTCTGTTGTGTCTCACAGACGTTCTAAGGCGTGTAAATTGAGGAGAAATCAGAATTGATAGATTGTACAATAATTCTCTATTCCTGAGTCATTACAACATCTCAAAACAACAACGCCACGCGACACGACAATCAATATAAAGCAAACAAGAACACACTATCAAAGCCCAATGAAATCAAAGGAAAATCAAAAGAGTCCTTTGAAGTTCCTCGACATGTCTCGCTTTAAGGGTGGGTAAATAATACCTTATCTAATAAGTGAACGCACTATTTTCCTGAGAACATGGAGTATCTTTGTGGTGTTGTGTAATGTGCAATGACCATAAAGTATTGAGATCACTTTTATTGATTTACCTTTGAATTTTCCCGAACAGAGAAGCGTGCTTTCCCGTGTGTGTGCTTTTCCCAGAAGGTTATTCAACAGCACATTTCATAACACATTTCCATTTCATTTAGAGCATTGGCAGAACAACAGAACATTTTTGTACCTTACTTCGCAAATGCAATATCCAATGAAATGATGTAATAGTAAAATACCCTCCGTTGCATCATATAACACTATTAATTCATCAAATTCCATGACCTGCATCAATTCCATCCACAGCCACATCTCTGTGCCAGTAATTAAATAATGCCAGGAGACAACAGTGGCAATTCTTCAGGTGCGCCAACCACCAACACCAGCGCCAGACAACAGAGCATCCGGGAGAAGCACACAGTACATTGGTTCCGTAAGGGACTCCGTCTGCACGACAATCCCGCCCTGCTGAGCGGTCTTGTGGGCGCCGTGACTTTCAGATGTGTCTTTGTCATTGATCCCTGGTTCGCCGGTAGCTCCAACGTGGGCATTAACAAATGGAGGTGAGACTTTCGTCACCTCAGGAGCACATTTTCCCGCCGACAATGCGCAGTCACGTGGATCAACCATGTGACTCTTCCAGTGTGGAAAGCCGCCACTACACTCCGTTTTCTCCACATGTAGATTTCTCCTGCAGTGCTTGGAAGACTTGGACCGAAGTCTGCGGAAGCTCAACTCTCGATTGTTCGTCATTCGCGGCCAGCCTGCTGACGCCTTGCCGAAGCTGTTCAAGGACTGGGGCACCACGTGTCTCACCTTCGAGGAGGACCCGGAGCCATTTGGCCGGGTGCGTGACAAGAACATCTCGGAAATGTGCAAGGAGTTGTCCATCGAAGTCATCCAGAAGGTCTCGCACACACTCTACAAGCTTGAGAAGTAATCATCACCAGTTTCCCGGCACCCCACGCAACTCCCTAGTGGATTGCACGGCTGATAGAGTGATTAATGTGTCCATGTTTTTGAGTTTTTGCAGCATCATCGAGAAGAATAGCAGCCGTGCCCCGCTCACGTATCATCAGTTCCAGGCCATCATTGCCACCGTTGATCCTCCTGCTCCTGCTGAGCCCAGCGTGACGCAGGACACCATCGGCAAGGCCTACACACCAGTGTCGGAGGATCACGATGACAAGTACGGAGTGCCCACGCTCGAGGAGCTGGGCTTCGATGTTGACATCCTGAAGCCGCCCGTGTGGGTGGGCGGAGAAACAGAGGCTCTGGCGCGCTTGGAGCGTCACTTGGAGCGCAAGGCGTGGGTGGCATCCTTTGGCCGGCCCAAGATGACCCCGCAATCCCTGCTGGCCAGTCAAACGGGTCTCTCGCCATACTTGCGCTTCGGCTGCCTCAGCACAAGGCTCTTCTACCACCAACTCACTGATCTCTACAAGAACATCAAGAGAGCCTATCCGCCGCTCTCTCTCCACGGCCAGCTGCTCTGGCGGGAGTTCTTCTACTGCGCCGCCACGAAGAATCCCAACTTCGACAAGATGTCAGGCAATCCCATCTGCGTCCAGATTCCCTGGGACAAGAACGCCGAGGCTCTCGCCAAGTGGGCAAATGTAAGTTGGAAAATGCTTATGTAACAGCATGTCTTCTTATTCACTCTGGAAACCCCCTCTTTCGTCCACATGTAGGGTCAAACGGGATTCCCCTGGATCGACGCGATTATGACGCAACTGCGGGAAGAGGGGTGGATCCACCACCTGGCCAGGCACGCGGTCGCGTGTTTCCTCACGCGAGGCGACTTGTGGATCTCGTGGGAGGAGGGCATGAAGGTGTTCGAGGAGTTACTCCTCGACGCCGACTGGTCCGTTAATGCTGGCATGTGGATGTGGCTCTCGTGCTCCTCATTCTTCCAGCAATTCTTCCACTGCTACTGCCCCGTTCGCTTCGGACGCAAAGCCGATCCCAACGGGGACTACATTCGACGATATTTGCCGGTCCTCAAGGTACAGCGCATGACAACAATTCCTATTAATACATCATCATCTCTTGATTCTCTCTCTTTCTCTTGCAGAACTTCCCAACGAAGTACATCCATGAGCCCTGGAATGCCCCAGAAAGTGTCCAGCGAGCGGCAAAGTGCATCATCGGGAAGGAATATCCACTCCCAATGGTCAATCACGCTGTGGCCAGTCGCACCAACATGGAGCGCATGAAGCAAGTGTATCAGCAACTGGCCAAGTATCGAGGCACTTCCGGCATTGACGAGACGAAGATTGTGGGCATCATAAAAGCACAAAATGCCTCTGACGAAGTCTGTTCAGGTCTCGTCCAGAGCATGGAAGGTTCTTATCTAGCCAGGTCAAAGCACATCCAAGTGGGCCAGCAGCATCCACTCCAGGAAGCCTATCCCGCTCAATTTGCCATGCAGATGATGCCTCAACATGAGGCACAGCAGCAGAACTTGTATGACAAAGTCCCGATGGAGGACATGGAGACATATGTGAACCAGGATGAATGCAGCAGCCGTCAACCGAATCCCCAGTACACTCGCATCATTCTGCACAGGAACATCGCCTACGGCGTCAATGATCCCATGAAGCCCCCCTCAAACGAAGTCCTGAGCTACTCAAACGATCAGAATCACGAATTCCAACAAATTTCTCGCTTCCCAGAGAATTTCCAGAATTTGAGCTATGAGGAAGCCATGGCACAGAAGATGAAACAGGAGGACGGAGACAGGCATGGCTTTGAGATGCCACATCCCTTCCGAATGGAGTCCAAGAATGAGGACATCTTCCTCGTTGCAGCGCCCCAAGACATGGAAGACACGCCCAATATTTGCGATGATTCCGGGGATAAGTAAATCAAATGTCAGTATATACCACCTGTTATGTGTGAGTTCTAGTATTCTTCTGTGGCACTGTCTAAATAGAATTTGTCGCGAAATAAGTGTTTTTGCACAATGTTGTTTTGTAAACACGCGCAAAACGTCACCATTTTTAAATTTTCACTAGTGCGAAGACCGTCCGCCAGGCAACCGCGCACAAAAAACCTCCACTTGAGGGCGCTGGAATCGTATAACACTTTATATAACAGTCGTTCCGTGCATTTCTGCGTGTGAGGGAAGTTGTTTTCTCTGCGGTTTTAGGCGAAATTACAAAGTAAAATGTGTTCAATTAGCGTCAGCACAGCTCTCAGAGTACTGAGGAACGTTCCTGTAATCGCACACACCCCCAATTCAAGGTAATCACAGTGAAAATACCCGAACTGCGGGACTCATGTCTGGATGGGGATGATGTAATTAACCTCTAAACGGGGAAAGAGGAAACATTTCTCACATTTCCTGGCCACTTTGCAGCCCATTCCGCTTTATCAGCATCTCAACAAGTCGGAGGAACTTTGCCTCAGAGGACACGCGGCAGGATCAAGCACCGGAAGTGTCGGAGAATGAGAAGAAACTGTCAACGCTGGTGGAGGAACTCAACAAGGAAGTGAGCGTCGAAAAGGAGAAGAATACGGATCTTCTGGTAAGTTTGCGGTGTGATTTGTTTGGGCTGTTATAGTGAGGATTGCCTGATTTGCAGGACAAGTATAAGAGGGCACTTGCCGATGGGGAGAATCTGCGTGTGAGGCTTACAAAACAGATCGACGATGCGAAACAGTTTGGGATTCAGAGCTTCTGCAAGGATCTGCTGGAAGTGGCGGATATTCTGAGTGCGGCGACAGACACGGTGCCTAAGGAGGAGATATCGGACAAGAATCCACATCTGAAGAACCTGTTTGAGGGACTGACAATGACCAAAGCATCCCTGGATCAAGTGTTCAAGCGACACGGCCTGGAGAGAGTCAATCCTCTCAATGAGAAGTTCAATCCGAATCTCCACGAGGCTCTCTTTCAACTGGTGAGACTCTTTTTGCCTATTGATTTGCTGGGATTCTCTTGACCAGATCCTCGTCTTTGCAGGAGAACAAGTCAGTGGAGCCAAACACGGTGATCGAAGTCAGCAAAATCGGGTACAAACTCAAGGATCGCTGTATACGACCTGCTCTCGTTGGCGTCTCCAAGTCCTCGTAACAAGTCATCTTGTCCTTTTGTTGGTGATTTCCCGCGAATTGTTGACTCTGTCGCAATCCAATAAACTAGTGGCAACATATTGTCAAATAATCAATTTTATTCTTCCATCTAAAATGAATTCAGACAAAATTTCACACAATCTTCAATGCTTGAATGCAGAACGGAAGGGATGAATTGGTTGATTCAGGGAGCGAAAATGTTGCAATATTTAGCATTATTGTGGAGTACATTATCATTTTGAGAGGGTTAAAGTCTTCAGAGATATCTATCTGCAGGTTCACAACTTTTTGAAACTTCTTTGTGTTGCATTATAGCTTTTTGCAAAGTTATCAAGCTAAATTACTTTACTTATTTTATAGTAACATTTATCAATAGGATTCTCGTAATTATGTCGTGTCCACTATCCGCGATTGGATCACCTCTAGCTGACGTTTGGCTTCGCATTGTGGGAAGTTGTTCATATCATAGTACTGTGGAGCGATCCTCAGAAGCCAGTCAGCTGCAAGAAAGCAAACACAAGACCATTAGTTTCGATCAAAGAATCCTTCCTTTCACACTTACGCTTCACATCCGTCACGGTCCTTATGTAGTTCTTCGTGGTCAGGACAAATTCATTGTAGATCACCCAGTCGGGTTTGTGGTCCAGACAAGTCGACGGATGAAGCTGCACCATTTGATTGTCCTTTATCGTCAAGTAGTGACCAGTGCGCTCCAAGTGAGCAACCTGACGCAGAGAGAAAAGGCGGTAAAGTGAATAAAGTTCTTAATGGTTTGCTGAGAAACCATTTCACAACTCACTTGCATGAAGAAACCCTGCACGAGTGCTTTCCTTATGTTCACGTAGTAGTTCTTCGACGTGAAGTCTGTACTTGTTCGCTTGAGATTGAATCTGTCCATGATCCTGGACAGCTGCTGGCGAACATTATCGGCCGATTTCAGTGATCGATAGTTGATAAAGTTCTCATAACACCACGTCGGATCTTCATTACCTGCGAAGCGTGAGACAATTGCGGTCAATTGACTGCTCTAAAAAACAACATCAAATGAGCAAAACTCACTCTGTTTGAAGGCATGGTAGACGTTGAGGAGCGTCAAGTGATCTCCGTCGATGTGTGCAAAGCGCATCTTTGCCTCGTCGGCCGCCCTCTTAGCTTCATTGGGACGCACGAAGCACTGCGGGACTAAATAAGCATTGGGGCACAGCAACGTCCCACAAATATAGTTGATTTGTTTTGTACGTTTTTAACCTAAGACTATGTCATGTCTCAGTCAGTATCATGTGCGACTTTACCATATTTTCAAAGCAGTATCTTTTGCATTATTATTGAAATTCTCTTTGTTTAAATTCTTCCAAATAAAATCAATCCATATCAGGCCTCAATTGTGGGAAATCAACATCTCAGAGGCAATATAGTAAAGTCACACAGATCATCTCTAGAATATTGAATCTTTTATCATTTGTCTCCATATTCCTTTGAGTGGATGTTTACCACCATCCCAAAGGGGCAAATAGAATATAAGGATGTCCATGGGATGGCTAATTTGAGAGAATTTAGAGAATTCATTGGTAGCATTTGCTATGTTCTCACCAGACAACATTGCCGTTATCGAGAGGATTTCATTGGAGCAATTGTGATTGCAGCTGGCAATCAGCATCTTCGCCAGTTGAGGATCCAGTGGGAATTCCGCCATCACAGCACCCAAATCCGTCAGATTCCCGTCGTCATCCAACGCCGCCAGATAGTTGAGTAGCTCCAAGGCGCGCATCAGCGTCTCCGGAGCCGGTGGGTCCATAAAATCAAAGTGCACGAGATCGTCGATGCCCAACTTCTTCAGCTGAAGTACAACAGTTCCTGCAACACCAGCCACGAGTTAGATTCTCCACAGACTCAAAAAAAAGGATTCTGGCTATGATTCCCACCTAGATTGGATCGCAATATCTCAGGATATGTGTTCTCTTGCATCTCATTCTTGTAGGCTTTCTCCGTGTACAGTCGGAAGCACTTTCCAGGACGCGTTCGACCGGCACGTCCGGCTCTCTGCTGGGCCGAAGCCTTACTGATGGGCGACACGAGGAGACTCTCCACGCGAATTCTCGGATTGTACACCTTCTGCTTGGCAAATCCCGGATCAATCACGAACACAACTCCATCGATTGTCAGTGAAGTCTCAGCAATATTTGTGGAGACCACGACTTTTCTTCCCACGGCACCGTTCGCTTTCTTAGGTGGCGCCGCCTCGAAAATCCTCTGCTGCAAGTTGGGCGGCAGCGTTGAGTACAATGGAATGCATTTTAGTTCGCCCACTTCTGGTCCCAAGTTGTCCACCTCACGTTTGATACGCTTGCACGCCTCCTCAATCTCCTCCTGACCCGTGAGGAACATCAGGATGTCGCCCTCAATCTCCTCGCACATGTGAATCTGGATTACCGTGCGAATTGCCGCCTCCAGATAGTCTCTCTCTGGCTCCGGCGTGTAGAAAATCTCCACAGGATGCGTTCTGCCAGGCACATTCATGAGTGGTGCATTGTCGAAATACTGCTGGAACTTGCCGGCATCCAGAGTGGCAGACATCACCACCAGCTTGAGGTCAGAACGCTGCCTGATGACTTCCTTGAGAACACCCATGAGGATGTCCGTGGCCAGTGTTCGCTCGTGAGCCTCATCGAGCAGAATCACTTGATAAGTTTCCAGCATGGGATCACTCATGCCCTCCCTCAACAGCATACCGTCCGTCATGTACTTGAGAATGGTCCTGGGCGAGGAGCAGTCCTCGAAACGAATGCTGTAGCCCACTTCCTGGCCCAGAACCACGTCCATCTCTTCCGACACACGCTGCGCCACCGACATCGCAGCCACTCGTCGTGGTTGCGTACACGAAACACCCTTGGTGCCTAAGGATCGTGCATACTCCACGCACCACTGGGGAATCTGGGTAGTTTTCCCAGAACCTGTAAACAGAAAACATCAACGTTTAGCCAATATCCTCGGAAATCCTCTGCAATCACTCACCAGTTTCTCCCACGAGTACAATCGTCTGGTGCTCTGCCAAGAGCCTCATAAAATCCGCCCGATACTCAAACACGGGCAGCGTGATTCGCTTGCGGTATAGCGAATGGTACCGCGGGGAGTACGGCCCACCCGTGAAGGGGTTGATGTTGTTGCTCCGACTCGTCGAGATGATATTCTGAGCCACTTGGGCGGCAGCTGGTAGCGCGCTGGCAGTGCTCGTGCCCGCCTCCGCGTCGATTCCCTTCTCGAGCCTACGGACAAAGCAGTTGCAGAGGGAAAACACGAAAATGAGCTCTCAAACGATTTCCCATAACAAAACAGGCGGCCGCCATTAAAGTTAGCACTGGAAAAAAAGCGCACACGCATCTCGATTTTGTGCCTTTTCACCCACCTTCGCTTCTTTATGAAGGGATCCATCACTTCTATCCGTTTCTTTGACATCTTGGCTGTTGATTGTATCGATTAAATTGCTGAGTTTGTGAAAAATTCTACAGAAAAAGGAAAAATAACTTTGTTACGGAAATTAGGAGGAAAAAGCAGCACGCACAAATTGACACTGACAGCCACAGAGTACTAAAAAGTAGTGCCAGATAGAAAATCGACACAGAGCCAAATTTCGTCCCCTTTTTCGACGCTGAAATACAACAATAAAAATACATAAATTACCCTAAATGATGATTTACTGTTTTATTCTGAATTAATGGAATAAACTAATTGTGTCTATTTATTTTCACTAATTTTACATTCGCATTTTTCGCGACTTTTGTATATTTTATTACACATGCACAAGTGCGTGTAAAAAACTATACTGTCAATCAGTGTGTACTAAAGAGTGCTCAGCACGTGTTTGGGGATTTTGCGTCCCTCGTGTTTTTCTCTATTTTCCCCCTGAAAATCATGGAAATTCCACACGATGAGGCGGAAGAAGACAAGAAAAACATTCTGGGCTTCCATCAGATGGAATTGGACGACAGGATCCAGAAGGTGCGTGAGGAAAATGAATCAGAATTATTTTTAGCTTGCCAATGTCAAAACAATGGTAAATTTATTGTAGGCAATCGCGAAACTGGGCTGGATTGAGCCAACAGTGATTCAGGAGAAGACCATTCCGCTGGTGCTGGAGGGGAAGGATGTGCTGGTGCGCGCCCGGACAGGATCCGGCAAGACAGCCGCTTTCGCGATTCCCACCATCCAGAAGATCCTGAGCAGCAAAGGAAGCGCGGCTGAACAAAATGTTGCAGCGCTAGTTTTGGGCCCCAGCAAGGAGCTGTGTCACCAAATTCGGCAGGTCTTCGAGGACTTGAGCACGCACTGTGGCCGCGTGGTGAAATGCGTGGACTTGGCGTCGAACGAGGTGACGACACAGAAGCATCTCCTCTCAGAGCGGCCGGACATTGTGGTTTCCACGCCGGCGAAGATCCTGCACCACCTCAAGGTCGGGAATGTTGAGCTGGGAGACAGTTTCTCCACTCTGATCATCGATGAGGCGGACTTGATGTTCTCCTTTGGCTTTGAGGCGGAACTGAAAGAGGTCTTGAGCCATTTGCCGGCGATTTATCAAGCAATCCTCGCTTCAGCCACACTGAGCGAAGATGTTTTGACCCTGAAGAGTCTGGTGCTGAACAATCCAGTGACGCTGAAGCTGACAGAGCCCGATGTTGCTCCCACTTCTCATCTGACGCACTATCACATCTCTGCTGAGGAGAACGACAAGGCAGCCATCCTGTATGCTCTCTTCAAACTTCACCTGATTCGAGGGAAGAGCGTGATCTTTGTCAATACCGTGGATAAGTGCTACAAGTAAGTGATTGCCTGGAAAATAATCTACTGATACTCGATGATGATGTTAAGCATGTTTTGTCTTGATCCGACATCACGAAAGTGTTGGTTGGACTGTGATGAACGACTAATCTTCTCTCTGATTTAACCACAATTCTCTCTCTACTGAAAATCCCCCACAATTCAATCTAATGTGAGATTCTCTGTTGCTTTCTAGATTGAAACTCTTCCTTGAGCAGTTTAGCATCAAGTCCTGCGTCTTGAATTCTGAGCTTCCTGCCCAAATTCGCTGCCGTGTGGTTAATCAATTCAACATGGGCATTTACGACATAATCCTGGCCTCCGATGAGCTTGCTCTGGAGCAGCCGAAGGGTGTCAAGAGCGGGCGCAAGAGGAAGTCCGACAAGGAGTCAGGAGTTTCCCGTGGAATTGACTTTCAGAGAGTGTCAAACGTGATAAACTACGATTTCCCGGTGGATGTGAGCTCGTACATCCACAGAGCTGGAAGAACGGCTCGTGGAAACAACAAGGGAAGTGTGTTGTCTTTCGTTAACACAAAAGAGAGGCCATTGATGGATGAGGTTGATGAACATCTCAAGGCGGAGTTCAGCATGGAAGAGAGTGTTTTGAGGTAAATTGATGAGTCTCTGTGTGAATCAGCCGGATTTGCAATTGATCTTGTATTCTCCATTCCAGGAAGTACCAATTTAAATTGGAGGAAGTGGAACCGTTTAGGTATCGCGCGATGGACGCCTACAAAGCCGTCACGGCGATTGCCATCAGGGAGAGTCGCCTCAAGGAGATCAAGTCAGAAATCTTCAACAGCAACAAATTGAAGGTATTTTGCAGTTGTGTACAAAACTCTTGAATCTTCTACTAATTGTCAATTCATTGCAGGGCTTCTTTGATAACAATCCTCACGATCTTCAACTTCTGCGGCATGATAAGCCTCTGCACACCGTCAAATTGCAGCCTCACTTGTCCGATGTGCCCGAGTACATCATCCCCAATTCGCTTAAGGGCGTCGCAAATGTCGCGACGAGACCTAAAAAGACACCGGCTGGCGTGCGAAAGTCAAAGAAGCAGAAGATTTTCGAGAAGAAGAAGGCCAATCCGTTGTTGTGCGCGGAAATTGACTATGCTAAGAAGCAAAAAGTGCGAATAAAGAAAAACAAGTAGACCAAGTAAGTGACACAATTTCATATCCTCTCATGTTCTCCTTTTCTGCAAGGAGAGAAGATGCTTCAGCCAGAATTCACACTGTTATTGGCAATGATCCAAAAAGTGATTATTGGCAAAATGAGAAAAAATAAGACAAATTCTGGCTTTGAACTTGATATTACTTTCGTGATTGAGGTCATTTTGCTGTTTATCTCAATTACTTCCATAATTTGCTAGACTTTGAGCCTCTTTTTGCGTTCTTGAGCAACATCAGACGATGTTCTGTCGCTCGAAAGGCGCTATTTTGGTGTGTTTCACAGTCAAATGACGTAAAGATAAGGAGAATATTTTAATATTTCTAAGCCTTATCTGAAGACATATGGAGATGCTTCCAGATTGTGCATTATGTAATTTTCATGTGATTCCTCTGGATTTCTGTGACGAGAAACATCACCTTTGCCTTACTACGTGGGGACTTTCTTTCCCCTCACCCTTGAGGGGTGGGAAATATCATGCGCAATTCCCTGCAACAGGACAATTGCGTCAAATGAAATATGAGTCTTGCGAAATAACACACAAAACTGGGTGGAAGGTGTGTGAAGGAAAAGAGTAAATATAGTGTGAAATCCCTGAAAGATTGCACTTCTCCCCGCACTCGAGTGCACTTTCTGGGCTGTACGAGTGGAGGAAGTGTTTGAGGAAGTGAGAAATAGGAAAATCAAGCTTCAAATGGCGTCTAATTCTGTGGTAATTATCACCTAGAGAAGTGTGAATTAACATGTTCCCCAGGTCATGGGGGAGCATTTCTCACTCATTTCCTCAATCTCACACCTTTTGCAGATTGTCTTTGCAATTGTTGTCGTCTCACTGTTTCTATCTGGTCACTGTGGCATCGTGAAGCGCAGCTTCTCGGACAAAAGTGTGGCCAAGTACGTCACGGAGGTAATATTGGGTGTGTGTTATTTTAGTCACGTTGTCCATTGTGTTGATGTTTGATTTGTTTGTTGGATTTAGAGGACCTGCTGGTGGAATGAGGTGTGCAAGGAGGAGTTTCAGCAGAGTTTTCGCTGCAAGTGTCCGCAATTTTCCTACTGCCGGTGAGAGATAAATCGTTATTTCTGGGCAATGTTGCGATTCGTGGACGATTTGAGTGTGACTCTGATCACATTTTTTCAGATCACCTGGAAGATACTACAATGCCTACTGTTCCATAGCGAACACGGGGTACATTTGGATGCAGCCCACTTAACAATTTACCACGAGTGGACGATGGGGTGGGGTGTCGGAGAGGTCGGAGAGGTCGAAGGGAAAGGTCGGAAGTGAGCTGAGAAAAAGGCAGTCATATCCAGTGTCTCTATTCGCCAATTCCCAGAATATCTTGCATGCCTAAATGTCTCCAGTCTCAAAGAGCTTCACAATTGTTTCGGTATTGTTGTTCTTCACTGCCTCTTTGAAGTGTTTCATGACCTGAGCGGCGGATTTACCAACTGAAATGGGATATTTAGAAGAGATAATAATGGTTACACTTGTGCACAATTCCTGGGAAGGTATAAAATATATATTTTTTTGTCATACTTCTCAGCTTCGCCCCATTCTGCAGGAGTTCATTGATGGTCCTGATGGCCAACTGTAATTCATTGGCATTTTTGTGGCGAATCACAAAGTTCGTCAAGAGATCTTCGTGCAGTGTCATCAAGTCATTGCTGTACTTTAGCATTAGTTTACTGTAAAGGCGAGAAAAATAAACAATTCTATTGTAAAGTCACCAATTAGAAAATGCAAAATACATACTGATCGTGAATGCGAGCATCTGAGAGACGCACCGATACATTCTTAATTGCTGCTATTTTCTCATTTTGCTCCACGAGGAGCTTATGTTGAGTTTCTTGGAGACCGTTGAGCTTTGCAAAAAGCTCCTTCAGCTGCTTCGTAACATGTGGGAACTTTGCAGTTGTCTAATTGACATAATAAAGATATAAAAGCGTGAATTAATTTGCATGATAGATTGTATTACATACAAACCTTCAAGTTATCAATATCGAGAAAATCTGTGAGAGATTTTATGAAATTTCCCGCCAATTCCATTTCTGCCGTGTGCAGAATCACACTCCCGTTCTCATTGAACTCCATGCAGATGTCTGAGAGCTTTCTGAGTGCGATGAGGTGCAATTTCAAGCTTCCGCCGCGAGCATCCTTGCCAGAACTGTGAGGATTTGCCTCAATATCTGCTGGCAGGAGGAAATTCTGATTGATCCAGATGCAAATCCGTTGAATTCTCTCATCAATCCTGAATTCCACGCAATTCTCACCACTCGGAGAGTGTCTCGCGAGTGACGAGATGTATTCTGTGGACTTTGGCGATCCCGTGACGGTTTTGGGCAGAGCGTACATTGAGAACTTTGGTAATTGTCGAGTCAGTTCAAATACATGAAATTGTTGACTGTTGGCGAAGCCAATTAATGCCTTCACGCGGGATTTCCCGTGAAAGAAATCAAGTCAATCGTCAATTAAAAAAGGTGATATCACACCACGGCGTTCTGAGCCTACCTTTATGTGGACATCAAATTGTATGTCCTTGGGCGCTTTCACCGGAATTGAAAGCTTGGATGCGTTGACTTTGTGTGGGTGAACAATGAGTGTTTCACCAGTAAAGAGACCTTCGGCGAAGATAATCACAGCCCGAATAATTGTGGAGTTGTTTGTGCAAATTGATATTTCAATGGACGGCTGTGGAGAGAAGTCAACGTTATCGCGCATAAATTTATCTGATGATCAGTTAATCTCACTGATGATTTATTCTCAATGTCCGTTGCAATGCCTATTTGCAAGCGAGTGTTGGCCGGGATGATTCCGATGTCTGATGGAGTTTCGCTGAACTCCTCGGGCTGTTGATTCCTGAAGGAGAGAGAATCTCAATAGGTGAGACGATAATTGCACAAAGTTAGAAACTCACTTTGACGACATGTTGTACTTGAGATTGCTCTCATAGTGCTGCAATTCCAGCATGAGAGCGTGCTTAACGTTGAAAAGTTCGGTGATCTGTTCCTGCTCCATCACGTTAATAGCTGCAATGTTGATCTTGGACGTTGTGTAGCCACGAACCTCACCATCCAGAGTGCAGCAGATGAGATCGGTCTTTCCAATTCCTCGATAGTCACCCTTCAAGAGCTTCGTTATGCCCACAGAGAGGTAGATTTTGAAGAGCACTCCACCTGTAGAAATGTCTCTAATGTCCATCTGCAATGCCATGGAAACTCTCAGTGGATTCTCTTACCAGGAAACGCCGAATCTCTCACCTTGCCATTGTCCCAACCAGTCAAAATCTGACTGTTGCCCATGCCGAGGAAATCATAATCAATTACGGAAGTTGGTCGATGTTTCGACTGAGGAATCATGAAAATGGATTTAAATTAACATTGTATGATTCATGAGACTAAAGCACGCACCTTAATCCTCCATAATCGGAGGTTTTTCTCATAAACACCAACAGTTCCATTGTCACAAGCGTAAGCAAAGTGTCCGGGTCCTGGAAATGTGAAATTCTTTGAAGTGAAGCGAGTTTCATCATTTCAATTGTGGATCTTACATAAATTCATCAATTCCACGATCATCCCGTTCTCGGTGAACTCAAAGAGAAGAGCATCGTGCTTGTAAATCTTTATCATTGAGTCCTGTGAACCTATTAGGATCTGAAATGTCACGAGATTGATGAGTTATTGATTTGAGAAGGAGATTCTAAAGGAAACTACCTCGTTGTGGCCATCTTTGTCCACGTCGAAGAGCACTAAAGTGAGGCAATTGCAACCGGTGATGAGCCAGAGCTGCTCTGTACCTGTACTATCGAATGCCCTGACTCCTCCTTGACCAGCTGTGACCACAACAGGCACGGAAATCGTTCCTAAAGTCCCAATACAGAGCGCCTGAACTCCTTCGGGGATTTCTTTGTAGAACAAATCCATGTTCTCTTCAATATTGTAGGCTATGAATGAAAATGTTATCAACTAATGGTTGAGAAGAGTTTTGTGCAAGAATACCTAAGATGTGAGTAGGACTGCCGATAACCAGAATCTCTTTTTCATCATTGAGATTCAATTTCCCACAATGAATCGCTGTGATTTGCTGACTCAGGGTCAGGGTTGCGATGTCATGATGAACATTCGACCAGGAAACTCGACTGTTGGCAATGCCAGATCGTCTGTGAGGACTATGGATAACAATCTGCAATACTTTCGAAAGTAGATTTGGATTCTTTCGCATTTCGCTGATCAGAGAAATCACACCTTATCAGTGTTGGTTACAGCCGTGAGGCAAGAGTGAGTTCCATCGTACTTCCCAATGCACACTTTCTTCTCCACTGTCTTGTGACTGAGATTGAAAGAGAACACCGGCTTAACTGTTCCTTTCATCTCGCGGAATCTCTGTTTTTTTCCAAACACTGCACACCAAAGAATTGCCACACAGTGTGTTATCAGGAAACAATCCGTATGGAAAATCAATAGTGCTCTTCACGGTTGGTCATGGTCGCCAAGCAACGAGAGTGACAACAAAAAGTATGGTCTATTTTCAACGGTCTCACTTGGTCTTACTCTTGTGGGCAGATCAAAGATTATCATGAATAGAGCGGAAAAGTGAATCGTTCCATCGCTCGGATGATCACTCGGGTGATCGCATGTTTCTCCAGCTGAAAATGAAAGTGGGAATAACGTCATAGGATCTCTGCTTGCGAAAAAAACCATATCGCCTACGAGCGTAGGAAATGTGTGGAATTTTCAAATGAACTTCAATCGAATCATTGAGTTTTGCAGACTAATCAGAATTAGTAGGGGTCACTCTGGGTTATGGCAGTTATGGCGGTGATAGCGTGAGAGTAAAATAACTCGGGACATCTGCTTAACATTGCGACGATGTCAAGTGACTCAATTACACGATTATCGGCATTTTGTCAGCCTCACCCGGGGTATTTTCTCTTGACACCCAGAGCGACTTCGCAAGCAAGTGATAAGAAATCATAAACATGGGCAAAATCCACAAAAATTCTCAGTTGCCTCCGATCTCCCAGGAAGTGAAGATGCTCCGTAGCAATTTTCTCACTTGTCAGCTCGAGATTCTCCGCAGAGTCTCGAAACGCTTCATCAACAGTGAAAACTTCAGTCTTCCTCTGGGGCGACTGAGTGTCAACGACAGTGATCAAGTGGTCTCACTAGACTATGGCAATCGCCATATGAAGTTCCCTGTTGTGTGGCTGAGGGACAATTGCCAGTGCTCTCAGTGCTTCCACAAGCAAAGTCAGAGTCGCATCATCAATTGGTATAAGTTCGACGTGCATCCCAAATTGCAGACGATTGTTGTGAGTATCTGTGGATTGATCGGACTTGTGGGTTGATAATTTGAGGGGAAATTGCACTTAATTTGCAGTGGAATGATCATCAGAAGAATCTCTCAATTAAGTGGGAGGACAAACATGAATCAGTATTTGACGTGGACTGGCTGAAGAAACGTGATTTCACACCAAAGAACCAGGAAGAGTATCTCGCCAAGACTTATCGTCCCATTAGGAAGTCATGGAGAAAGGACGATTTCTCCAGCATCTTCCATTCCTTTGACTATAACGATGTGATTAACACTGATGCAGGACTGAGAGATTGGCTGGAGTCTCTGGCCATTAATGGCGTGGCCAGGATTACGAATGCCCCCAAGGATGAGGGAGTTTGTCGTCTAGTCGCTAATCGTGTAGGATTTATTAAAAAGACCCACTTTGGGTAAGAAGAATAACTACACACAGATTGATTTGTGAAAAAATTTAATATCTCTGTATTCTTTATTTGCCAGTGAGGAATTTATTGTCACGCATAAACCGGACACAACCAACAGAGCTTACCTTTCATCTGAACTCCAACTGCACACGGATCTTCCTTACTATGAATACAAACCAGGAGTGAATCTTCTGCATTGCATGGAACAATCCTCTTCTACAGGAGGTAGAGCAATGATATTCACTGGATTAAGCATAAAAATGCTAAAGATTCCCTGTTTTTCAGGCACTAATCTTCTCATTGATGGTATGAATATCGCTCGTATGATGAAGGAAATGTATCCGGAATACTACAAGCTCCTGAAAACCGTCCCAGTTGATTGGACGGACGTTGGAACTGAACTGGGAGAGGAAATGCACAACATTTACAGAGTTCCAGTTTTCCAGTAAGACATTTGGTAATTTCTTCTTACTATGGATAGTTTTGGAATCTCTTTTTCTTGCAGAATGAATGAGCGAGATGAATTGATTCGTATAAACCACAGTACTCCTCAACGTGGAAGTCACTTTACGGTTCCTCTTGGTCTCGTGAAGCCTTGGTACGAGGCATTCGATACCTTTGTCAAGCTGGCGAGGACGGAATGTGCTGAATTCAAGACTGAAGCCGGAAACATTCTTACCTTCGACAATGTCCGTCTGATCCACGGCAGGGACGCTTATGATGACACATCAAAGAATGTTCGCTACATTGTTGGAGCCTATCTTGATTGGGACATTATCTTCAATCGTTTGCGTCTCATAAGCGTTAAAGATTAGCAATCATCCTCTAAAGTTCTACTTTTATTGAAGATGCTATTCACAGGAATAATAAATAATAGAGAGAGTGCTCTCAAGGGGAAATTGTAGTGGTTTTTTCTGCCAAATACTTGTTTTTGTACACTCCTGCGAAATCGTATACATTCTCCAATGCGTCCCACGCATCAGGTCGATTCTCGATGAGATAGTTGAGGACAATTTGAGTGCTCACTCTCTGCTTATCTGTGCACTTGGCGCAGTCGGACTCCAAAGCTTCAGGAAGAATGCCTAAAGATTCCGAGGCAGTCAAGATTGGGAACTTTTGAGGACTTCTAATACCTACTTTTGAGTTCTCTGGCGTCTGGAGTGCAAGGTCCTTCGTTCACCAGGCACTTTATGTAGTTAGTCAGGATCCTACTATTGTCCAGGATGCCTTCGATATCCATATCATCGTAGCGATCAGTGTACTTGTCCTCAGAAGCGGACAAGACAGTCACAATTGTGAGGCACAACAAAACAATCCACTTCATTCTGGCCACTGATAATCCTCTTTCTGGAGAATGTGACTCTCATCCCAGGCTTTTATATCACAGCTTTATGTGGAAAGCTCTTTGAAATTGCCGTCAAAATTACCAAGGCAATTGTAAATCAATTTCCCACACGACATATTGGCTGAGCCAATGCGCGAGGAAGGCAACGTCAAGGGAAATGCATTGATGAAAAGTAAACACATCCTTGAGATTATGGAATAGAGAGTTGTTTTTTTATTAACAAAAAAATAGGGCAAACACTAGCAATAACAGTTTGAGAGAAAAATTAAGAAATGAGAGTTAATTTCGTCGATTTTGTTCACATGAGGAGTCATCCGTGTGTCAGCCTCTTATTCTGTAAGAAAGGATGTTAAATTTTGAGTGTTTTGGCCAAAAGAATGGGGATGTTTTTTTTTTGAGGATATGTTAAGAGGTGCTTGTTTTCTGTACAATTGCGCCAGAGAGTAGAACAACTAGACCATATTATTATTCAGTTGAAGAGGTGCAGTTGTGTTGAAGCAGGAAGGAGGATAGAGACTCAAATAGAAGCCTGTGACCACCAGAGAAGGTGTGGGGAAGATTGCAAGCCTGGAGAGTGGGAAGATATTTAAATGGTGACACCCATACTTCTTGCTTGTTCCCTGTATCGGTTCACGTAGACATTCTTGGGATCGTATTTGGCCTGGAGCTGCTTCCACTGCTCTGGCTTGTTGTCAATGACGAACCGCAGAACGCGCTCAGATCCGCGACGCTGTGCTTCGCTGCACTTGGTGCAGTTGCTCTCAAGGGCTTCAGGAAGGATGCCTGTGTGGAAAGAATGGAGAGGCATTTATGGTTGGCGTGCTGCAACACACACTTCGCCAGGAATGATATGAAAAGCGTGCTCGCGCTCTTGAGAATTCTCACGCGTGTACATTCCTTTCGTCATAATTCAATTAACACTCACGTTTCAGTTCACTTCCGTCCGGAGTGCATCGTCCCTGATCCATGAGACACTTGAAGTAGTTGTTGAAGAGGCGATCTGACTTGAGGATTTCCTCTATGTCCACATTATCGTACTTTGTGGTGTATTTGTCCTGGGGCGCGGCGAGGGCGACAACGGCCAGAGCACAGCACAGAATTAAACTCCTCATCTTAGCTCTAACAGAAGAGTTATACGTTTGAACAAGAGTGGCAAAAACAAATCATTATGCTTCTGGATGCCCAATGAAAGGGAAAATGCAGTTATGCAATGATCTTTTGAGGTGAATCGAGGCTCTGGGTGAACAAAGAAAAGAGCACGTGGAGGAATTTTCAGTTGTTGTGCGTTTGCTTTCTGGGATTTTCCAATTCTCAGAGCTATTGAGAGAGAGAGGCTCTCTTTGCACTGTCCCCAACAGGCGATTAATGTATTCTCCATTGCAAAAAGCAATTTTTCAATGTTAGCCACATTGAGAAATACAACTCGTGTATAGATGAAAATTTCCATGGTCTCACTCTTTTTCACACACCGAAATGAATACCTTTGAGCATAGCAATGAAATTACATGTAATTTTGAGATTACACTCTGCGAGGGGAGGAAAATTTCATTTGACAATACTACAGTTGATGAATGAAGGAGGAAATCCTGGAGGGTCTTTTAAAATAAAACAATTATGGGTCTTTCAAATATCCGCCCAATTTTCTCAATTTTAACACCTTCTTATTTGGCCACAGGCACAATGCCAAGTCATTCTTGCCTGTTCACTTCCCATTTAAGCTCAAATAGCTCTTCAATTTGGCATTCAGTGCAATGCTGGCTGACGAATGACCACTGGAAATCCCAATTGCAGCAGGTGTTGATTTTTCGATATGGTATTTACCAAAGCCATTAAGTGATCGCGCTCCAATTCGCGAATACGTAACTTCTCAAGTGAACTCTGACATTTTTCCCCATTTCTTCTTCCACTGCATTTAAATTTCTCTGCACACGTTCCGCTCCTCTTCTTATCTCATGCGCGGCTTTTGTAATATTTCTCCGGGCTGTTTGCTCTGACGAGGCGGTGTTTTTTGTCGCGTCTCATCGCCAAAATCTCTCGCTTGCAGAGATCATCTCGTCAGGTGATCTTCAAAAGCAGATGCGCGAGGTGGAAAAAAATGGCAATACATTCTCGATGGTGTGATAATTTTACGTCTGTCTCGTCGATAAGTGTGACGAAGAAATTTGAACGAGAAAAAAATTAAACACAAACTATTTCAACTTTCGCCAATTCCTTATGCATATACATTTTCAGATATAACACGTCTGTATACATGATGTTACAAAATACATAATATAATTCCCAGGTAAATGATATATTCCGTCTGTTATGTGGAAGAATTCACTGTTTAAAAATTACTTTTACTTTCAATGGCTGTCTTGGCATGCACACCATTGAGGCGACAAAGAGGCTCTCGTGGGCTCGCGATAATTGAAATTGCGCTCAGGAACACCGCGGAGGCTTTGTGTGTCGCCACACAAGTGCAATGGCGTGAATTCAATTGGCTGCATTAGCGACAAATTGACGAGAACAAAAGACTTCGACGACGTGATAAACGAGAAACCCGCAAATTATCTCACTTTGCATTTAATATTGTTAGCATGATTGACTCTTGTATCAATCACGATGAATATGGCTATGATGTGAGAAGACCATGTGGATGATTGCGAGAAATTGGCAGAAAATCACTTACACTATTTTTCAAACAAATCAAAAACTCAACACGTCTTCTTAGCTGCGCTTTCAGAGACTCGACTGACTGACTGCTCGACTCGACGTTCGCCTTTTATACACAAAGTTGCGATTTTAGCGTACGTAAACTTGGGGCTTGGGTGTCGAAGTCTTCACGATTTTACTTCACACACAGGTGAAAATTCCGACTAATTGTCTTGCTGTGTTGGTTCATACAAACATGCGTCTTTAAATTGATGGTGTGCGTCTGGAGGAAAAATTCAACTTGAATCTTATCCAAATAGATATGTCTTGTACTGTTCAGATTTACGTCCAATAAAACATGAGTTTATTTACTCATCAATTTATGCTCTGGTATTTGCATTGAATTCTCAGGAAAGGTGATTTTTTCCTATCCATCAGAATTGCTATTTGCAGGGCCGAATGCTTTTTTCCGGAGTCACGGATTTTGGCAACTTGTTTAGCTTGGCCAAGAAATAAATTACCGATGACACAAGTTTGTCATAGTAATGTCTTAATTACTGCATAGCACTGTCTAGAACCTGCCCCTGGAATTAAATGGAACAAGGAGTTCTTGGACAACAAATCACAGATATTGCCAGTCTAGGAGAAGACGATGTAAAAGTGTCTCAAAGTGTTTTATTTCAAGCCAACACACTTCTGAATCTCAACTTTGTAAGCACTTTTAAGCTTATTGTTTGCTTTCAGCTAGCAATTGCCTCATCTACCTTGAATGTCCGTGGCAAAGAAGTCAAGTGTAATGATATTTTTGCAGCGATCGCGCGCGATAGCGTCGAACGAGGCGAAGACTGGGATTAAATTGGGGCTTCGAGGCGGTAATTAAATCATCCTGAAGCCTTGGAGAGATTTCTTCCTGTCATGTCCGTGCGCGAGTGCGAGGTTAATGAAGTGCATCTCTGATTTGCGGCAGAATATTTTTCCATTAGTTTGCAAAATTTGAGTTTTTCCTCTCGAGCATCGCAGACAAAGTGTGTGGCTCATCTGTTTGCACAATCGCGATGGATCGCGCGATAGGTACTTTTGCTGCCGATAGAATATACACACGTAGAGTGATTTTATTGACGTGAGAAGAATTTAAATACTGGCATTCTCGAGGGATCTTTCACTGTGATGTGGATAAATAAGGTGACAAAAAAATCACTCCAGACTAGACTTTGCCATTTGACGTCAAGTTACTGGAAATACCACAAAAAATGGTACAATATATCACCATTATTAATCAATAAACATTGTGTTATGATACTTCAGTCCAAGCTTCAGTCCAAGTTTCAGTTTGTCAAGATTGATTATAGGTAAATTTTCCATTCAACAGAAACGAGACAAATCAATTAACTATGCTATCATTGAGTCTTTGCTATTCAGCATTTAATTAATTAAAACTCTTAATTGTTTCTTATTAATATTTTATTTTCGCAAACATATTTTTCATGAGTAAATTGAATTCTATATTTTATGAGAAAAAAGTTTAATGAATCATTTTGTTATTATAAATTCTCTATCGTGCTTAATTTGTCTTCTTACAAGCTTTTGAAATTTCACGGTGAATGTAAAGCTTTTTATGATAGACTTCGTAATTCTTCTGAGAATATCAACAATATTTTGCTGTGTTATGTGCAAATAAGAGAGAAATGTTTTTTTTTTCTATAGAACGATGAATCACTGATAAAGCATAAATGTGTTCATATAGTCAAGATTCATCTCATGTTTTCGATGGTGTCGAAATTACAAGCCTAAATTGACCTAAATACATTAAATTTTCAGATAAACTTTTACGAAATGAAAAGTAAATTTTTTTCAGTTCAATATAGAAGTTGTGTATGAGTTTTTCAGTGAACTGTCTGCTTAAGAATTCATCTTGATAAACCTCTTGAAGAGTGACAATGAACTCTTTTATTACGCAATGCGAAATGAATATGGATGGATTCAAAATTCTATAGTTTATTGTAGAAATACGAGAAATACACGGAAATTCACTACACATTGACGAATATTAATAAATACAGCTATTTTCAGATGATGAAACTTACCGAAAAATTGTGAATTTCCAATGAAAATCTTTTTTAAGTCCCTTCATAAGTGTTTTATAGAAATTATGAGAATTGAGTAAGTGTTTTTCATCTTTTAAGGCCAAATTGACTTTTACTTGCTGAAGCTAATTCAACCTCAAAATCACCTTTGTTAGAATAGCATTAATTATAAAATCTTTATAGTCATTTTCACGCAATAATTCATGAATGTTTTTTCTACAAAAACTGATTGGCTCTTTAAAGTGCATAATATTTTCCTGCAAATTCTACAGAAAAAGCCACAAATTAACCTAAATCTCTTTCCCATTCTTTAGCCTCGAGATTTTAGAGTGGGTGTTTTATTGAAGCAGAGACAGCGCAGAGTTGAATCTTAAATTTCTTAAATTTATAAATTAGATTCTAAAACTACATGTAAAATCATTCTGTGTGCCGAGCCAAGTCGTTGATATATTTATGATGATGACTTCTTGGAGAGCCTGCTTAAATCTCTAGACACTCATGTTTAGCCAGTTCTCTATGTCTGTTAACGTAGACGTTATTCGGATCGTATTTCACCTGAAACGCTTTCCACATTTCGGGCTTGGTTTTTGATGAGAAACTTCAGAACCTTCTCAGTGCCTTGACGATGAAGTTCTGCGCTATCTTGGTTAATAAGACATTAGTAGTAATTGTTGAAGAGTCTCTCTGACTTGAAGATTTCCTTTACGTTTGCATACTCGTATTTTGTGGTGTATTTGAAATCATCCTTATCCGCATTTCTTCACTTCCCAATATAATTGCCAAGATGATTATGCTTAAAACTTTGCCATTCACCACAGACACAATTGATGAATTACCACTGGAAATCCCAATTGCACCAACATATTTATTTACTATGTAATATTGACTGAAATTGAATTATGCAACTTTTGGGAAACCCAGAGAATAATGGACAGCAGAAGTTGAAAGATAAGGAAATCATTCAGCGATGACTTACGCAGAATTTTTGTTAACGAAAAACAATCTCAGTGATGATTTCAGAGCTTTCACTGACTGAATGTGAGACTCCAGCGTTTGCCTTTTATAAGTACTGGAACTTTGCAGGACATTGAATACTAACTATTCAATCGCATATTCACATAAATTTATATTAAATAAAAAATCACACGAGAGGATGGAAAATTGAATATCAATAAAATGTGCACGATAAAAGTAAAGTATTGCTTGAATTATTTGCATTCAATATATGCACAAATCATAGATAATCTCAAACTACTTCTGATTAGATTTAACACATTTCTATTTTTTTCAGCTTCTGAATCAACTTACGTCACGAATCTCAATTACTTCTGTCCAGTGCAAACTTTTAGTTTACTTGGTTTACTTTCAGCTAGCAATTGCCTCATCTACCTTGAATGTCCGTGGCAAAGAAGTTAAGTGTAATGATATTTTTGCAGCGATCGCGCGCGATAGCGTCGAACGAGGCGAAGACTGGGATTAAATTGGGGCTTCGAGGCGGTAATTAAATCATCCTGAAGCCTTGGAGAGATTTCTTCCTGTCATGTCCGAGCGCGAGTGCGAGGTTAATGAAGTGCATCTCTGATTTGCGGCAGAATATTTTTCCATTAGTTTGCAAAATTTGAGTTTTTCCTCTCGAGCATCGCAGACAAAGTGTGTGGCTCATCTGTTTGCACAATCGCGATGGATCGCGCGATAGGTACTTTTGCTGCCGATAGAATATACACACGTAGAGTGATTTTATTGACGTGAGAAGAATTTAAATACTGGCATTCTCGAGGGATCTTTCACTGTGATGTGGATAAATAAGGTGGCAAAAAAATCACCTCAGACTAGACTTTGCCATTTGACGTCAAATTCTTCGTAAAACATATCAAGTGACTGGAGAAAAATGAATATTTTTTATCAAAATATTACAATACAAGATTGTCGTGTGCAATAAATGCGTTCAATTTATTATTATGTGCATTGGATTTTTTCTCATTCCTCCTCAATATTAACATTGCAAATTCCTAATAGGAAAAGTCAATACGTATTTCTGTCTAAAATGGGGATGGAGAATTTTCCGTCCTCTCTCAACATTTTTTCTACGTTTTATGAGCAAATTCTCATTTTACTGTGAGCGAGACGAAAAGGAAAACAACTTGAGTCATACATGATTACAGATTATCATTTTATAAATATAGTTTTCAACACTCACACGCGCAGGAAAATTTCACGGTGATTCCAGACTTTTTAAAAAGGTTTTATTATTCATTTCCGAGAAATTTCTCAAGATTTTTCCTCGTGGAAACTCACTCAATGATCTTCATTTTCCATTATTTGCCTCCAAATAGAAATGAAGATCATAAGCATCTGGATTAGAAGAAAAACAAGCAACGTTTCACATACATTCGACACATTTATTATTTCTTTTTTTTTCAATTATACTTATGACATGATTATACTTTTATGTTGTCTTCCATGAAAATTACACACTCATATTAATTACACTATAATGCAATAATACAACTTATTTAACGACACTACAATTTCCTTCTGGAATACATAATTCTTCACATTTCAGCATTACACTAAATTGAAACGAGAAAAGGTAAAAAGAGGTCAACAGGAATAATGAATTTCTGCCTTCATGATGAATTGATAACTCGGCGTGTAAGAATTATTACAAAAACTTCTCTCTTATTCTTTTCTACCTCTGCTATTTATAAATTCACTTGCCAACCTCATGAAAAAATGACAATGAACTCGTTTCATTGCCCATCGCAGAGAGTTTCAGTGGAATTGGAAAGAATGAAGTGCTATTTGTGATTGAAAATCATGCTAATGATCATTTTCTTTTCGTTGTGTGATAATTCAGTTAAAAAATGCTTCAGCAATTTTTGCCTATATAAACTCCAATGCTAGACAAGACAATTTAGATATGCTGACAATCTACCATTTCTGGGGAAGACAAATCAATTCTACTAATTGTAGGAATTCTCACTATAATTTGGTGGAAATCACGAGAAGTGCTTAATTGCTACTGAAAATTAATTTCCACTAATGATAAGTCATGATTGATTCATTGTGCTGCGCTTCTGTGGCTTCTTTCTTCGTTCCATTAGACGCCTCCGCGGTATTTTCTGATGAGCATCGACCACACGTCAGGGTATCTGGTTTGCAGGAAGTTCGTCAGCTTCTGGGCATTCTGCGCCTGTTGCGGCGAGCAATTTCGACAGTTTCTCAGGATCACTTCTGGCAGGGCGGCTGCAAAGTTAAGAGAGAGAGAGAGAGGAAAGCCTCAGTCAATGCTCGCGTCTGCTATTTTTAGTCATTTTAGTTAATTAATCCGGTAAAGAGCGCTCTAAATTAGATGGTAGAATTGGACAGGTGAAACTAGATTCAGCGGATGTAATTATCTTTCTTGCTTGATGAATTTCTTAGTGAGGAATTTCGAAATTCCATGAGGTCTTTTCTTGCCCATAAAAGCTGGAAAGTTTAAATTTAGCTTGATTTCTTTTCCAATGTTTCCTCCATTGCATCTTAATTGTATGTCTTTGCCACGCAAGGAATATCTTGGTGGTGAATCAAACAAGATTCACGTGGACAATCTGCATTCAGCACCGCTGTAATTAGCAATATCGTATGAGATCTCCTTCACCCTGGCCAGCAAGAAGTCAACACTATCCCATTGTCTGTTTGCGAAGTGCGCAATGTTGGGTGGAAAACAGCGAATTGTACGTTTGCACATTAAATTGATGATTGTTGTCCGATTAATCACGAGGCATTCATTCTCTCGAGAATCTGTTTGCTCACTTCTTTTGCTAATGAAGTCGCACGGTGCAATTTTGCAATCGCACGGGGGAAAACACATCAGGGCGGGGTGCGTTGGCCAATATGAGATGCGAAATATTACCTTTCAGTTGTCGCCCAAGTTGATCGCAGGGACTCTTTTCTAGGACACACATTATTTGTCTGCTCACAATGAGTTGATTGTTCAACAGTCTCGTGATATTTTTGTCGTCGGTGTGAATTTTCTGCACAAAGAGGCACAGGAGGAGAATCTGGAGGCACACCAGTCCACTTGACATCTTGCTCACAACAAATTCTTCTCACTCTGTGCGCTGATCAGTTCTCAATGGGTGTCCTTGATGGTGTTTGTTGCCGATGAGCGATCACTTGAGTCAACTGTCGAGCTGAAGAAGCCTCAAAAACAAGGGGAATGTTGGAAATTTTCTGACGGGGAAAAATATACGTATCAAATTTGAGGGTGGAAGATTCTGACTGACATTGGAGCTTGCGCAGGAAACTGGGAGTAATCGATAACAGAAACACTGGATGCTGTGCGAAAGTATCTCAAATGTATTCAACCCTTCTTGGGCGTAGCAATCCTAGAAGAAAAGACTCCTCATGCGTCTTCCCATGGTCTGGCGATCATACAGGACGTTGAACTTATTCACCAGCTGATTCATGTCGTTGCATCCCTTCGTCAGAGTTCCCAAATATGTGATCAGGCACACATCATTGGATTGCTGCAAGAAAAACACAACACAACGCTCAGTTCTCATTGACTTCCCGCTTCGAGAGAATGTCTCACCATGTAAAACTCCTGGCGAAATTGCGGAGTCTGCAGGATTGGTAGGCGATGACTTAAGGAGTACACTTCCCTCAGAATCTCGTGGTTGGGTTTAATTTTTCCACTCTCCACTTCCTTGATGTACGCCAGAACAAGCTTCACTCGCTGGTGCAGCATCTTAATGGCTCCATATTGAGCCATCAAATGCTCTGCCACAACCGAATTCTCTCCTCCGTCATTGGCAGACATCCTGGCCACATGATCCACGCCAATTCTCTCCGCTTCCTCTGTGGCGAGGGTGTATTTCAGTGGGACAAACAGCATAGTCGCTTCTCCCTGAACAATGTCTATGATAGACTCATACAGGCCAATGGGGAGTTTCTGCAAAGAAGAGATCATCAGACTTTCAGCCAAATAAGAGCGAATGCTTAAACCTACATCGACCCCTTTGGATATGGGATTCAGCTGAAGCATAATCGGGCACTCGTTTATCTGGCAAATTTGCTTGTGAACATTCACATCGCTCTCCGTTGGAGTCTCTCCTGTTGTGTACCAGCCCAAGAAGTCCAAATCGCTGAACACTTGCTTGTCTGAAAAACAACAATGTGTGCTGAAGGTCCATCCATGCTTTATGCCCCCGCAATCACTTACATTGCTGCTCCTTGGCTATGTAGTACTCCCTGTTGATTATGATATCCCCATCGGCGTTGAATTCAAACTTCAGCTCAAATGAGTTCAAGACCTCAATATTCCGTCCCTTCTGCTTCCCAATGAGTGCTCCAATAACTACAAAATAGCACAAAACACTTGATTTCACAGCAATCTCACTCTTTGGGCGCACCTACCCTGCTTCCGGGCTCCTTCTTGAGCCCGGATACGAGTCCAGTGCTCAGAGATGTTCATCACAACCAGAGGGTGCAGCGAGATGGTCACTGACGGGATTGTTGCGGAGCTGGCCATCACATTTGTCGCAGGCTTTTTATCTGAGCTAGTGTCCATCGACTCTGTGACCATTTTCTCCTCGTCAACTTCCATTGTGTCTTCCTTCTTCGCCTCCATCCTTACAGAAAAGTCAATCGGCTGAACAACGTTGCTATGCTCGAAATCAAATCACTACCTAAGATCCTAAGTATATTTCAATCCCTTATTATTCACAGATCTATGGGGAATAGTTTTGAGTGGAAAATTACCTTAGTGGTGGGTTATTTTTCGTGTAATACGCGTTTTCCAGGAACAATAAACACAGCAAAAGATGAGGTTATGCGAAACTGGCATGATAGTTGTAGTGTTGCCAACGCTGAGTGTTTATCAGATGTTTACATTTCAGAGAATCCTTGTGAAAATCAACTCCTGATATATTTGCAAAAATCTCAGCCGTAACATGCAGAATCAGAGTGAAATTTGCAGATTATGTCGAAAATACGATGCTAATACAATTTCTTTGCTGGACAGTGAAAGTATTTGTGGATCTTCTCTGTGTGAAATGATCAAATTACTCAGTCAAATTGAGGTGAACAAAGAGATTGTCCCTGTGAAAATTCATTATTTCACTCCTTTTCTTCACAGATCTCATCAGAAGATGGATTTCCGACAACTATTTGTTCTTCTTGCGTTGAGAAACTGAATGCTGCATTTATTTTTATTTCCGAATGTAAGAAATCAGAGGAATGGTTCAGGAAATCCTGGCCAGGATACAATGTAAGCAAGAGGCGAGAAGTTACTCTTGAAAAACAAGGAATCTCTAAGAAAAAGAAGAACAGAAGCAGTCAGTATGTCTGTGAGATTTGCGGAAAGTTAGTTATGCTTCTTCCTTACTGGTTAACAAGAGTGTGCATATAACATTTTATTCTTTCAGGACATGCCAGGACAAGTCTAGTCTCAAAACACATATTAAATTTCACTCAGGACTGAAACCATTCAAGTGCGACTTTTGTGAAAAGGGATTCGTTATGGAAAGTAATCTCAAAGCTCACCAAAAAACCCATTCTGGATTGAAGGAGTTTATTTGCGAGATTTGTGGAGTTTGTTTCACCACAAACACTTCCTTGAAGTGTCACAAAAGGACTCACTCGGGTGAGAAACCCTTTCAATGCGTTACTTGTTTGCGCAAATTTGCCAATCAGAGCAATTTGAGGGCTCACGAGCGAAGTCACAGTGGAGAGAAACCATTTTCCTGCACTGAGTGTACCAAATCCTTTGCCACATCGACGGACTTGATCAGCCACAAAAGGAGTCACACAGGAGAGAAGCCGTTTCGCTGTGATGTCTGCAACAAGACTTTCTCTCTGGCCTCAAATGCCGCAGCTCATCGACGCATTCATGCGGGAGAGAAGAAATTCCAGTGCGAAATCTGTGAGAAGAGATTCCTTCTGAAAGCCTCGTTGCTCAATCATCATCGCAGTCACACTGGATTGAAGCCTTTTCAGTGCAGATACTGCGATAAATCCTTCCCTTATCGCAACTCTCTGGCGTCTCACATAATCTGCCACACTGGAAGTCGCATGTTCGAGTGTTTAGTCTGTAAGAAAAAGTACACGCGAGCGAGTTCTTTGCAAATCCACAAGAAAAAGCACGAATCCTCAGATTCACAGAGTTAATCTTGGCGGTAATCATGCAGTTATACCGGATTCAATCCTTTTCCGTAGGTGAAACTGGCATGAAAGTGTATGCCAGTTTGTTGTTGTTTGGTTGTTTTGCATAGGAATTCGAGTTGTCTTCTGGCATTCTTTCCTCTTTATTTGGCCAATAAAATGCAGTCTCGAAGTGTAATTTGCAGATTATGCAGAAAATATGATAAAAATTCTATTTCACTTATCGATGGGGACAGATTTTCGGGTGTTCCTATGCTAAAGAAGCTCCAAATGATCACTCAAATTGAGGTTAGTCTGTTTGTTTTCCTGGAGGAAAATTCTTCTGATTTTCTCATTTACTTTTCCACAGATCTCTCGAAACGACGCACTTCCAACATCAGTATGCCCTATTTGTGTGTGGCATGTGAACATCACGTACAAGTTCATAATGGAATGCAAGAGATCCGAAGAATGGTTTGTGAAGTCTCTATCGCAGCCGAAAACCGCAGATTTGGAGGAACAAAGCAGCAAAGCCAAGAGCAAAGAAGTCAGTTCCAATCAGATAATTCCATCCAGTGTGACTGAGGAAGTAGCTACTTCACCACTTCCGCCCGTTGAAGACATCAGTCGTGATGCTTTTGATGAGTCTAGTTTGTCCAGTTTGCCAAGTCCTCCGCCTCCCAGCCCACCCAAAGCTCCGGAAGTCTTTGAGGAGATACCGGAGAAACCAAAAGTTTTGACGAGGACGAGGATAGGAATGAGCAGGTTTTTGTTCCGAAACGGAATGTACACTTGCGAGAGATGCGAGAGGTATGTTTCTGTGACCATTTTCTCTATTTTCCATTCATACATTTCCTCATGGAAATTATGCTTTTTTCAGAACCTTCAAAGACAAGAGTTCTCTTCAAACTCATATTTTTTCGCACGTCAAGCCTTTCCATTGCGACAAGTGTGAAAAAAAGTTCTCATCGAAAAACTCCTTTAAAGAGCACATGGACCTCATTCATCTGGGCGTGAAGAAGTACATCTGCGAAGTTTGTGGACGGAATTTCATGTCTTCATCCAACTTGAGGCACCACCGAATGCTACACACAGGTGAAAAGCCCTATCAATGCAGCACTTGTCCGCGAAGATTCAACAAGCCTACAAACTTGCGACTGCATGAACGAGTTCACACAGGGCAGAAACCATTCGTTTGCAAGTTCTGCGGCAAGGCATTCGCGTCGTCGTCAAACCAGAAACTGCATCACATGACTCACACAGGAGAGAAGAGATATGAGTGCGATGTTTGTTCCAAGAGATTCATATCCAAGGCTGGTCTGGATGATCATCGTCGGACGCACACTGGAGAGAAGCCCTACAAATGCACGTTCTGCGATTGTACCTTTGCCCAGAGGAACTCCTTACGATGTCACATAAAGACTCACCCGGAGACGAAGACGTTCCCGTGTCCAATTTGTGCGAAGAAGTATCTGAGACAAGATGTCCTTACACTGCATCTCAAGACACACGAAGACTCTGAGTCGGCAAATCAGGGATAAATTCTTCACATATCGCAACTCTCTGGCGTTTCACGTGATCTGTTACAGTGGAAGTCGCATGTCCGAGTGTGTAATGTGCAAGGAAAAACACACGTGAGTGAAATGTTTTGAGATTAACAAGAAAAGCACGAATCTTTCTCAGATTAACAGAGTTAATTTTGGAGGCAATCATGCAGTTATACCGGATTTATAACACTGGATGGTGAAAAAACTGGCATGCAAGACAGTTTGTTGTTGGTTGTTTTGTGTATTGGAACTCGAGTTTTCAGCGTTCTTTCCTCTTTATTTAGCGAATAAAATGCAGTCTCGAAGTGTAATTTGCAGATTATGCAGAAAATATGATAGTAATTCTATTTCACTTATCGATGAAGACAGATGTACGGGTGTTCCTATGCTAAAGAAGCTCCAAATAATCACTCAAATTGAGGTTAGTCTGTTTGTTTTCCTGGAGGAAAATTCTTCTGATTTTCTTATTTACTTTTCCACAGATCTCTCTAAACGACGCTCTTCCAACATCAGTATGCCCTATTTGTGTGTGGCATGTGAACATCACGTACAAGTTCATAATGGAATGCAAGAGATCCGAAGAATGGTTTTTGAAGTCTCTATCGGCGCCGAAGACCGCAGATTTGGAGGAACAAAGCAGCAAAGTCAAGAGCAAAGAAGTCAGTTCCATTCAAATAATAATTCCATCCAGTGTGACTGAGGAAGTAGCTTCTTCGCCATCTCCGCTCGCTGAAGACTTTAGTCATGATCCTTTTGATGAGTTGAGTTTGCCGAGTTCTCCGCCTCCCAGCCCACCCAAAGCTACGAAGTTTACTGATATGATACCGAAGTTACCAAGAATTGTGATGAGGGTGAAAAATAGCACGTCGTACATTTGCGAGAGATGCGAGAAGTATGTTTCTTTGGCCATTTTCCATTCATGCATTTTCTCATGAAAATGACCAATTTTCTTTCAGAACCTTTAGAAACAAGAGTTCTCTTAAGACTCATCTTTTTTCGCATTTCAAGCCTTTTCGTTGTGACAAGTGTAGTAGGAAGTTTGAACATAGTAGCGCTTTGAATAATCACATGGACTTCTTTCATCTGAACGCAAAGAAGTACATCTGCGAGTTTTGTGGAGGGAATTTCATATCTGCATCCAGCTTGAGGTTCCACCGAATGCTACACACAGGTGAAAAGCCCTATGAATGCAACCTTTGTTCCAAGAGATACAACAGGCCTGGCACTTTGCGGATGCACAAGCGAATTCACTTAGGGCAGAAACCACATGTTTGTAAATTCTGCGGCAAGGCATTCACGGCGAAGCCCAACCTGAATGTTCATGTGATGAGTCACACAGGAGAGAAACGGCATCAGTGCGATGTTTGTTCCAAGAGATTCATATCCAAGGCTGGTCTCAATGATCATTATCGGACGCACACTGGAGAGAAGCCCTTCAAATGCAAGGTCTGTAATCGTACCTTCGGCCAGAGGAACTCCATGCGATGTCACATGAAGACTCACCCAGAGACTGAGACGTTCTCGTGTCCAATTTGTGCAAAGAAGTATCTGAGACAAGATGTCCTTACGCTGCATCTCAAGACACACGAAAACTCAAAGTCGACCAAAAAGCGATTGAGAAAATAACATGATATTTCCTTAAGTCCTCATAAAAAAGAGACAATCTAAATGGGAGTAACTTTATTGCTTTCATGGGTCGCCACAATGCACACATTCTCCAGCGTGACATCGCGGCTGACGTAGTAAATGAGCGAGGCATCGTAGTGGTTCTGTCTTAAGTACACTAGCCTGGCGTAGTCCAGTATCCTTTTGCATCGGATGCCCAGTTCCTGCTTCTCCTTGCGGGACATCTTCACCGTGTCTTCTTCTTCGTCAGAAGATTCCTCCACTGAATCATCAGAGTCTTCAGCCTCCTCGAGTTGCTTACGACGCTCCCGACTCATGCCGGTGCCACAAACCGCCCAACTCACCATCTTGGTCATCACGATGAAATCTTTGCGCGTGATTTCGTGCTGCGTGAAGAATTGCTTGCCCACAAACGACTTCCACTCGCATCTGTGATGGCAGCAGAGCGCAATGAGGATGCCCTTTGTGCGGCACGCTTTCCTGTTGGGCTCCTTTGGCGGCTGGTTTCCCGCCACAATGCAGCGCAGCGTCATGTCCGTGGCAGCTCCGCAGAGATGCTTGCTCACGCCGACGACGCTCTCGCTCTTGTGCGGCATCCACGAGAGATCCAGATTGGCAATGTCTGCCCGGATGCGTGTCACCGTGTCCCGATCCTCCACCTTGTTGTCCTTCTTGTGACGATGCGAGGCCTTGTCCACGAGCACCACGGAGCACTGCTTGAAATGCTTGATGGCCTGCGCTATCCAGAAGGAGACTTGACCCTTGCCGGCGCCAAACTCCACGAAGCAAGTCTGTGGCAGGAGGAGATTGTACTCCTGCAGACATCCCAGGAGAGACGCTGTCTGCCTGAGATGCTTGAGGGCGGTTGGACCGTATTCTGGCTTCGCCAGCTCTTCCTCCAGCAACTTGTGCTCTCGGAAAACACACTTGATGCTGTCGTTGATGTACTTTGAATACAACCCGTTGATTTTCTTCGTGAGATTTTTCAAATATGTCGAAGTGAGTTCACTGAGCTTCACATTCCTCCCCACATCATCACCTCCTTCCTCGTCCTCTGAGCCCAAGTGCAGCCCGATCTTGATATAGTTCTCGTTCTTCATGGGACGAGCATTGCAGATCTTGAGGTGCTTCGTCAGCTTGAAGGCGTACACAGTGTGTTTGGAATCGAAGGGACATGGCACTCGCTCTGCCCCAGAATTTCCCATCTCCTTTTCATTGGGCTGCGTGATGGGCTGATGCTGGCTGCAGAATTTTCCACCCTTATCAACAGTCATTTTACAAAATCTCTTCTTGCGAATAACGAAAAACTGACACCGTGATTCATTGCACTCTTCACGCAATTTTCTGCGCTTCTCCTCGGGTTCAGACATCTTGGTGTCTGCCACGATGGTTCACTATTGCTATTGATTTTATGGCCGTCTGCAGAATGCACTAGAAAATGCACAAGAATTGCGGAAAATCAATAAAAGGCACTGACAATTTGTACACGTGAAATTTTTCGCCACACGCATGTCATCAAAAGCCTATTTGTGTCTCGGATGGCAAAGTGCGTCTCGGGAGCCGGATTCGGATAATTTCAAATCTAACCGCTAACCGCACGCCATATTGTCATAAAAAAATGTTATCACAAATTGCACAGCTACTTTATCACTAGCAATCTCAACTACGCGATTGTACTCATCTTTACGGTGCAAACAGTGGGACGGTGGAGAAACAATTTACTGTAAAAATGTTGTTTTTGAAGCGATATTGCCTCAATATTTATTCTAAAAGCAATCCCAACAACATCTGATATGTGCCTGACAATAGAAATCTCTTATCAAACACAACTCTTGTGTGGCGATGCGACTGAGGTAGGAGGAATGAAACCAAGTCGTCACATATCAGCTATTGTAGTGCAATTTACATACCAATTGCACACAGAGACTGAAATTAAGTATTTTTAGAGCAATTTCACGTTCCCGAAGATTCACAGATATAGCAAATTGGGGAAGTTTGCAACTCATTCCTTGGGGAAGTGTGAATATTACACATGTTACAGATGTTTAGAGATTACTTTTGTATCTCGATTTGACCAGATTTTACTGGCAAAGAGATTAGAAAGATTATTGTTCACTTATACAAGAAGAAGAATTATTGAGGTTGAACGCGTGATGTTAAGTAACGAAATTGTTCTTGAAATTTGTGCTTAGACGCAACTTCTAAGCATAATCATTACGGAATGATATTATTCTTTTACAGGGTCAGAAAGCGTATCTCAACTTAATATCATTGACTTGCTTTGGCTACAATTCAATGGACGCCGTCGGGCGAAAGGAAACTCGAGCACGAGAGTGACAAAGTTTTCAGCCAACATGGAGAAAATATTTATCCTTCGGGGTGTCTCCCCATCTCAACAAAGTAAAATCAATAATATGGCATTTGAGAGGACCAGAGCGACCAACATATGTACATAATTTGTATGGAAGGCACGGGAAAAAGACTGTGGACAAATACGAAATATCCTTGTCTGACTTCCATCGTGCGAGGCGCGAGGAAGAGGAAAAAATACCATAACTTTTCCTCTGCTGTGCCTTGTTGTTTGCCTCAAGTTCAAATAATCATCGTGTGCAATTCTGTCTCTTCTCCAGTGGCAACATTCCCACCCAAAAAGGAAGCAAACAATGCGAGGATTTCATCTCGTTTGCACTTCTCACTTGCTCTCCTGCATCACCATTCGTGCGTCTCTGTTGCCCGTGACTTTCATCCCTCTCGCGGGGCTCGGATGTGCGCGAGGGAGAGGAAAAAGGATCAGCGCGAAGGAGCAGCAGGGCGACAAAGAGGGTAAATCAGCGGGAGAACCAACACACACGCACGTACCGAAGGCAAACCATGTACACAATTGAATGTACATAGCAGTTTATTCGAGTTGATGCCAGTGAGACCACCCCCCTATAGAGTTTTCCCTCTCATTTCATCTCAACAGCCAGATACTATTTCCATCGAGTTTATCTTTAAATAAATGTTGTAGTTGAGTAGTAAATACAATTTACGTATCCCCAAGTATTTCTGGCATTCGCCGACGAGATATGGTGCAAGTCAGACACGGACAGAATCGCTGGATGGAGAGGAAGCGTCTCTCCTTGTGAATCCTCGCCATTATTATTCTTGTGCATTTTTCCATTGTGTCGTGTGACATATTTCCTCATTTCGCAATATTCTGTTGGATTTCCCCGTGAATATTTTCAACATTAGTGCGCATTGTCGAACATTTTACAAACCGCAGACAAAGAGAACCTCCGCCATTATACACCGAATTTCTAATAAGTACCTTTGCCCATTAGTTGGACATTTTCGACTAATTACAGTGAAGATTGTGATGTGATTTGATGTGTGAATACAAAATTAACTTAGTGTCCAGCACATCCATTCCCATCAAGAGTCCAAAGAGAGCAGAATAAGGACTGAAGTGTGTGGGAGGAATTAAAGGATAATGAGAAGTGGTGCAGAAAGCAGTGAATCATAGCGAATTATAAAGTGCAAAGTACAGTCCTGTGATGTATTTGTGGCTGAGCTTGAGATGAGGGTAGAGAAAAACGTTTATTTGTGGCAGGCGAGAGGATAAATTTTTGGGGTTTCAACGATACAGAAAAGAAGTGTGTTGACGAAAAAGGAGGCGAAATAGGGAGCGAGACAGAAAGTGAAAGAGGGACGAAAAAAGCAGAAGAGATGCATTCGCCAGTTCGATCATCGCCATTGGATTTACGACCCGCCCTTTCGGCATCACCGACGCAAATTGGAAATGACAAGCCACGACCACCGCTGGTGAAACCGCCCTATTCCTACATCGCCCTAATCACAATGGCCATTCTCCAGTCACCCCAAAAGAAGCTCACCCTCAGCGGCATCTGCGAGTTCATTATGACACGGTGAGCAAAATATTTTCCTTATTGCATTTCACCGTGTGCAATTAAGTTCTGCGTGAATGACTGGCAAGCATGCAACGGAACGAAGCCATTGTTTGGGGAGCACAGCACTGAAAATATGGGAAAATGTACGCCAAATGTGAGATAATCAATGCATATGGAAACTGGAGTGTCCTGGGGACATTAAAAATGATTTCGCTATTTATTTTCTGTCATGAAATACAATATTTATCCACAATTGATATTTACTTAACAAGCCTATTTTCGTTTGTAAAAACATTTTTCCATATGCACAACAAATTGTTATTATTTACACTTTGATGTAATTTTCCAGTGCACTTTATGAATTATCACACATTTTGACTAAATGAATATATTTGATTTGTACAATGAAAATTAATTTTAAATAGTTTGGTTTTGTGTAATATAATTATTATTTCAACAATTAACAAGCTATTTACTCTTAGCATCAGATGGAAAATAATATTTTTTTTTAGATCGAAAGTGTATGAAAATCACTATTTTACTCTGATGCCAGTGAGATATGTAATTATTTATTTTAATTAACATTTTGATGAAGACACCAAGATGAAAAATTTCTTTATTTCCTAAGAAATCATTAAAAACGTACATAAAAATCAAAAATATTATCACCTAAAAATTATGCAGATCAACATATAGAATCACAAATGTTAGTTTCTTTTTATTTTTAATACGTAGAAATTCAATTATTTTTTATCGTAAAGAATACTTAAATTTCAACAATCATTTGGCTTTAGCTGAGAAGCATGGATAATATTGAAAATATTAATAACCAAACCAGCCAGACCCAAATTTAAAAAATAATTTAGAAGTCTATTCAATTATTATCGTATTGTTCAAGTTTTATGACTAATTTCCTAAATATGAAGTTATTCCTTAGTCGTTAAACTTTGAAAGAAGACTAATTACACGTTGCTTGTTTGTTAATTCTCTACAAGTTCCAACAAAAGCTAAGCTCACAACTGATTGTTGAGTTTTCCTGCAGTATTTGAATCATAAAGATAATTTACCTAATGCCAAAGACATCAGAGTACAAGCTTTAATTTCCTAGATGATGACGCTTTTACTGTTTTCAATAGAATAAAATGTTCTTATCACAAAATCCACTTGCAGAATTCTCTATTGTGGTGTGATTTCTTGGTAGAATAAATTGTTGAATTTTGCTGTTTGATTTGGATTCCGCGGATGGAATTGCGTGCGATTAAATTTACGAGTATATTGCGAAGTCTGAAAATCATTATCTCTCCGCGGGCGCGATGGGAAGTGGCCCATTCTGATTCCCCACTTTGATGACACCATTAAGAAACATCTCCATATTTGGATGCCTATTCCATGAGAGATTGTGGGTGCTATCGCAGCATCTCACGGCGCGTTTATTTCATTAACACAAATATTATTTTAATTCCTCTGGATGTTGTATTGTTGGAGTGAAATACTGTCAACCATAAATATTCCTAAGCTTATCAATGCCTAATTTTAGTCACTTTTTCACAGGCCAAATATTTGGGAGGGGAATTTTTTCAGTATTTTCAGATTGATAGCGTGTGCTCGTGTGAAAATTTCATGATATAAAAAGATGAACAAAAATAGATGAAAGATGTTGTGAAAAGATTTTATTATCACGATGAGGAGAGGGAGTTGGTGGTGTGATAACTGCCTCGTGCAAAGCTAATATTTGCTGTGATGCTCTCAAATGAATGAATTTACTAAGATTCTTTTTCGCAAATAAATCACTTTTCAGGTTTCCCTACTATAAGGAAAAATTTCCAGCGTGGCAGAATTCCATAAGGCACAACCTCAGTCTCAATGGTAAGTTTTCTGTCCGGGTTTCGGCCCCAAGAGTGGTGAAGAATTGTAAAATTTATGAATATTGTGCGCTCGCAGATTGCTTTATCAAAGTTCCACGCGAACCGGGAAACCCAGGAAAGGGGAACTTCTGGACTCTGGATCCCCTGGCGGAGGATATGTTCGACAATGGAAGCTTCCTGCGCCGTCGGAAACGATACAAGCGGACAAATATTCCGCAGGGTTTGTCTTTTCCCTCAGTCTTCAGCACTTTCACCCCGTTCTGGGTGAGGAAACCCGTGCCCATCTTGCCAGCTCAAATTGACGCTTCTCGCTTCTCCAGCTACATTGAGAACTACGAGATCTTCGCCCACAGACAAGAGCTTCTCCAGGGTGCGGATTACAGCATGTCTCCTGAGGTGAATCACTACAAACCGCACGAGATCAAGGCGGAAATTCCGGGCAATTCCTCCCCGTCCGCGAAAATGCCCATGCGAAAGGGCTTCGAGGGCTGTCGAAACTACTCCTCAGTCCTCAACATTTTGTCTCGCAACAGCGAGGCCAACAGGAAGGAGTTCCTGGAGAACATCGAGAGATCCACAGGCATCTTCTGCAATCGCTCACTGCCGCCGGACGTGGGCGCGTATGCCAAGGAGACGAAGCTGGAGGACGCTCACACGTCATTCATGCGCCCTGAGATTCACAGTGACTTCGCCACGTGCGATGGCTCCAATGATAAGATCGATGTTGAGAGTGAAAGTGACTCAGAGGGAGAGATTAAGAGGAATTTCATACCCTTCGACGGATACAGTCACAATCCCATCCATTATCAGGCAACTCCCGTGAGCTGTGGCGTGTTGCCGCGCGACAGAGATGATAAGAATCCCACCTTGCAGCCGGAGAATCTCGTCAACACAGAGATGGCGCAGAATTTGAGCGCCAAGCCTGGCAATCTTGTCAAGAATCCCACATACGATGAGTTGCTGGGTATCTGCTCGAACTTCTCCAATCGCTACGCCACCGTGACAAACTTCCAGGAGATCAGTAAAGCCCGAGAAGAGGAGATTCCGCACATCAGGGACGAGAAGATCAACGCAGAGACGCCCCACAGAGATGATCAAGACACCACAATTCTGGAGTCCAACATCCTCACGAAGAAGCGGAAGTACGCAAATGTGAAGGGCTTTAGCATAGAAAATCTAATAGGGCAGGCAATCGATGAGACATGAAAGCGCCACACTTGAGTGAATCTCCAACATCAATTACACTTCCCTCACTTTTTTTCTCTGGAGAGGAAACTTTCGCCCCGAAAACGTCGCTGAGCTGATGGAGATGAAAGACGGGCGAAGAACTTTAAGAGGAGAACACCATTGGAAATTTCTCCCTTCAAGATGCGGAGAGACTAAGATGAAGCATTTCCCTTTTGCATCTCAGATACATAACAAATGTACATAGGATATATAGACATTCGCAATTCTCCCCTTCGTTCATGTATGTTTTAGCAATGTGATGTGTATATAAGGATTGGATTGATATGTGAAACTCTCTTTCTTAGAATATGGAAGAAAATGGAAAAAAAACTTGTCTTTGTGAAATGTATAAGATAATTATGTAATTGAATGTAGTTTTCAGAGAGAAATTCCACTTTAAGGCATATAAAAAATTGTATGTAAGAGTCATTCGCAAAAATGGAAACCTTCTCAGTAATTCATTATATTATAAAGTGCAGAGAGAAAATAAGGCACGAGTTGTTTCATTTGCAGTCCTTTTTGTTAGTCCCTTGTGCAGCAAAATGTGTTCCATTTCGTCTCATTCACCATCATAATTGCAACAGTTCAGGAAAATATACAAAGGAAAACCCTTATTTCTGTTTAATAATACAGAGAAATAACTTGTGTGGTGCTTAGAAGTTCTGGACAGAAATTCACCTTTGATCTCTTGCTCGTCGGGAATGTTTTGATATCTACAATAATAGCTGTAGAAGTTATTAATAGTGAACGTCGCATTTAATTGGACAAAGCTTCTATTCAGTGATCAATTATTACTTCCTTGTTGCACAGTTAATATTGGTTGAACATCAAATGGGATATGAAATTCATGGTTAAAATCATTTGAAATTTAATTACCAAGTCAGGGGTCTTCTCGGAACACTCTCTGCAGCAGGATGAGCTCCTGAGGGTAACAATCAATGTGAAATTCCACGGTTAATCCTCTGAAACAGAGCAGAATGCTCGCTGTGTCGCATCGCACAAGGAGGGTGGGAGGGTGGGCAAATAAAATGCAAAGCGACGGGAAGAGTGAGAGAACAGTGAATTTGATCAAGTGTGTCCTCATCGTATAAATGTTTTTTGGGAAATGCCGAGAAAAGAACTGTGGAGAGGAGAGCCTTAAGCCATGCACAAATAATTCCGGGGGTTTACATTGGCACTGTGAGAGCCGACAAATACAAAATGCACACACTGCAGTGCACATTTTATTTCGTCCGTGAGTATTTTATAAGCACTCCCGGTCCATTGTGCCGCGCCCTAATCCGGACGATGAAACCAGAAAAGCCCTCGCTTAATTCAACACACAACACATTAACTGGCAATAATTCACGCTCAGTTTGTGCAATTTTGACTGCTGAGAGATGATGTTGATCCGAGAGGAGGGATTAATGCTTCCTCGCTGGAGAGACAAATTCTACTTGACCAGAAAGCAAGGAGGAAGAGAAAGAAATCGTATTGCTCTAATATCCATCCAGCAATTCTTCTTTTGCTTGTCGTCTTTGTATACGAGAGAGGAAGCCATCGGGAGGAGAGAATCAAACGGATTAGGAATTGGAATGCCACCCTCTGAGCCAACAATTGCCCATGCAAAGGAGTCTCAATGCAGTGAATTACGTTGCGGGTAGCTTTTCATCCTGTTTTGATCCCTCTCCTCGCCCTCACAATTGCCTCAACCGCCTCACCCTTTGCGGGCCAAGTGTACAAATTTAATAGTTATCCTCTAATATTGATGATCGCAAGAGGATCACGCGGGCACAGATGAATTGGGCGCGCGCGAAGGGGTGGAATGGAATTTTATTAGTTTCAAGGGCTCGCTCAACACCCCCCGAATCGTGATGCTATCGCACGTTGTCGCGTTAACAAATAATTTTGTCAATATTCATGCGACAGGATTATCGCACATAATGAAAATTGTCGAGGTGTCTGTCACAACTATCATCCCCGGAATATTAATTTCACACCAATTGAGGGTGGCACGCGTTGCGAGATATTTATCACCAAACACTCTCAAAGAGCACTTAACATTGGCCCGCCACGTGACTTCTCTTCAGCATTGATACACCTCGCGCGGGACACGCCACAAATGCCCTCAAACCCACGGAACAAGTGTTTCGGCAGGAGAAAATTTTCAATTAAAAGACATATTTGCAGACACTGCACAGGATTACCAGCCATTGTGGTGAGTTCAAACATATTTCATTACTCCTCTGGCAATATTTGCGCTCACAGATAATCAATCAAGCGGCCTTATCAGCTCGAGGGTGGTGAAAATGACACCAAATTGCACGAGAGGGAATACATATATCGGGGTGGAAATTGAGAGTAATCCTCAGTAATTTAGCAACAACAAATAGAAATGAATGCAACCAAATAAATAAATTATTGGTTTTATTATGCTATAGTTCAGAGGGTTTATGGAGAATAATTTATGACGCTGAAACATAGCAAAAATAGCAAAGTTCTTGTGCAGAACTAATAACAGAAAGTTTTGTGTTGGTGTTTTAATAGAAGTTTTGGAAACCAAAAGCAATTTTCCAACATAGAGTGGAATTAAAGTTGATAAAGCAATGGAAAAGGCCAATTTTGGTCAGTTAAATCGGTTTTAGCATTTTAGTCAGTAAGTCTTAAATTTTCTTCAACCAGAAAGAAAATCAATACTCCGGTTTGTATTCGGGCTATTTTGGTAATTATACTTTAACTCTGACTAGAAATATCACCATAGAATAATTCTATAATTTCCACGAAATACAACATGTTTTTAAGTATTCTACGAATATTTGCCGCTACAGTGAATGAAAATCATCAAATCAAAAATGGTAAATTTCATCTCACATGAGTTTTGAGGCCGTATTTGTGTCTTAATTTGTCGTACAGTCTAAATATAGAACAAATATAAGAATATCCCACTCAAGATCATTCGTCGTTTCTCATCAAAATTACTAAACTGCCGAAAAAAATATTTTCTCGAGTGGCTTTTGAAGTGGCGCGCTCTGCAAGAATCCCCGCGTTTTGTCATATTTTCATGCCAAATAGAGCTTTCTGAATTTTCTCGAAAACATCTCGAGCAAATAGAAATAAACATCAAGTATCTGCCCACGATCGAAAGGAGGAAAACATGCTAAAGCGCGCAAACATCTTCCCCAGAGACAAGAGAGAGGATTTCTCTGTGAAATTATTTCTGGCATCTTTGAAGCTCTTTCCCCGGAAAATATTTTCCCAGCACACCGATGGAGACATTCTGGAGAAATGTTTCATCATTCCCACCCACTGTATATATGCTTTCGCCATAATCATGTGAAGTGTGGATGGGGATTGTCTTGAAAGCATAATATTGTTATGGATTACTTCCTCATTTCCTCTCACAGATTTGACAAGCATCTCCTCCGTATCCGTGGAGAAGGAAAAATCCCGTCAGATGCGAGAGAGAAATATTCGCAGGCCAACACACTCACCGCCCCAATAAATACAATTTTCCTTTTAGGCACACTGAGTGTTTTTCCGACGGTTCCTCACACAGAGGACACCATGTACATTCTTGTGCGGCGCAAGCCAATAACAGCATAAACAGCTTCCATTACAGAATTAGAGGCGTATCCCAGAGCCGCTTCCCCATCGCTAAATACCGACGCGTTGGACATCTCTTGTTCATCTTCTGGCTCCCCGCATGCTGCGGACTCTGTCTCTCCGACGCACTGCGCATGCCTCCATCCCACCCCCTGACCAGGAAGCCCTCCACGGGGGCCGCAGAGCGACGGAGCGAGAGAGAAGATGCCTCATCCCAGCGCCAAGACTCTCTGAATAGAGCGCTTCGCCGGAGTCAGAGTTTTGGGGAGGCTTCAAAGGAGGATGGAAGGGACCTCCCTATTTACATTTGCCTTTCTCCCCATAAATATTATCACACTGCTCACCATAGTGAGTATATCTCGGGAGGGGGACAAGTTAAACAAAGGTGACTCGAGATTTTCCACGGGGCCAACATTGAGCCAAGAGCGACCCAAACCCAATAAAGGCGGACGATTTTCCGTCTCTGGAAAAACCCTAAGAGGATTCAGGTGTCGGGCGTGAAGTACTCCCGAACATCCCATCATCGTTTCATCGTTTCATCAAATCTCGTCCCCCAGTTTTCAGAGACTTCTGACTGATTTGTTCGCCCGCAAATCCTGCTGGAAAATTCACAGATATCACAATTGAATGAGAAATCTATTCACACTGAGTTATCCTGACCATGTTCCGAGATGGTTAACAATGAAATCGTAAATCACAAAGCATCCAATAGTCTCTCTGTAGTCCTTCATTTCAGTGGAAATGCTCATATATTGTAAATCGCATAGAGCCGATGTGCAAACAGTGAGTGAGAGACAGAGTGGAAGAGCAAGTGAATTTAAAACAGGCGTAGGAAGACCCCTATACTTTTTCACATATAATTTTCCCCATCATATATAATATGTTTATTGGGAACACACAGTGAAAGAGAGAGAGAAAATTCAATTGCAACAAACACTGAAGGCAAAATACACAAAAGATATAGAGAGAGCGACTCTTCTATTTGCCTATCCTTGCGATTTTCTGCCCCGGGAAAACCCACGCACAGCCAGAGATTTTCATACTGCTTTTTCCCACACCCTCAAATCCACACACAAACAGCTCGAGTGATTGCTCATCTAATGTGAGGGAATAATCCTGAGATTTACCCAACAGCAGATTATTGACTTGATGAGAGGAGATAATTGCGTTCTATTCACAATTATTCTTCACGGTTTCACCCACTCAAATCTCTCACAGTTGGAGAATTGCGTGGGTTTTCCAAGGGTGAAGACAGCCAGAATTAAGTGCCGAATATGAATTTCCACAACTCACTCAATTGATTTCAACTTCAAAAAATACAGCAGATTTCTAAGTAAATCAAATTGCTGTCTATCAATTAACTAATGATATTGAATTTTAGTCAATTTGGCATTCTCGAAATCATTGAAAGTCTTGATTTGATCCGTGAACTTGTAGTCGAGAATCACTCTGAATAAATCCATAAAATTCAAGTATCGTGAAAAAAGGATGCATTTCACATTGAAATCTAAACACAAATTGTATTAATTACCACGAGTGGCTTTCGAATAAAAGAAGCCATCGCCCACCCTTTCGCATCATCGGCCCTCGAGGCAGAAAACTCTTCACTCTGTGTGAAAATGTTTGGCAAGCACTGCGCCGTAGAAAGGAAGATATCGAGCGAAAGGCTTCAGCCCTCCGTCATTTCCATCCTAACGCAATTGTTCATTAATTGCTCTTGTACATTTGCTCAAAACTGCACCATACATTGTATCACAACGCCAGAGGAGCGAAAGAGGGAGAGCTGAGATGTGCAATTTTTCCTGCCACTTCTCCTGTTTGTCCATCGTGAATATCAAATGCGAGAAGATTGAATAGTGTGTCAATTGGCGAGAAATGGCATTGAGAGATTTGTATACCATGAAATTCTTCAAGTACCTTTTATTCAGATGCATTTTCGTCCTGTTTCCATTGGCATTAAAACTAAAAAATCTCGCTATTCACACCGTCTGAATGGTTGAGGACTTTTTGCTCTTTCTCTCGCCAGCTATGAAGGATGTCTCCTCAGAAGTGTTACTAACCAATTTGTCCTCCTGCCCATCCACCTTGCCGTTCCCCTCCTCGTGCCCAGGCTTCTCCATTGAGAGCTTCGAAGGAGTCGCCGGACGCCAGGAGGAAGAGGCTGAAGAGCGCGATATTGCGCCAGGACTTGCCGATCTGCGCAAATCCTCCAGCGGAATCTCTTCTGAACGCGGTCGTGGAGTTCGAGGGCTCGAATCTCTCGTCCCCGGACGACTTGTGCTCGACGACAGAGATCCCTCGGTGTCCCTTCGCGGCGTGTGTCTGCCGTAGGATGAGGAACTGGGACTATTCCTCCCATCGCCCGAGCTGTACAATACAAGGGAGTAAGTGAGGGGAATTGCGAGGAATTTTTCCACAGCTGTGCTCACCTATTCAAGCTGCTTCTATTGCCAATCTGAACGCGACTCACACCCGCCGACGGCATACTTCCGAGTCGAAGGGCCGCCGCAAAGCCAGGAACACGATTGGCGGTGGAGAACAATGGACGGTGCTCCCTCAGAGTTATTCTTCCACTTGTCGCAATCCCTGCATTACTTCCCTCCGCACTTGGCTCTTTGATTTCCAGTATTTGCGCTATTTGCAGCATTTTCTTCTGCCTCACTTTGCTGCGTCCCTGCAAACGGTAGATAGAGAGGTGTTAAATCACTGTCGCGGACACGCATTTTAGTGCACGTCGCACACCTTTGTCAGCCTTTGCTTGGCAGCCATGCACCGAATGTAGTCGTCAAAAACCAATTTGGCGGACAGAAGCGGAGACTGATTGCGAGTCGCTCCACCGCGAGAGATGGTGAGATGCAGGCATCTCGTGTCATCCTTGTCCCCACCCACTTCGGTGTCTTGGAGGAATCCCACAATCTTGGCAATTCCCCATCCCAGTCGCTTCAAATCCGGCTCCACGAGGATCAATTGCTGCACATCAATCACGAGGAATCGTCGCTGCTTCTGTCCATCCTTCATGATTATCGTGCAGGCAATCAAGTCACTGTTATCTGGCGGACGAATGAAAGAAAATTAATCCAATGGAGAGCTGCTCTAAGTGTGTGACCATAAAACTCACTCAAGTCCAGCACATCGTCAATATCCACGCAATTGTGCTGATTCGTCAGTGGCAGAAGGGACTCAATTTCGCCGAAAATGGTGTGACAGAGGCGCCTCAAGTAGAGAAACACCCTGATCGCCCTCCTGGCCTTCTCCACATCCCCACATGGAAGACGTCGCGTGAACATAATACCCGTGAGCGGGGTGCCGGTGGGTGGGAGGAGAATTGTCGAATCAGCACAGAGGAACTCCACATTGAGCGCTGACTTGCTCATTTCATTGTACTCATCCTCAAAGAGATCCAGGAATATATCCTCGGATTTGTAGTAGAATTTCACCACATTCATGCTATGATATCGACTCTCTGTTAGCATAGCGTGTTGTCCCTCACTCAAATCATACTTGCTGTTTGAAGAGCGTGTAAATCTCTGTATTAATATCGCATTGAGTTCAAGTGTTACGAGACGGATTCGACTGGCTGCAAATAGAGCAAATAATTATTGCCACTTCTGTTTGCTCCCCACGCGCGCATTCAATGCTGCTCATGGCAGACAAGCAAAAACATATTATTGATCCACCACACTCACCAGGAGTGCTGGACATGTAGGCAATCTTGAGGAGTTTCTCCACGAGCAGCGTCTTGCACTTTGTCCCACACGAACTGGACGAATTGAGTGTCTTCTCGAGCCATTCCCTATCGACTCCTGACAAATATTGAACACAAAACAGTTGTGATTAGACGGAATAGACATTTATCAACCCTCCCCAAGTAGTCTCACCAGAATTTTCCACGACAGCATAGATAAGGCAGAGAGCGAGGAGAGCTAGGTAGTCATTGTCTGCGCAATCCATGGCCGAGATTACGGTGTCCAGAAAGGGTCTGTTCGTCACACTCTGGTCATCAACACCCTTCATCTTCTCCTTCTCCTCGTCCGTCCTGTTGAGCTCGCTGTGCTCGGGCAGGGCAGACACCGTGGTGGGATCCTCCTCATGGCTGGAGATGTTGGTGTCCGAATTCGTGGCACTCAGAGTGGTCTCCAGGGCTCTCTCCAACGACTCCTGTGGCTCGGCGAAGCCCAGCGAGACAAATTGCTTGCGATCTGTGTCGAGGAGCTTCACGAGTCCCTCCTTGAAAATACTGTTGTCGGCATTGAAGATCACCCAGGCGAGCGTCTGAACCAGTGGCGGATGCTTTATCACCAGGAACACCATTGCGAGCAGGAAGAAGCCCGTGACGACGGAGACACGCGGATTGTTGACCTCCTGGATGTCCTCGATCTCCACCACCTTGTTGAGCACCGCGGCCAGGTTCTGCGTCACCGTGGCGATGGAGAGCGACGGAGCGGGCGTCAGGGAGAATATATACAGCGGCACGAAGAGCTTGTGGAGGAGATGCTCAGTGAGAACGGCATTGAGGTCGTCTATTTCGAGGCAGAAGATGTCATTGATGTAGTGCAAGTGGTCCAGGTGCTCGGCCACGAGGTTCGAGAGGCGACTCTGGGACTGATGATCGGTGTCATTGCGCACGCACGCGTCCAACTCGAGGATGTGATTGCCGATGAACCACACCAGATTGCTAAAGTACGGAGCTGCCGTGCGATCGCGGATGAACTGGAGCATGTTCGTGTTCTGCACTCTGTACACATTCAGGGAGATTGTCCGCACGGCTATCCTCACCATGGACTCCGGATGGTTGAAGAACTTGATGGCCTCCGTGTAGAGCGGGAAGTCATTCGTGTGCTCATTGTAGAAGAAGTGGATGGTGTGCTTATTGAGCTTCAGGCTCAGGGTCTTCAGGAAGAGGATATAGTAGCCCATCACGTCCTCGTCGGAGAAGTCAAACTTGTGCACGATGATCGAGTTCACCTGGTTGTTGCTCAGCAAGTAGTCTGAAAGAGAAACCCCGGGTTAGAAAGCACTTCCAGGGCCACAGAGTGCAGCAACGCACAGAGCGACGTCTCGTTCCGGATGTTCTCGAACAGAATGTTGAGTGTCTGCAAGAGTTGGACGCACACGAAGCCCGGGCCGCCGTTCTTCTGCCTCATGATGTGGATGAAGTATGAGAGCATGTTTTTCTCCAGGAAGAAGCTGTAAAGTAGATCCATTGAGAGACTCGCGTCTTGCCGCTGTTTGACAGCAAATTCCACAAAAAAAACTCACTCAAACACCGAGGAATCGTGCTGGTCACCCCAGATGAGGATCTCCGCGATGGACCTCAGCGTCTCCACCAGAAGGCCTCTGTTGTGCTCGGACACCGTCATGTTCTTCTCCAGCACGGAGTAGAGGTATTTCATGTGCTCCAGGGACAATCTGTTCTTGGGCTTGTTCCAGTTCGCCCCGAACCAGCTGCGACTGCGAAACATTGCTCTTCACTCTGGCCACCACTTTGCACTCGCACTAGAGAGATCACGAGTCCCGTACAGATGCTGAACAGCTGATCTTTGTGGGATTTTCACACAATTCCTTCGTACAAAATAAACATCTTCATGCAATTTCCCCTCTTTTTCTCAACTGACAGTATCGTTCTTTCCCCCACCACTGCAACCAACAAAAGACGATCTGCAGACTTTACGAGATGCACAAATTTTCGAGAGAATCGCCTTGATTCGTTGTCAAAGTACAGCTAAACACAGATATAAAGCCAGATAGAAGATATGGAAGCGTCTGATTACCTAATAATGCTTGAAAAATGACTTATTTTCACAAAATCAATCCGCCGCTGCACCTGTCACTCGGCTCACACTTCAATTCTGCAGACTTTCACCAGCAGCGCCACCCGGCGGAGTTTTCGTGTTTATTTGTGTTCCTTGCCCTGCTGATTGTTTATAATTTCCCATTTTCACGCATTTTACCACATTTTCCTGGCTGCAATCTCATTCACTCGCACCGTGGGTAGTCACAGAAGCTAAAAGGTGAGAAGAAATTGCCGTGGAAGTGATGAATAATGCATAATTTGCATGAAACGTGGCATGACAGTGATGAGTTAATGGAACAAGGCGTGTCCGGCTGGTCTGTTGTATTGTTTTCGGAGGCTTTTGGGGCGCCTCGCTGAAATATTTCATCGAATTCCCACACAATACTTAACCCGACGGCTGAACTGTCTGTTTATTCGTTGAAGGGATGAGAAATCGAGAAGTAAGTCATGTAACTCCTTGCAGATGGTCCTTTTGGAATCCTGTTGGTCCCCTTGCATCTGGACAAACTCGGTCAAGTCCGGGAGCTATGCAGTTGCTGTCTACACAGCTGCCATCAGCGTCGTCCTCATCACAATGGTAAGGAAACCTAGATCTTCCTGATGAAGGCATTTCCTGATCCTCTCGATCCTGTCTTCCAGATTGTCTACATGCTCCTGGGCGGAGACTCCACACAGCTCTATTCCCCGCTCTTTGAGACAGACATCCGGAGCTCAATGAAGATCGTGGGCGGTTTCTTCATCCTGTACTTCATCCTCCTCATCGTGTCCGCCTATTTGCTGTACTACGGCATCAAGATCACGTAAGAAGAGTGTCTCTGGAGATGTCAAGGAGATTGTTTGACCAGAAATAATTGCAGGACGAGAGGCTGGATGCTTCCGTGGCTCATCCTGTGTGGCGTGGCCATTCTCTTCCAGTTTGTCTTCAGTCTCTGGCTCATCGGCGGCTACTACATTTACGTAAGTAGACTCTGTTGGCCAGAAAAGTGTCCTAAATCTAACAATGCTGCATCTTTCAGCTTGAAGCCACCTACGCAAGTCTCGTGAACGCCGTCTGGATGGCCTACAATGTAAGAAACACTTGTAACAATTCTAATTACGCGGGTTTAACACCTTCTTTCTTCCAGATCTACTGCTGGATGTGCGTGTATTCGCAGTATCAGATCTTCGTGGAGCTCCAATCGCCCAACATTGAGCTGCTCATGCCGTAAAAGGAGAAATCCTTTGAGAATCTCACTGATTTTTCACATGAAACCAACGCACCAACATGAATTGCACTCATGTTTGCCCTATTTTTTACACTCAAACATTTCCACGGTCGCAGCAATTGATTGGCGATCGTTTTCATTTATATAGTGTTTAGAGAAAGATATTTAAGTGTGTATCGTCGCATATATTTAGTGCTTAGTCAGTAATGAATAGACTTGAATCTCCTAAATGCCGTCCACAATTTTGTACTCATTCAACATCCAAATGAAATGGGAACAATTTGTTAATCCACATTTTTTATTCTGCAACCTTACAATGGTAGCATTAGTACAAAAATAAGATTTAATGTAGAAAAAAGATATTTTTATGTAACTTCAAAGTTCTTCTTTTTTTTGTACGATTTGTATAGCAAAACATTTGCCATGATTCCTCCTCTGGAGAGACCACAATTGAACACTTCCAAAAAATATATAATAATTTCATTCCCTCTTTGATTTGTGGCGAGGACGAGTCATCGTAAATTGCTTAATATTACAACAAATTCACGTATTGCATTTCATTTTGTATGCAAGAAGACGCAAAAAATGGAAAGGTAATAAAGAGAATTATACCTTTGGAAAGGAAAGAACGAAAATCGCACAACTGAAATGTTAAAAGATATCATTTACATACGCGATGTATTAAAAAAAACGCCCAGCTTAGACTTCATCGCTGTGGCTTAAGTTCACTTCGGTGAGACTCTGATTATCTCTGGAACTGCCGGACGCCACCGGAGACTTGCTGTGAATGCTCTCGGCCGGTATGCGCGGTGACACGGTGAGGATATTGATGGATATCATCAAAGGATACGACAAGTCCTTGTCGAATTGCATCAGAGTCACCTCCTCGTTCTTGTCCAGCGTCAATGTCTTGATTCCCGACGTCTGGCGATGCTTCACCTGGAAATTCTTATTCACCGTGGTGACTGTGACTCTAAAAAGTGGAGGATGATGTCAGAATGGCCGATGAGATCATGGAATTAATTAAATTTACCTGGCGAGAAACTTTCGCTTCACTTGAAGACTGAGAAGTCGCTCATTTTCCGGACGGTGATTTCGCTTAATCGATAAATTTCGTGTGTCCACAATGAACACGAGATCAAGGCCAAAGTTGAATCCTGTCCAGCGCCACTTCTGGAATCCCTCGCTCTGCAGCACTCGACCGCATCGCATGCACAGCTCACCGAATGTCTTCTCGTCGCACTCCATTGGACTGTTGAGCAAGTTCAAGGGGAGTCTCATAAGTGAAGGAGGAAGCGATAAAAATGCAGATTAATATTTCGAGAGAGAGAGAGAGAGAATTACCCATTGTACGTGGACTCATCGAAGCAGAGCAGGGCGTCCCACTGTTGCAGAATCGGCGCGTGAATCCAGTCCTGCGGTATGATATTATCCCTGAGGATAATCTCAATGTCGCGATGGTGGTTGAGTAGGTAATTGAGGCGCAACGCCCTGAATAGCACCGCATACTTCCTTCCCTGGCGCGTCTCCACGAACGGCTGGGACTTGTCCAGGTCATTGTAGAAGGTCTGAATGGTGGTCTTGAGATCCCCGCGCGCCTTGGCCTCCACATCGGGATGGAGTTGGAAGTATATCCAGTTCTTGAGCAGATAGTAGATGGCATACTCAGTCTGCATGACGAACAAATCGGGACTAGATATGAGTTTGTGCAGCAGCTCCAGATTCACTTGCGTTAGCAATTTCATGTGCTTCGTGTAGAAGTTGAGGAAGTTCACTTGCAGCCACTCGAAGGTGGCGCTCTTCACGTTGTTCACGCCATATTGGCACGCCGCCTCGTAATAGGACACCACAGTCTGGAAGGCACAAGGTCAGAGACACAGGATTAGACGCAATGCTCGCGTAAAGGGAGGTGAGGAGAGGGCTTACATTGGGATTGATGGACTCTATCATGACCTCTGAGCACTTCTCAATGAGGCTGTTGAGCTGAAACAGAGCCGCCGTCGCCAATACTGGTATGATCACCTTTCTGTCCAGGGTGATCTCATCGAGATACAGCGAGCCGAAGACCGCATCGAGTGCTGCAAGAGAGTGTGCCGTGAGATCTCTGCCTTTCCGCTCCATTTGTCAATCTCACTCACCTTCGATGCTAATGCTGGGGTCAATGATCTCGATGTTGATAAAATCCCGGTCGGACTCTTTCCACGAGCCCCCAAACATGGAGGAGAAGTAGGCACTTTGGCAGAGGTACACCTTGTGCAGGTGCCACGTCCGTCCCAGACACCGCACAGCCACATCCGACTTGTGCTCCTCCTTGAACATCACCTGATACACATACTGAGCCGTGGTCATCAGCTTCTTCCTGCAAAGCAACGAACACGATATATTGCACAATCCGCGACAGATTACCCAACACACAATCACCTCTTCTGTGGCTGCTCTTCGCATCGCGACTCGTCTGAGCTTTCACTGTGTTTTCGCTTTCTTGTCGCGCCCGCCGTCAAACCAACACCTTCTATGGCACTCTTGAAGCTGCTCAAGTACGCTCCCATCGCGTCCAATCGCTACACAACTGATCGCAGACGGTCTCGTCTGTCTCTCGTCTCAACCTCCGTCATCCACTGCTCTCGCTCAGCTCGGGCACGCAAATAGATCCCCGCGCTTGAGGGCTTCCAGCACACGCCCAAGGCGGGAAGTGTAAACAAATGCTAAAAGTAGGCTTTCAGTGAAAGAGCAAAAAAGCCATGGCGTTTTGCAACAAAGGGCCCCTACCTTTCGATTGATTTATGGCCACTTACGTCGACTTACAGCACTTTCCTTTACTGCCAATTCACTCTGAATTCGACACTCTGTCACTTGATGCGCACAAATTGCATATTCTCGCGATATACTTGACCGTCAAATGGTCAAAATGCGCCCAAAATAAATCGGAAGTCACCAGCAGTGAAAAACAAAACCATGCCTCTCAGCTGTTTTCGAGTGCGAAAGTCCGTTTTCGAGCATGACCAACTGTTATACGCGCGCCCGCCATGGCGTATAACACTCCCATCATGCAACACTAGTCCGCCGGCAAAACGTCAAAACAACGCAATCCATTCTGAATCGTTTCGCGAAAATATCATAATTATCCCATTCAATTTCACCGCAATTGCACGGGAAAGGTGATCATCGCAGAATGACCACTGAGGACTTTTATTTGCGCTACTACGTGGGCCACAAGGGGAAGTTTGGCCATGAGTTCCTCGAGTTTGAGTTTCGTCCCGACGGAAAGCTGAGGTACGCCAACAATTCCAACTACAAGAACGACACGATGATCCGCAAGGAGGCTTATGTCCACCACTCGGTGATGGAGGAACTGAAGAGAATCATTGTGGACTCGGAGATCATGGCTGAGGATGATGCTCTCTGGCCGCCACCGGATCGTGTTGGGAGACAGGCAAGAGCGCCCCATTTCCATTTTAAATCCCTCCCACTAACATTGCCTTGCTTCTCAGGAGCTGGAAATTGTCATTGGCGATGAGCACATCTCCTTCACCACTTCCAAAACCGGATCTTTGGTGGATGTCAATCAATCAAAGGATCCAGAAGGCCTGCGTGGCTTCTACTACCTCGTTCAGGATCTCAAATGCCTGGTGTTCTCCCTCATTGGACTGCACTTCAAGATTAAGCCAATATAAATTATAGCCAGACGTCTGAAAATGAATAAAGATCAAAGAGGTAACTTTTTCAAATGAACTCTCTACCGTAGATTAATTGAGAATTTCTGAAATAAATGAATGCACATAATATGAGTAAAATAATGAAAACAACTTAATGAAATTAATAATAAAAAAAGATGTGCATCGGCCGGGAATCGAACCCGGGCCGCCCGCGTGGCAGGCGAGCATTCTACCACTGAACCACCGATGCTTGATGAGTAATGTAATAAATATCTCATATACGGCACCAAGGTGAAAATAATAGCAAAAATTTACTACATCGATGCATGCGAGCAACTATTGAGAAGAGCAAAAACACACATTCTGGTTATTTGGGGAGCACAAAAAAGAGATGCCAACGGCACGCGGTGTTCCCAAGCGGTCCCCCATCCAAGTACTAACCGCGCCCGACGTCGCTTGACTTCGGTGATCGGACGAGAACCGGTACTTTCAACGTGGTATGGACGTTGGCGAGAGCGCATCAATGAAATTCCTTCCCATTGCGATTTTTCTTTGATTTAATAAATACTGTCTTTCGCTCTCAAGGCTCTTCTCATATATATATAAATTTAAGTAATAGCGATTTGTATAGCTAATGATAACTATTTTATTGGTAATACCACCTTAAAAATCACAATGTGTTGAGGGTGTTGAGCCTGTGAAGAGATTCCCTCGTCAACGGCCATACCACGTTGAAAGTACCGGTTCTCGTCCGATCACCGAAGTCAAGCGACGTCGGGCGCGGTTAGTACTTGGATGGGGGACCGCTTGGGAACACCGCGTGCCGTTGGCATCCTTTTTTGCTCCTCAATGAATAATTCATTCGGTACTTTTCAATAGCTCATGCCAAAATTAAGCAAGTCATTTTTTCATTTCAAGCCCTTATCATACTTTCTTTTGCTCTCGAAACGACTCATGTATAAACGAATTTTATAGTAATTCTTACAAAGAGTTTTAATATATATTTATTTAATTGATAAAACGCCCTTGAAAATCACAGTGTGTTAAGCCAGCGGTGAGATTCCCTCGTCAACGGCCATACCACGTTGAAAGTACCGGTTCTCGTCCGATCACCGAAGTCAAGCGACGTCGGGCGCGGTTAGTACTTGGATGGGGGACCGCTTGGGAACACCGCGTGCCGTTGACATCCCTTTTTTTCCCCTTAAAAGCTTCTCAAAGCTTATTCTGTCAAATGTACAAAATATTTGTTGTATAAAATTTTATCCTTTGATTCCTGGAAGGGTTGAGAAGAAAAAAAAGGATGCCAACGGCACGCGGTGTTCCCAAGCGGTCCCCCATCCAAGTACTAACCGCGCCCGACGTCGCTTGACTTCGGTGATCGGACGAGAACCGGTACTTTCAACGTGGTATGGACGTTGGCGAGAGCACATCAGTTCAATTCCTTCCCTTTCGTCGTTTCGACCAACTTCAGCTGATATTTTCGACAGGTTATGTGTGGTAAACAAAAACACGGCGGGGAAAATGCTTTTTCGTGTTGTCAAGTGTTTCAAATGTAATTTTTATCAGGTAGTATACTTACATTGCATATTTACGAAGAGTAGCTGTTGAACATATTGATGTTTTAGGTGGACAGTGTGAAGAAAGCCAAGAAATGGCAGTGCAAAATGTGCGGAGAGAACCAAACACTTCAGAGGGAGTTTGCAACAGGATCGGCGAAGGATTGCCGGCTTCAGGTGCAGAGCCTTAACATGCAGAAGACAGAGACAGATGACCAGAAGCACGAGTATGCCATGAAGGTGCTCACTGGGGAAATTCAAGTGCCCAAAATTGAGGAAGGAGTGCCGGAAGGTGCTTCTGTGACTGTGGGATCTGGCGTTTGGTCTGCTCTGACAGATTCTGTGGATGAGGGAGAGGAAGAGGGTAGCATCTTTCAGAAGGCTTCCACTGTTAAGACGGTTCTGAATAGCCCAGCGCTCAATACACCTTCTTGGAGAGATTTCTACGGACAGAAGCGTGAATCTGCTAGGGAAAAGCGGGAATTTGAGGAGAATTCCAGGCAATTCTTCTCTCCGCAGAGCTACAGCTATGAGAAGAAGAGCACTCCACTTCCGAAACTACTAGATTACGCACAAATGAAGAGAAGTCGTAAAGGAATGGATTGGAAGTCTCCAAAGCCGCCGACATATGATTTTCAGCCATTGAAGAAGAAATTCAAGGAAGATGAGGATTCTTCGAAGGACAATGCACAGGAAATGCCTTCGTCATCCTCTAAATGGTCGTCGTTTTTTGAGGAAGAGAATTAATAAAGAGCGTTGGTGAATTTAAAAAGGCTCAAATCTACACGAAACTCATACGCGATGGACAATATATCGTAGGCGCAGTCAGTACATCAGTTCAATTCCTTCCTCCTCGACGTTTCAACCGCTGGGACCGTACAGCGCTAAAGCAAAAAACGTTTATTCGATCGACAAGCTGGACAGGTTGTGTGTGGTAAAAAAACACGGCGGGGAAAATGCTTTTTCATGTTGTCAAGTGTTTCCAATGTTGTTTTCTTCAGGAAGTATGGGTAATACAAAGAATAATATACTTACATTGCTATTTACGAGGAGTAGTTGTTAAATATATTGATATTCTAGGTGGACAGTGTGATGCAAGCCAAAAACTGGCAGTGCAAAATGTGCGGAGCTAGCCAAACACTTCAGAGGGAATTTACAACAGGATCGGCGAAGGTTTCCCGGCTTCAGGTGCAGAGCCTTGACAAGCAGAACGCAGAGACAGATAAACACAAGCTCGAATATGCCATGAAGGTGCTCACGGGGGAGTTTCAAGTGCCCAGAATCGAGGAAGGTGCTTCTGTGACTATGGGATCTGGCGTTTGGTCTACTCTGGCAGCTTCTGGAGATGATAGCATCTTTCAGAGGGCTTCCACTTTTAATATGGTTCAGAATAGCTCAGCTTCCTCAGCGCTCAATCCACCTTCTTGGAGAGATTTCTACGGACAGAAGCGTGAATCAGTGAATCGGCAGTTCTTCTCCCCGCAGAGCTACAACACGCAAATGAAGAGAAGTCGTCAAGGATTGGATTGGGACTCTTCACAGCAGACATCAGCTTTTCAGCCATCGCAGAAGAAATTCAAGGAAGATGGGCATTCTTCGAGGGACAATGCACAGGAAATGCCTTCGTCATCTTCTAAATGGTCGTCGTTTTTTGATGCAGAGATGAGTGAATAAAGACCGTTAGTGAATTTAAAAAGTCTCCAATCTACACGGAACTCATACGCGATGGGCGATAAATAGGCATTAAATCGTGGGTGCGGTCAGTCGGGCAATTGTCAGTGTCAGTGAGAAAAATTTTCACGCTATTTTTCAGGTGATTATTCAATAGATTTTCTTGCTAAAGCCTCACAAATCCTGTGAGAAACACTGTCCTGACTCACTCTTGCTCCCCATTTGATCCGCAGGCTGTAGGATTGCTGTGGCAGAATGTTCCGATCGGTGGCGTCTCAGCTCGTGAAAGTGGCTCGTGGCTCCATGGGGCTCACGGTGCCCCGCTTGGGAGCCGTTGCGGCTGTCCGTCAGAGCCACGGAGGCCCCGTGGAGACAGATGAGGAGTTCGATGCTCGCTATGAGGCCTACTTCAACCGGCCCGACATTGATGGCTGGGAAGTCCGGAAGGGAATGAATGACATTCTGGGTATGGATCTGGTGCCGGAGCCCAAGATCATCATTGCCGGTCTGAAGGCGTGCAGGCGCGTGAATGACTACGCGCTGGCCATCAGGTGGCTGGAGGGTGTGATCGACAAGTGCGGCCCGAAGAAGGCTGAGATCTATCCGTATCTCCTGTCCGAGATTCGGCCCACTCTCGACCAGCTGGGCGTGAACACGCCCGAGGAGCTGGGCTACGACACCCCCGAGTTGGCCCTCAAGACCGTCTGGGAGGATTAGAGATTTGTTATGTAATCATCAGCTCGTGAGTGAGGTTATGCGTAGCCAGTTCCAGCCATCAGCGTAAAATGTATTTAAAACTGGGTAATTCACCAAAAATAAATGGTCAAAATTAGGCAATCCATTTGATGGGCTTTCCTGGGATTCACAGTTTGTGCTGTTGCCACGTGCGCAGGATCTCGGCCGCCTTGGCGAGGTTCTCGTCCTTCTTGAAGTAGCAGTAGCGGACGAAGTTCTCGCCGAGGGGCTTGTTTGGCACGCTGTAGAAAGCCGATGGCGGGATGCCTTGCAAGCCCACCTTCTTCGTCATCCACTTGGTGAAGCGATAGTCCTTCTGGGCATCACTCTCGCTCGCCATGTCCACCTTGTCCACTGCGGGAGAGATAATGTTGCACAACGAGCCATTGATAAGCGCTCTCACGATCGCACTTACCCAGAGGCGACCAGTCGGCGATCATGAAGTACCCTCCCTGCGGCAGTGTCGGGTGCATCCCGACCTCTTTCAGGAACTGCGCCATGTAGTCCCTCTTGGTCTGCAGTTCGCCCTTGATGGAGTGAAAGTACGACTCTGGGGACTCCATCCTGGCCAACTCCTTCTCGAATCCCAGCGCCACAGCCTCTTGGATGGGCGTTGAGCACGTGTAAACGCAGTTCTGGTGCACCATCTGGATGTTCTTCATCAAATTCGCCGGCCCATAGGCCCAGCCCAGCTTCCAGCCCGTCACCGAGAAGGTCTTCCCGGCCGATCCCACCGTCAGCGTGCGCTCCCACATCCCGGGCAGCGTGCAGATCCGGATGTGCTCGTACGGCTTGAACACCATCCACTCGTACACCTCATCCGCCACGCACAGGACGTTCCATTTCTTGCACAGGTTCGCAATCACCTCCAGCTCCTGGCGGCTGAACACCTTGCCCAGCGGATTATGCGGTGTGTTGAGGATGATGGCCTTTGTCTTGCTGTTGAACAGGGATTCCAGCTCCTTCTCATCCAGCACCCAATCGCCAGCGCTGATTTCTCCGCCAGTCGTCTTCTGCAGAGCACAATTTTTTGCTTTTTAGTGTCTTTCTAATCGACCTATATTCCATCCTAATTAGATTGCTAATTTGTGGGCTTGGAATTTGATACATTATCATTGCTTTATCTAATGTGAATAAATAGATATGTGGAAATTGCAAATCACTCTGTAAACAAGACGCAATCTTCTTCCTAATAAAGGTCATATTAACCGGAAAACACAGATGGAATATACTGATATCTGAACTATTGTTTCCTCTGCCTTTCCTTAAGTGCAGCGCGAGTAGACAATTTTTGCCATAGACAATAATTTTGATGGAATTTTCCAAGCTACATGGCCAAAAGCGCCAAAAGGAGGTCATAAAACTTTTGCGTCACGCAGAAAATGTTTTTTATACACTTTTGCTGGCAGATCAAGTGGATAAAACAAGTATTTGCGTCTGATTCTTGCCACGCAATTGGTCCATATTCAGCAAACACTTAGAAGAAGGCAAGGGTCAGGCGACTCACCGGTTTCAGTGGAATGAATCGGGGAATGCCTCCCGCGGCCTTCACCATGGGCTCGTAGCAGTCGAAGAAAGGCTCGATGATGATCACCTCGTCCCCGTCATCCACGTGTCCTTGCATGATGCAGAAGAGAGCCTCGTAGGCGCCCACAGTCACCAGCACCTCCGTCTGCTCGTTCAGGTCCCTGCCCACGAGCCCCGAGTAGAGCTTCTTGAGCTGCGTCACGAGCCTGGGATGCCCGAATCCGCGCGTGTACTGCATCAGCATGGGGTTCGACGACGCGACCGTTTGCAGGGCCTCCGTAACATACGAGGGCGGTGGATAGTCCGGGAAGCCCTGGCCCAGATTCAGCGGCTTGTACTGCAGCGCCAGCTGAATGTACTCAACCCTGAAAGAGAGGAGATTAGGACAAGTGCGCAGAAGATGGGCTGGAAATGCTCACCAGACGCTCTCTGTGCTGCCGCGGTAGCGCTTTGGCAGGTCGAACTTGTTGCCGCTCATGGTGCTTGTGCAGAGGTTGCGATCCAACTGGTGAATTCGTGGCACTGTTTGACACGGGCGCAGCAAATCCACTCTCCTCGCCAGCAATCGAGTGAAGGTGCTCATCTGCGGAAGAGAAGCCGCAAGCCACAGTGAGCGATACACAGAGATAAAGGCCACTTGACAGCTATTTTACGAGGCAAATACACATCTGATAGCACTCTGTGATAGTGTTTGGGCATTTAATTGCTGTAAAATTGCTATCATTTGCGGCTTTTCTGGAGGAAATGGCCAGAAAAGTCTCCTCTGACCTCCTTCGAGTGGCCAACAAGAGTGCACAGACGCCCCGGAAAACCCCATTCTCCCCTACGTACGATTAATTATTTGGTAGAATTTGGGATAAATGCAAGGTTCCTATCACAGAGAAGAAGACAAACAGGGGGATTATGTAAGAATTATATGCAAATATTCGCGATAAATGCTTTTTTCGTGTGGAATACATACACGATCACATGGCGCGACAGCTGATTGGCTGGGCACTGCCCTCTGGTGACTGGTGATCATAAGCACACATCACAGCCGATGAACCCAACCAAGTTCATGGCTAAATGTGATTCTGGACAGACACTAGGCGGAAAGCCTTCGTAAAAGTTAAGAGATAGATGAATACACAAAATGTACAGTCATTTTCCGAAACTAGGAAATCCAAAGAAGGGGAGGAAGTGAAACAACTGTAATTATCAACGCAAAAGTATCGGCATTTGCTAGCAATAGCAGTGACTTGTGCCGGAGCTCAGGAGAGCCTAACTCAAGAAACGTCATGTTGTGACACGCAAACAGTCTGTGAACGCGTTTTTCTCAAGAATTATCCTCAATTTCTCTGTGTTTTGCCGTGAAAATGGACGTGACGCCTCTCTTCAAGGCCTGCGTCAAGACGATCCGCCTCAAGAACAAATCCCTGCCCGTGCCGGACAAGAATCGCATCCTGAAGAAGCGGCCTGCCAACTCAGAGCTCGACTTCAATGGCCGGTCGAAGGATATCCGGCACAAAATCACGCAACTGAGGGACTTCCTGGTGGAGAATCGAGCGGCGTACATGAAGTTCGCGTGTCATCTGAAGAACTCCGCTCAGATGACGGACGAGGAGAGGGACTTGATTGACCAGGAGAGCGAGAAGGTGGTGAACTTCTGCACTCAGTTGATTCTGGACTTCCGCCAGGATTGCCGAGGTGCGGAGAAGAGGTCGCCGCAGCAGATGAGGGAGCACATGCAGATTGTCCTGGAGACACTCACGGACTACCTGAAGGCTGTGAATGACATCCACGCGAGGCAGAAGAAGCACAGAGTTCAGAGGGAATTGGAGACTTACAAGTTCATCAAGCTGGAGTCGGACAAGAAGAAGATCCCAGTGGTGCCTTACACACCGCCCAAGGCTCGCGAGGAGATGCGGAGTTCGGAGGATGAGGAGGAGGAGGACGAGGCGTTGCTGGAGCGATCGGACGAGGAGAGGAAGGCGGACTCGTCGAAGGAGAGAAAATCGCTGTCGGGTCGGCTGTCTCTGGACGAGGAGATCGCCCACAATGAGTCCGCCTATGATGAGGGAGGGAAGCTCAGTGCCGAGGACATTCAGATGTTCGAGTCGGAGAACGTGCAGCTGTTCCACGAACTCCAGGGCCTGGCCGAGGAAGTGGAGCAGATTGAGAGGAATGTCGTGGACATTGCCCAGTTGCAGGACATCTTCACTGAGAAGGTATGTGTCTTTGCAGGATTTCATGGTCGATGCTGATCACTTCTGTGCCCTTCCAGGTGACTCTCCAGAAGGCTGACATTGAGAGGATCTCCAACACGGTCGTCGGCACCACGGAGAACGTCAAAGACGCCAATGAGCAGATAAAGCAGGCAATTCAGCGGAATGCCGGACTCAGGGTATGGATACTCTTCTTTCTCCTCGTCATGTCCTTTAGCTTGCTCTTCCTGGACTGGTATAACGACTAATAAATCGTGTAAGCCTGGGAATTTGTCACAAAAATTGCTTATAAACCCAAAAAGCCCGAATTGTGAATGGATTTTAACGACTCTTCGGATTCTGAGGACTTTTCGGCCTCAAATGCCAAAGATCTCCACTCTTGCATAATCTTCCTCAAAGGTGAGAATCTAGTAGGAAAGCTGTGAGATTCTGACTTGATTTACTCGTCCGTCTTAGGCCTTGAGGAACTCGATGAAATTACTCGCTCTCTCGTGATAGAACTCACTGAAAAGCTGAAGCGCTACGAAGCAATTCTCCTTGCAATACAAGAGCTGAAGTCTCGCCACTTTAAAGAATGTAACAAGCATTGAATCTCGATAGAATCCATATAAATGACAAATTAACTGTAATAAGGAGTGATTTTTTCTTTATTGAAACTGAGACAGAAAGCCAAAGCAATTACAAAAGAGGGTCATTGACACCACCAGCCCAGAGAAGTGTTGTGAGATATGCTCCAGTGGAGCCCGCCACCAAGTCCCGCGCTTACAGCTTGAGAACCTCCGACACGGCCGCCACGATGTGGCGAGCAGAGATGCCAAAGAGATCAATGAGGACAGTCGGAGGTCCTGATCTCGGCAACTTCGTCACCGCGAGCTGTTTCACCACCACATTGCGCTGCGTGGACAGCGCCGACATCACCGCCTCGCCCAGGCCACCCTCTTTGTAGTGATCCTCTACGGTGATCACGCGCCCGCCGCACTGCTGGGCATTGGCAATGAGCGCCTCCTTGTCAAGTGGCTTCACGGTGAACGGATCGAGGATGCGCACGTGCACGCCTGTCTTCTCGAGCTCATTGGCCGCATTGATGGCCTCGTAAAGCGTGATGCCAGCGCCCACGATCAGCACCTGATCCTGTTGCGACTTCCTCACGACCTTCGCCTTGCCGACCTGGAACACCTCGTCGTTGCGATAGATCACGGCCGTGTTGGGCCGCGAGGTGCGAATGAAGCAGATGCCCTTCGTGTTGGCGGCCAGCTCCACGGCACGCTCGCAGCTCACGGCATCCGAGGGATAGAAGACAGTGCTGCCGTGCACTGATCGGAATAGGGCGATGTCCTCCAGACCCATCTGGCTGGGCCCATCTTCGCCAATGCTCACGCCGCAGTGCGAGCCCACGAAGTTCACGTTGGTCTGTGAGATCGCGCCCATGCGGATCTGATCGAAGGCACGCGTGAAGAAAGTGGCGAAGGTGGACACGAAGGCCACTGTGCGGTCGCGACAGGCCGCTCCGGTCGCCACCCCCACGAGATTCTGCTCGGCGATGAAGCACTCAATGTAGCGCTCCGGGAAGGCCTTCTTCAGCTTCTCCGAGAACGTGGAGTTCTTCGTGTCGCCGTCCAGGGCGATCACGCGGGCATTGTTGACGGCAATCTTGGCCAAGGCGGTGCCATAGGCCAATCGTGTGGCCACGGTTTCGCCCAGTTTGTAATTAGGCGGCGACGCAAGCTGAATGTTGGAAATATCCACAACCGGAGCGTCATCGAGGAGGGGCTTCTGCGGGGCGATTTGCAGCGGCCCGGCATTGCTGATCAATCCCGCCAGATGCTTAATCACGCGATCAGCCTGATCGCCCAGAGGCTTCCCGTGCCAGTTCTCCAGATCCTCAATGTCAGGGAAGAACTTGCCCTTGAACGTCTTGGCGATCACGGCCGTGGGACGATCAGTGGTGTTGGCGGCCTCGAAGAATGCCTTGCACAACTCCTCAATATCATGTCCATCCACCACGAGTGCGTTGAAGCCGAAGGACTCGAGGCGCTTGCGGTAGATCTCCATCTGGTGCTGAAGTGGCGTGGGATCGGACTGTCCCAGGCGATTCACGTCGAAGATCACGCACAGATTGTTGAGCTTGTAGTGTCCGGCGAAGTGGAGACTCTCCCAGATCGAGCCCTCGGCGGACTCTCCGTCGCCCACCAGCACGTACGTCCTGTACGCCGCCTTGTCGAAGTTCTTGCCCACGTACGCCATGCCGCATCCCACGGCCACGCCCTGGCCCAGCGATCCCGAGCCCACGTCCACGAAGCTGAGTCTGGGCGTGGGATGGCCCTCGAGGTCCGAGTCCACCTTGCGCAGATTCTGCAGCTCCGCCACCGGGAACAGGCCCGCCTCCGCCCAGGCGGCGTACAGAATGGGCGCGGCGTGTCCCTTGGACAGGATGAAGCGATCACTGGACGCGTCGCGTGGCACGTTCACCTTGTAGCGCATCGTGTGGAAGAAGAGCACAGACATGATCTCGGCGATCGACGCACATGACGTCGGGTGCCTGAGGACGAAACAGAGAAAAGCCACGTGAGTAACCGCGCCGCAGTCATTCACAAATCCTTGACCCACACACGCAACTCTTCGCGGTCTTTCGTGCAAGAACATTCTCTGATGTGAATGGATTTTCATGTAAATCTGATCTGTCGGCATTTTTCAACACTCCTCTTATTATGCTTTTATTGCCCCGCCAGAGTGAGAGCAAAATCCACAATTTACGCGCTTACCAAGAGGGTTTATCACTCCGCGACACAAATCGCCTTCACTATCGCCGATAGTGGTTGCAGCGCTGATAAGGCGCGGAAATGGAGTGTAAATTGTTTTTATATACAACCAAGATAGGGAAACTGATTAGTTTGCGATTATATGATTTGAATGGCTCTGATTGGCACACTTTTTAGCTCAAATCATAATCCGCGCTGAATTGCTTCATTGGAAATTAGATTAATTCACATGATTTCTAATCTGGCTTATCAAACACAATAATTTCTGTTGGAAATTTTGCAAAATCAAGTTGATAAGCTCTGCTGATAACATGGTCAACTTAATCATTGCAATCTAAACTGAAAATCGACCCCAAGCAATGAATTTTGCTATTTAAATGATTAAAAAATACGCTTTGGCGTAATATTAATGCTCTTCTTCCTGCTGGAAAATGACAAATTTGCCCTAAAAACAAGCCTGAAGGACTATTTTTGATATTGATATAAACATAAAGATTTTGACCAGTAGAAGAAGGCTGAGTTTTTGGTACAGGAGAGTTAGATTTTCGTACACCATCACGTGTCTTTTTCAAGGCAAATTCAATCTAAATCATTAGAATTGAGAGAAATTAATTAGTTTCTGATGAAAATTCACCTTCAAAGTATTTAAAAACACTTATTTTTGCATGACTGCTCTCATTTCTCAGACTGATAAACCCGTCAATCAGTCACACATTTTACTATAAAGCGATTATATTCTCTATCGACACGACAAGATAATATCACAAAATTTTCCACAATTTTAATAGTCAAACTCTCTTGCATTTATGCAATATTTAAATAGTGAGCGCAAAACGCTCAATTCTGTATGCACAGCTGAGGTCATTTGCAGGTCACCCGCAGACTGTGGCTGCTATTTTCGCCGATCAATTGATCAGCGGAGGCGCATTTTCCAGTGGCATTTTGGCCACTCTTCCAATTGCCAGCAATTGAGAGTGGCCAATTGTGTCGCGCATTCTTATCGGAAAATTCCCCATTATCGGTTGGGCGTGAGAATCGCCACGCTGAATGTGGCTTTGAGGCGAAAAACAGTTAGATAAGTTCTGGATTTTTGCCGGCAAAAAGCGCCCTTTCATCATGCTGTCTCACTCGCACTCGCGCATTGGGAGCTGCTGAAGGTCGCCGGCTGGAGCCCTGAGACGCTGAGAAACCACGTGGCGGCCCCAAATTTGCGTAATTGAGCAGTTTTTTTTGCCGAGATGAAGTGCTTGGCGAGTGATGTAATGGCGTGGATCATGCCACCGCCGAGGAAAGTACGGGGAGAGTGAAATGGGGAGACACATTACTCGGCAAAAATGTCCACTTTATGTAATGGAACCGGAGAGTTTTGTGGACCGCACTCACCCTGATTTGGTCACTTGCGTGGACGTGATGGAGTGAATTCGCAGGCGGTGTGCGATGTCCTTCAACTCCTGCACAGTCTTCGACTCGGGCTTGTGATAGTTGGGCATCTTGGGGCGCTTCTGGGGCACTGAAACACTGCTGATAATCCGCAAATGAGGCGATAAAGAACCTGACCACACGACAGACGGATGCCGACTGTCTCCAGTCGACTGGAATGACCCGCTCGGCTCACACGACATGTGGAAGTTGGGGAGGGGATGGTGCCGATTCTAGCCGGTAGAATGCGCGCTGGACCTCTTCCAGCCACACACTCTCGCTCTCTCCCTCTCGCACAGTTCCCCATCTGTCTGTCTCTCCGATGTGGAGCGCCTGGAAGGACAATTGAAGGCGCGCGAATCCGCGGTTCATTTCCCAGACGCAGCAAACACGTTTTTTTTTATCTCAGCGAATTACTCTCACTTTCACTCTTGTAATGACTTTGATAGACAGTTATCGTTTAGCGAACGCTCACATGATAAATTCAATCAAGCTATTAATCTCGTTTTGCACACAAATGAGCAGCAATGTGACACCGGTTATGTTGATAAGTTCCATGCACTTTTCTATGTATTAGCTTATTATGGAGAGAAGTCGTAGGCAGAATTAATGAATTACACATAATAACAAATAATTGCTAGTCACACGCCTAAATGACATGCATCAACAGAAAATATTAGTATTTCCAATTTGAATGCAAATTTATATTCATGTTTGTCTCTATCACATCACTTTTCGCTTCACTCATTCGAATTGATCGCCTCAAAATGCTCAAAAATGTACATCGGTATAGAAAAATATGCCAGAGTATTGCCAATGTGGGTTTACAGAGTCATCTCAACATATCGCTGAAGAGTGCTCTTCTCGTCGTCATTGAGATGCTGAGCGAACTCCCTGAAGTGCTCGTCCCGACTGAAGTTCTGCAGGAATTTCGTGAGGTTCTCCTCCATGGAGTTCTGGAACATGGGCTCCTGCCGGATGAGCTCCTCCAAGAGAGGATCATTCTTCTCCACTTCCTCTGCAAGAAATGAGAGCATAGACAGTGTTTCTCCTCTCAATTCCCACGCAAATTCACATACCTTCGTATCTGTTGAAGATCCGGCCAGAGAGATAGACTTGCACTTCTTGCGACTGATTGGGATCCTCCTCCTCGTCGTCAGTGGCATCGTCGGATTCCTCTCCCGCCACTTCGTACTCCTGCAGATACACCAGTTCGCCAATAATGAGCTTGAAGATCTTCACGAGAATGGGAATCGACAGCCACTGATCGACTGTTTGCGAGCGCGTGCGCGGCTTGGACGTGATGTGATGCTTCACGTGCTCCTTGATCGTCACCGACGTGATGCGAATGTCCTTCGACGTCACTCCGTACTCGAAGATCTTACACAGCGCCATTATGCTCACCTTCCGCTCGTACGTGCCGTAGAAGTCGGCGTGGCGATTGAGCCAGTTGCCGAACACGAACGCCATGGCGGGCTCTCCCGTGGGTCCGGGAACGGTGCTGAGGAAGTTCAGCACCGCCTCCATTTGCGTGAGGAAGAGATGAGCGAAGGTGAGCAGGAGACTCATGGCGATGCTGAGCGCACTCACGAGCTGCAATTTGCTGATCACACCCTTGAGCAGCAGGTCAATGTTCTCGCCCAGGAAATCGCCCGCCTTCGTGATGAGTGTGATCACGAGTTTCCCCGCGAAGGCCGCAGTAGACTCGTTATTGGTGGGATTGAGCAGCATGGTCGTGACTTGCATGATGTAGTTGAGACCTTCGCCGTTCTTATATTTGAACACCTGTTCCGGTGATACGTGCACGAAGGCGCGCAGACACTCGCCGCCGTTCTGGATCACGGCGGGATCGTCAGAGCGCAGGATGCTGTGCACCATCGCCGGGAAGGCGCTCTCGACTAGACTATCACTCAGCGGAGGCTTGCAGTTCACCACGAGGGTCTGGAGGACCTCCAGCGCGGTGGCGGGTGTGAAGGAGCCCGCCTGTTCCCGCTGCAGATTCAGGATGCTCACGATCGTGGGAATGAGCTTCTCCTGGAGAGGCTGCAAGCAGTAGGAGTTCTGCGACAGTGTCCGCAGAAGATCGTGCACCAGTTCCAGCGTGAAAGGATCGTCGTGATGCTTGAGGAAGACGGCAATAGTGAGTGGAATCATTTTCGCCTGGATGGACGCAGTGAATTGCTGGTCAAAGGAGATCACAGCCTGCAGTGTTTCCAGGATCAAGTTGAGCAGATTCTGCTTTCCCATGCCAGCAAGTGCGAGGATTCCCTCCACGAAGCCATTCAGCTTCGACAGCAGCAGGTTCCTCTTCTCATCTGACGCTCCCTCGAGATTCTCGCAGAAGCAGTGCACCGCCCTGATGGCACTGATGCGCAGGACGATTGGCTTGTCGTCTCCGATGTAGTTGAGCGTGGTGTCCAGCACTTCCGTGAGGAGCTGCATGGTGTACACATTGGACTTGGAGAACTGACTCATGAGCCAGATGCAGCGCCCCGAGAGGAAGGGCCACACGCCGTGGTTCATCAGATTCCGCACCAGATTGAGGTACTCTGACAGATTGAACACATTCTCTCCCTTCTCATCCTGCTCAGCAATCAGGACCTCGTAGTTGCCAACTGTGAGCATGCACGCCTCGTGAATCTTCCACCAGTTCCCATTCCCTGCGTTCTTTTCCGCGTCCGCCACAACGCAGTGCCGCGACAGAGCCTCTGACAGTGACGGCAGCACCTTCATCTCGTACTCCTGCGAAAGGATGAGCAGCACATCCTGGGCGGACACGCGAATGGAGAAGTCTGTGCCCTCCTCGTCGTCATCCTGGACGAAGTTCTCAGGATCGTCAGTCCAGTTCTCGATCTGCTCCTCGGTGATCTGCATGTACACCACCATGATGTAGATGAGGTCCGTGAGCACGCTGTGGATGGTGGACTTGAACTTGCCGGACTCGATGATGCCCTGGATGAAGTCGAACAGCTGCAGGATCATCGAGGAGAAGTTGGACGACTCGTCATCGTCGTCATTGTCCGCGAACGGCGACTCGACGCTCCGATTGACTGAGATCTTCACGTACATGTCCGCCATCTGAGTCATGAGCTGCCAAATGGGCGGCAGGATTGTGCTGATGTGCGGCTGGATGAAGCGCGGCATGTCGCGGATCATGTAACAGAGGACCTTGAGGATGGACTTCTTCATGGAGAAGTTGCTGGTGGGCCCATTGGGCAGCGTGAGGCTGGTGATCATCTTCTCGAGGAACTTGGGCAGCACCGGGTTCAGCATCTCCGCCTGCGCCTGCTTTGACGGGATGTGTGTGTTAATGGCCTTGAGGAGAGCCTTGAATATGTCAACGGCACACGAGCGCGTTGTCACGCTGAAGGCCGAGTCCGCCTCAAAGATTCGACACACCTCCGAGATGATAATGGGCCCCACGTCGGTGATCTGCTGATCCAGGTCATATGTGAACTCCACCAGCACCTGCATGGCACCGTGCACGGAGTCGTCATTGCCCTCCAGGCACTTCACGATTATGTCAAACAACTCGTTCCAGTTGGTTGGCCAATCGTAAGATGCTATCGTGGATATCGTGTAAGCCACCGCCGAGCGGATCTTGCTATTGGAGTCGTACAGTCCGTTGGGCAGGATGTTCTTGATCATCTTCTTCGCCTGGTCGCACGCGGCGATCTGTGTGTTGTCATCCGGACACCAGTGCGCCTCCACGTACTGCTTCAGCATCACCGAAGCCAGTTGGCGTAGGGACAAGTCGAAGGACTGATTCATCACAATCTCTGCCAGATAAACGCCATATCCTGCAAAAAATGCCCAACGAAAGCTCATCAGTCCACTCTCGGTGTCCTCAGAATGCTGAGAAAATACCCACCGTCCGTGAATTTGAGCTGAGCCAGACGCTCCTCTCCGGAACTCCTGATGGACGTGTCTGGATTGAGTATATTGTGCAATTCCTCATAGATTGCCTCTTTTATCTTGTCGGCGTTCTGAAACATGATGCAAGGAAGTGCTTATTGGACGATTAACACATAAATTTGTACACTTTTCACGGATTTTCTCGGGATTTTAAGAGAAACACTCAGGATGTTTACGGCAGACACTATTTGAGGTTATGTCGGTGGCGAGTGTCAAAAGCCGGCGCCTAAAAAAATGAACATGCTTGAAGCACAAAGCATAAGCACGACGAGGGTGATGAGCATGAAGGAGAGTGTGTCTTTGCTAAGAAATATCAGAATCAGAAATGCGCCAATAAAAAACCGTCTTAAGAATTTATTCAACTGATTTTATTTCAAAATTCAATAAAAGAAATGCTGGTTAGAAGTGTGGGCTAAAACTGCTCATTTTCTTCCGTTTTATAACATGAAGCATAAAATTATTAAATTAAATTCTAAACTTCAGAAATGAAGTTGATGAATTTCATTCAATAAAAGTTTTATTTATTTCAGAGAAATTCTCTTTTTGAGATTTCTCACAGAGAAGATTAATTGCGATATGTGCAATTAGTGATAACTTATCACTGTCAACAATCTGTAAGTAATTTAGTAGAAATTGATCCAATGAAATTTTGATAAGTCCGCCCAACACAATAACTGATGAATTGAATGCGCGCTGCTGTGAATAATAATGGCCTTTCAGGTGGGAAAAGTGTATTTGTGTAATATTGGATTGTGTATTTTAGAAATTAATTAAATCCCATCGCGTGGTCCAATCGAAAATTAAATCACAAGCCAATGAAATCAGCCCGATATTTTGGCTAAAATGTATTTAATTGCGCCCCGTGTCACTCCTGGAGCCCCGCGACTGGCTCTTGAAAACAATTTGTGCGACGCCAAATGAATATATTTCGAACACGTTGTCGTGATTTCAATTAATAATTCCTCTGCAGCTATATTCCGCTTTTTTCCGCGCCACTATGCTGTGGTACGCTTTGCCATTTTCCCCCCATCATTGCCTCATTGGAGCAATTTATTTCGAACCGAATTGCACAGTGCGATAAATTGGCTCACAGATAAACTGCAACTGAAAGGACATCGACATATTTATTTTACATAGGAACACCATTCGATAAATTGATGCGAATTTCCAATAGTTAAAGCATTTATTATTGATAGCAAATATTGTATCTGTAACAATACTCTTTTTTTTTGCTCGACTCTCACCGGAGCGATAACAAATGGGGTGATGGAAATGTGATGCTCCATCTTTTTGCACCTCTGTGAATGTATTCTGATGATATGTAGAGAAATGGTTTTGAAATTAAATTGAAAATGAAACGGAAATTGGGTTGGAGAAACCCACCGTCACATGTGAATATCTAAGCTGATTAAATTACAAAATCAGAGGCTCAACTTCGTCATCTGCTCACGATTGCCGTCAACCTCGTCTCTTCCGGAAATACTACACTCTTGAGGATATATAGGAGCAAAATTGAGTGAGTTTATAAGAGGCGGTGTGGAATATTTCTGAAAATTTCACCGTCAGTTTTGTACATATTTCATATTTGAGAGGTTCTCAGAAGTCACCAAAGATGCTTCCGTCTCCCCTAATTTAATCGGCCAGTGTAAATTTCAATTTTAAATTTCATAAGAAGCAATATTAATAATGCTGTGAGGAGAGATGACTACAATTTGGTGAAAAATGCATGGGAGAAGACAAGCGGAGAATAAGTAAACTTCATAAATTTCCTAGATGCTCCAGCATCAATTCATTCTCAGCCACAAAATCCCGTCTCGCGAGGAATCTCAGAGACGCCCGCAGTCACGGAAAGAGGCTTTAGATAAATATTTCATCGATTTTCCCAACTTATTTCTCTGCGTATCTGTATTTTCCCGATATAAAATATTCACAAGAAAAATGACTCTGTGGGAGCGTGAACATTGGGTATATGCCATGAGTATCGTCACCTCATGAGATCACCCCTCCCGAGGCGGGACACCCACCGACCTTCCCACATGTGTTTTGCGGCTACCATCCGCAGAATAAATTCAATTGGCAACAATTTATCTCTCATTCGGCAAAGTGACGCGCGTGGTGGCGGTATTTTGTGGGGCGGAAGAAAATGCCGCGGCTTTTTTGCCACCACAAAAGATCCGTTTCGGATCATATTCATAGAGGGAATCTGTATCAATTGAATTGCAATTTTCTCACAGTTTTTTTGCACGCCCCCAACATGATGTGCTATAAATATTAAATTATAGCTCGCGGGGGAGGAAAGTGGAAAGTGTGAATTCATGAATACATGTGTGGGTTTTAGCTCTATGTGGCAAAATGAAAACATCAAGATCCGCGGGTGTAACCTTTGAACTCGGCTCACATGCCGTATAGAGTCATCTAGTGGTGTGAATGCAATTCAATCCAGTTTCTCAATGACCCTTAAAATCACGCTCTCTGGAAATAGAGGAGAAAATAATCCAATTGCATGATTGCCTTCCGACAATCAATCGGATTTGTTTATGTCTGTTTTCCTTCGAATTATTGCCTCCTTATTCGAGGGATCGGCAACTCTTTTCGCTCCTTCGGGCCACTCACTGAGGCATTCACATGGAATCCATGAATTATAGAGTGGGTGGTTCGAAAGAAATCCAAGAGATTGTTCCCCAGTGCTGAGCAACAATGAATAGATACTTCTTGGAAAAAAGTACACAATATATCCTCAATTATTTACAAACTATACCCATTGAGGAAGTTCAGGGGGTGAATTCGTGAGGCATTTGGGAGGCAAATGAATAATTTCCTCCAATGTGTGTATGCGTCTTTTTGTGGAAGTTTCTAACTAATTCCAGTCAATTATGTAGCTGAAGATGGTTGAGTGTTGATGCGGTATGAATTTCTGGCGTAAATATATGTCCTGCGGTATTTTTGATATTGAGGTTGCGTCTGCACCGTGAGTTGCCTTCCTCAGTGGCTGAGGGCGGTTTGAGTGGGTGGATGGGCTGCAAATATTAGGTACTTGAGCCGGGAGTGCTGCGAAAGGTGTGCCCTATGGCAGTGAATATAGGGAATTCTCTGGGGAGACTTTAAGAATTTCGAAGAAAGGCATCTCTTCCGACCTTTAAGACTCTCAGAGGGGCGCACCAAGATTCCCTCTCACATGTGAACACCATAAGGCATCCCAGCCGCTGTTATTAAATATGTGTTTATAAGAGGCGCACACCCTTTTGAGCCCCATCGACTCCAGCAAGTCGCTCTTTCGCCAAAATGCTGCTCTGCGAGTGTGGGTGGTCTTTGTTCTTCGGCTATATTATTAGGGAGAATGGGGCGTTTTGTGTACTCCACTCTCCGTAATGGGGGCACAATGGTGTGACGAAAAGAAGTCCACATCCAAGAAATTTAAGGGGTGCTTAGATCTGTGGCATCAAAGGATAAATTTATTTGCGAGCAGAGTTGATGACATGGATAATATAGTTTCAGAGAGTCACACTTAAGGAGAAATCAATGAACTTACCTGTGAAGTCATTTTCACTACATAAATCATATCTAAATCACGATGTGAGTGCAAAGAACTTTTATTAGAGCACCACAGCTAATTGAAAAGACTTACATTTTTGCCAGATTATATCGCAAAGTCCATGCAGAATGGCCAAAGAGAGACCGGAACGAATGCCACGAAATAAACGAAACCATGGTGATTCTTTTCAATAAAATCACTTCCTCACACCATCGTCCATTAGCCTTCCGACCATGAGGTTTATCTCGAATCTTATCTTTATCCAAGATAATTCCAACTCACTCTCACACTCGCTCCAGGAGTGGCAACAAAATAGCGAAGAGCGTGACTGAGAGAGAGCTTTGCGCTCATCTTCCGGATGTTTTGTTCGGTGGTGAGTGTCGAAGAAAGGTCCCAATGAGTATTCCTTGTTGTTGAGAAAACAAGCGCCGCGAGGGTGAGGGAAAAAGGGTGGCGTGTTCTGCCTGCGAGGGTGGATTTTCCTCGATATTGTGCGAAAGAAGTGACTGTATTTACATTTAATGGTGAATGCTTGGGTGGATGGGCGAGGGTGGGTTGGAAAATTTCAATTAAAACCATGAAATTTCTGTATTAACATTTCCACACAATATTTTGAAGCCCTATGTACACAATATATTTTCTCAGAATTCTTTCTTTGCTCCATAATTGTCTCACTGGCATCCTTTTTTTTGTTCTTTCTCTCCTCTGGCTGTTTCTCCTTCTCCCACTTCTCGCACATCACTTTCTCTGGCAATATATTACGATTAAAAATACATTTAATTTACAATATTAGGTTACAATTAATTAAGTCTACCCAGTATTCCTTCGTCCTTGCTCATCGTTAATTAATTTAGTAAATATTTACTCAAGTAATCTAAATTCATTTACTCTCTTTTGTATCCTCTTCACTATGGATTCTTCTTCATTGTCATCAAAATTTATGCCTATGTGTATTTACATGTCGTAAATCATGGTTCCACTGTTGAAAAAACCTGTGTTGAAAGAAGGACATCTCAGACTAAGAAATGATTTAGTATAGAAAGAGCGCTGTGGGAACGGAAGATTCGTCTGAGCCCCATTTTTTCACTACTATAGCAGCTTATCTTACACATTGTCGCGATGATTCTTGGGGCCTGAGGTGGATTTTTGTTTGATAATGAAATCAATTGCAATGGTAAATTCAAATTTAGACCCATCACAAGTGAATGGTAGGTCAATTCAGTCTTTTGGTCAACTCTTGAATTCGATAGTGACGCATTTTGTTCCTTTTTCTCTGGACAATATTTCTCCCCACGCCTCGCATGAGATTTGCATCAAATATACATCTATTCTCTTGTCACCAATTGTCTATTCAGCTTCCTGTGGGTGGCCTAAAGTGAATAAATTTTTCATGCATCCCTCGCCGGCCAGTGGGCGAGTCGGAGATCATGAGGGAAATCGCCCACTTTCGGCCTGGGTGGAAGTGTCTTACGTAGAAAATTAGATTTGTTCTGAGGAATCGTGTGGACTCTGCATGAGATGGTCTTGTTACGTCACAGACAGCATTACCATAAGCACCAGGATGAGAGTCATCGACAAGTTTTTCTCGCACTGTGGTGCAGATGATGTCACTGCAGAGGCTGAAGATTCGCCTGAGGAAAATCGATAAGAATAATGTCTTTGGTGACAAAATAATACCCAAGAGTCACGTATGGAACGCTTTTGAATGTTAAAAGCGGATTCAATACAATCATATAACTCCTTTTATAAAATATAGACACTGAAGCTGGTGACAATTGTTAGACGATTCAATTATTAATTCTTCACAGTGCTAGAATATTTAACACATCCTGCAAATGAAGACAAAGCAGTTCTCTTAACTATCTCTGAATCTTAAAGTTTGTTTGTTTATTCTTCTTGAAAGACCGAAAAAAATTCTTTAAATAAAACGCTTCTCTGGATTCTGCAAAACTTTAAACATGATATTTTACGAACATCGCAAATAATGAAGTGTCATATGAAATGAAAGTGTCAAATGACTGGAATGACCTACATATGTACTTCCAAGGATTTATCAGTTGTGTTGTGAGGGATGAGTAAATACTACAGGATATCGTGTGAATTGTCAAATAACAGCACTAGAGTTTCTCTGGCTGTTCTCTATGGAACAGGATGCTGAAATAGCTCGTGGAGTGCAAAATTTGAATAGCATTTGATGACTTTGGGAATCGAGTTTCAAATCGCAAGTTGTACCGTGAATGGCGTAACTTGGCACACGTTGAGTGCCTAAAATGAGAGGAATTAAATTTAATAATACACTTACCATTAATTACGTGCAATGTTACTGTAACTGGAGGACTGTTTGATGGGCTACACGAGTAATTGCCGGAATCTCGTTTCTTTGCACTTTCGATGATTAATGATCCGATCTGGGAATACACAAGATGCGAACGATAATATTTCATTGTTTTCATGCGTACGCTAGCAGGATGGGAGGAGGCCATCTTCCCACCCCTTGTCTTCGTGTGACCCTAGCGGCTCGGCTGAGACGCGGTGTGGGCTTTTGGGGGGAGACAGAGCTCAACCTACCGTACTGTGAACGTCTCCATCCACGTCGGGGGCACCTCGATCTATTTGGGAGCGCCAACCGTGACGATTTTCCGTGAATAGCTGGTGACTTCCATGGTACCAGATTATGTAGGAGGGCGGCTCCAGGGCTCCACGCACAATGCACCGGATGATCTGGGGTATCATTGAGTGGAGCGGTAAGAGATTATATAATGGCTATAGCCTCAGTTTCAAACTTCCTGATTCAATAATTAATCACGATATTATGAAATTGCCCGGAGGGTCGGAAGCTCCACTGATTGTCTTCATGATATGCTAATTTCTCCTTTATTCATCATTCCAAGTATTTGCCCTCATCTTATATACTCGCCCAAACCCTGTCCGCTCTCACATAATCTCCTCAACCTTTCTGGGCTCATCCCCAAGTTTTGCCAGATTTAATTTAAAATTTCGACTCGTTCAATTCTTTTTCCTGATTTATGTACATTTTATGCTATCATATCTCTCAATATGCTTGAGGGACGAGAGGAAATCCCTGCGATTCCCCATAAACTTGCTCCGAATATATGTATATAGCGACGATGTAGTTTTCTATCTCTGTTTCTTCTCTTCCAGCGAGAAAACAACGCAAGTGTTTGTGAAATTGATACGAAACGGAGAATAAATGTATTTGTTCGCCTTCGATGCAGTAAAATATCGAGAAAATTTATACTCTTTTCCATGACATAAATCTTTTATGGAATTAAATATTGTTCCTTTGATTTCCCCCTTCGCAGATTGGAAATGCTTGCCTCAATTTTTTGCAATTCCAACTTTCCCCGGAAAAATTGATTGGGCCTTCGCATTGGAGAATATAGACATTGTGTGCCAAGATTGATTGAATCGAATTGAAATGCTGTAAAATCCCAAAGAAATTGGGTATGAAACCTATTCTAAGGAAGTCTCTGGAGAACTGTGTAATCATCTGTGGAATTCCACGTGAATACTCAGCTGAATGAGTATTTGTGAGAGGCAAAGAATTCTCTCAAACTATCACTGAAAAGTTTACATTATACGTCTGTTTGATTGGTCTGCATTACACTTTAAATCTGTTTGCTGAGACCAAAACAACGCTATATGCTATGAATGGAAATTGGTTGCTATTTAGATAATCGCTTGCACTTTGTCTCAAGAAACACCACCTGTTCTTGCAAACACGGGTGTTAATTCGGTAAAAAGCTCAGTGCTAAAAATGCCACCACTCGCTGTGCCAGACGAAAGCGCAGAGATAGAGCAGACCAATTAAAGAGCATTTAAAGGCGAGTTGTGAGATAATCAGTGGAGTGCACCGGGCGAGAGTATGAATGCATTATCAAGTGGCATCTACGAGCTTACCACAGTACTGCCAGCCTTCACGTAGCGATCTGGGTCACCCACTAGGTCGGTGCGAGGAACTGCAGGAGAATAAATAACATGAGCAGGAGACACTTGCGAATCTGTGTCACATGGCAATTTTGCCGCACTTTTTCACTCTCAGCTACTTTATGTTTTGCCAAGCGAGGAGTGAATTCGTGAAAGAGTTACAAAATGGCCAGAATAATGAAGGTGGACTCCTGGGAAATGCCCTGTTCTGTCTCAGTCAATGTGTTTAAACGACATCTCGAGGGGATGCGCACTCACCCTAGTAACCCCTTAATTCACTCTGTGATAATTCAAATTGTATATGCTTCATTATTTCATATCAAATTGTGACAGTTTGAAACATTATTCAACTCTTTTCTCGCAGCCAAGAGGCAGTTCTTACCACATGATGAAGCGAAGGGAAATTTTATTAAATTTTTGTGTGTGGCAACTTTAGTAAAAATGTGTACACAACTTTTCTCTGCTTTGTGCCACGGGCACGCAAGTAACAATGTGACTTTTGAAAAGCTGCCGGAAGTGATCTCATTTCTTTCTGTGATGGAAATCCTTTTCGACAAATTCAATTACTGTGATTTGCCAATTATGCAAATTGCACAAGTGCTCTCAGGGGAGACATAAAATATGATGAGTGTGTGCTCAATAGCATACACTTAAGGCTATCGAATTCTCAACGATGATTAGAAAGTTAGGAGTACTCGTACGCTAGTCATTTGAATTGGTGGAGTATTCATTAGTTATTCACCTCTCGGTTGATTTCTCCCCAATGAGCATCCCAGCTGTGTGCGTTCCCTCGAGTGCCACAAGACAAATTCCAAGTGGGTGTTGGGGGGTGGGAATTCCCCAAGAAGAGCCTTGTTCTCATCCACCCCAAGAGCAGGGGTTTAGAATTTCTTGCATACATACTATGTGTGTGTGTGTTTTGTGTGCGAATGGCAAAACTGGGGTAAAATTTTGTGCACATAAAGTAGGAAAATTTGCACAATTTTGTGAAAATTGCCCCCCAGTTTATTGCATAAAGTATAATTTTTGATAAAGAATCCCATTCCATGGCAAAAAGGCTCGTGCAGAGTGAAGTTTTCTGCTTATGATGATATACTTTTGGGTGCAAATGAGTTGGGCGGCGGTTCCTATCTCTGCGGGATATTCCTCGGAAAATGTTTATCTGTCGCCCAATTCACAGCACACACTCTCGCCTATCACTCGAGACTCATGGCCATCAACTCACCTACAACATGCAGATGAACCCGTGCACTGATTTTTGGCTCTGTCGACACTTGACACTCGTAGATGCCGGCGTCTCTCGCCTGAACGTATTTGATCTGAAGTGTCCAGAATCCCGTGTGCTCCACGTAGAATGATTGAAATCTCTCATCGGCGATGAATTTCACCCTGCGGGTTGGAAAATGGAAATGTGCAATTGAATTGTGAACTCGGCGGGAGATTCAAGCGGAGATATTCAAAGTATTCTGCGTGCCAGAAATGTTTAGTGAATGCTGAGTGTGCGAAATTATTAGAGAGATTTCGATAAAGCAACAGGGAAATTCAATAATTTTCCTATTTTTATAAGAGCACGAGGAACATTATAAGAAAATGTATATTTGTTTTATAATTGTGCGAGGAAATTCAATATTTGCCTTTCCCTCAGTGTGTAAACACAGAAATATCGCTGAGATACTGAAATTTCGTACCAGCAAAGATTTCATGTGCAAAAATGCAGAAAACGCTCGTTTTAATGGAATTTTTCATATCGTGAAGTTAAATATGACCCATCCAAACTCCTAGACAGGTGAATGACCCTCCAAATATTTTCGCAAATTAAAATTGTAAAGTTCTTTTTTTCCCTTTTTCTCCTACTTCTATTTTTATGTACTGAGAGTTCCATTAGATGGAGCTTGGAAATTTCTCTGGAACAGCATTCTTCGAGATTTAATATCACTCTGCTGGATACTTCATATTGTTTATTCGCAGCATGATATTTTCCTTAACACTGCAAGCACCGGAAAATATTTTATCAATATTAAATGATTTAGCGTTTAATAGTTCTTATATTTCGAAGATTGCTCAATTAGTCTAAATTGAACAGTATTTATTTGATTATACATATTAAATGAGAAAGTCTTCCGTTTTAAAACAATACAACGACGGTTGTTACAGTGTTGATGATTAATATTATTCCCACGCTCTCTGAGAATTTAAAATAAAATAAAATCAAGTCTCTGCGGTCACGCGATACAATTACAGTATAGAAAATATGTGTTTTCAAGAAAATGAATGAGAAACCCACGCAATTTGACAGGATAATTTTTGCTGAATGCCCTCAAAAGGAGCCCTCTCATCCCTCATCGAAGCCTCCCGCATGACATTGGCAGTGGGATGAGCTTTATCAAATATATTAATGGAGAAATCCATTAAAAAGAGTCTCTTTCTATTACGACATTCAGGCGAGTGCCTTTTATCTGGTGCTTTCACACGGCAAAAATTACACAAAAACTTCTCAAAGATACGCCATGTCTCGCTGGAAAATTCGCGAAAATGGGGGAAAAAGTGACACAAAAGTACGAGATGATATACCTCATACTCCAATTTTAATTATTCATGTCTGTGTCCCTTGTAACTTTGTTACTCTTATCCACATGCAGAGACATTTATAGAACACGATGTCCCGCTTTAGCTCTCTCACCTCCTCTGTCTCTCTCTTCCGTGTGATATCTATCTGCAAAATATGTTATTATGACGGTGGTTGGACCTTCGAGGGTGTAGCGCAGTTGTTCAAAATTTTCACATTTCTCCCTCTCATCCAGCTTCCTTTTCACACACTCACCGTCGTTCCCCTTCGAGTCCAACCATTGCAATAAAATGAGAATAAAAATAATAAAATACTTTTTGTTCTCCTCTCAAAGGCAATGCTGGAGCCTCTCAGTAAATAACAACCACCCACTCTGTACTGTGGATTTTTTTCCCGGACGTCTGCGGAAAAAAACAGCTCTGTCCTAACGACTGTGAGTGAAGGTAATGGTGAAAAAATTTTCGGTTGAAACTAACAAAAAAAATGTTAATTTGATATAGTCCCCCCTTTCAGGGCACATAAAAATTTATTATTCATGTTGCCATTATTGTCACACCGAAAGCTACCCATTGAGCTTTTGGGTGAAGCTGTTCCTGGACGATAAGACCGGCCAAAAATTCCAAATATCCACATATTCGTTTCCGCATTTTTATGAAAGTAGCAGTTTTGGCAAATTTAGCACAAAATTCCTTGAATAACGACGCCTGAAGTGGACTTTACTGGTTTCAATTCTCAAATTACTTTTTATTATTATTCAGTTTTATGATGATGACTTTCAACAACACACAATGTGAGGTAAATGACTGTAAAACATTGATTTTTCGTATGTCATAATTTTCTTCAAAAGCTGTCTTTTGGATAAACGTTTTTCCCTTCTTTATGTAAATGTTATGTAACGCCTTTTAATGAAAGTATAGTGTGTGTGTTACCTGAAACGCCATGACTTCCAAATTTAAATTCAAAGTTGGTGTGTATAAAGTTTCTACAAACTTATTATATTTAATAGGATTAAAGTGAACATATATTCCAGAGCTCATCTTTATAGCTGGGATTGCAGTTCATAATCAAAAAGATTAACCCAACCAATGAATATCAATGAGATGGCTTATGTCACATACGGCGAATTAGTTGTTTCTAACTCTTTGTGGTGTATTTGGACGATTTAATGTGGGAGTTTATGTGAGCAATTCAAGAGTGTGCTCAACCTTTTTAGGATGCAAAGTGTTTCATTATAGAATGGTGGGGCGCATGATTTCTAATTTGAGAAATGATCCCGAAATAAATATGTCAAGGGGACAGAGGTCAGGATACGGATGAAAGGTACCAAGAATAGTTTGAGGGCCGTGCTTAAAATGTTCGGATCATACTTGATGAAGGTTGAGAGGAAATATGCGAAGCGTTTTTGTACGGTAACAAGGAAAATCCTTCGGCGTGAATGTACATGGCGTGGGTTGTGAGTCCAAGAATGTTTTGCGACAAGGATTTGCGACGGAATCATTCACCAGTGAGTTAACCTCCGCTCGCAGTGTTGGGTATATTTAGAGACTCCGCAGAGTTCCGTGTGTGTGCGGAGAGTGACTCCAAGTTCGCAGGCACACTGCAGACGGAAATTCTTGTTTTGCTGGGAAATAGTTCTGACAGGTCGTACGTTTTCGAGCTGGATGCCGGAAGACGGTGACCGGAGGGGGTGGGGGGAAGGTGGGCGAGCTGGGGATTAGTGAATGACTCGCATTGTTCAGTTTGGGCTTCTCTCGCACACCATTTTGTTCATCGGCACATTAGGAGAGCGGTGGAAAATTCAAATCCCACCCCCGCAACTGCCCAGCTGGTGTGTTCCGTTCCGGCGAATTTTCCCACTGGAGGTGACTTTGAGGGGGGCTGCGCTGCCCACTCGGGCGCTCACAGTGACCAGGTGGGTGGCCTATCTGCACCGGAAGATCTGCGCCGACCCACGCTCTGCTGAGCAGTTGCGGAATAGCGTTTATCGATGGCGTGAGTAAGTGGCCGAGGCCACAAGTGATACGCTTATGGCCAGGACATGTTATGAATAAATTTTCCAAGGTTGCCCAGACTAAATGGCACGACCCTCTGTGTGTGTCTTGCACTCCGGTAGTCGCTGATGTCCGGAGCACAATAGTCGAAATATTTGTGGGCGATGAGGTGTTGGGCGCAATTAGTGCGGCTGGAAGTGAAAAACGTCTTAATTACCTGTCAACAGCGAGAATGTGATCATCCCGGACACGAACCCATGACACTGATTTGTTGCCCAGTTGCTTCACCTGGAATGAAATGAAATGCCCTTACAGAATAATTCAAAAGGTGTTCGCTTCCTCTTCATCTCTCCCACGCAATATCAGTGGCACACACACAGGGCGCGAGGATGTTCACCAGGTGGGGGTGGGGGCGGTTTGTTTGACGAGCGAGAACACCTTTCTGACGGTGGGTGTTGGCAATAAATTAAAATAAATTGCCATATAGTGAATAGTAATTCAAGTCAAGGCAATAAAACGAGAGTGTGAATAAAATTTTCTCCATGTGTAAATCATTATAACTTTTGGCAGTAATTGAGAAAATAAGTCTGACGTCCAGCACACGCAACCGACACCTCAGAGCTCACGTAACATGTTGGACCCCCTCGTATTAGGGCAGGTAAACAACTTTTCGTGTGACGGCGCTGCCAAATCGATTTAGTTCCATATAATCGTGATTTACTTCCTCGGTACGTCGCGATTGCTGACGTCCTATCAGTTGAATGGCATAAAGTGAAATAAGACATGATATGGAAATTGCAGTGGGTTTGGGGTGTGTGTGTGTGTTTTTTATTATCCAAAAATAAATCCCTTGTGTGTTCACCAAACTTTCCCACCGTGAAATATGCAGGAGCATACACCCATATTTTATGTTTTCCATTTTGGGCATACAGTCTAGGAAAACAGGCTGAATGATCAATAAAGTTGTGTCAAAAATATATTCTCAAGAATATGGATTATACACTCAGACGAAAGCTTCTCACGCTTCGGGAGATATGAAGAATGAGGACATTTTCATACAATGAGCTTTTGCGTCGTAAAGGGAAGGAGAGAGCTTTTGGCAATGGTTTGCATTTTATGTGGGTTTTAGGTGAGGATTTGATATTTGATTTTAGAGGATTTCATTAGAGGAAGAGACCAGCAAATCTGGCTATACTTTAAACTGCCCTTGAGGCGTGAAAAAGTCGCAAAAGTGGATGCTGTATCTGTCCAAAAGCGCCAGCGGTTCGGTGATGAATTCGTCCTTTCTCTGAGTGTGACAACCACCCTCGGTCAGTGTCCGGATATGTCGTAAACGTGAGCTAGTATGCCTCTGGCTCCGAAAGTATAAATGTGTCATATTCGGTGGGTGTTTGTCGATGGGGTCACAGGGATGAATCGGCCGGAGAAGAAGCGAGCGACAACCTGGCGCCCGCATTGTGTGCCTCTTCGTGGTCTTCTTTATGGACTTAACACAATGTAAATTTGCACAATCTGAATTCCCATCTGGCGACCACGAGAACGACTTCCAAATTTACGATTCATTGCCCTCAACAGTGTGTCATATATATATTTTCACATCCCGTGGAGGCACGGACTCACCCGGATGTCTCCTCTCTGGCTCGCAAATGTGATTTACATGCTCCCAAAGTCAGGGAGAGTTATCCCATTTCGTAGGGGTTTTAAGAAATAAAGTTTATAGTTATTTATAAAGCCATCTCGTATCGCTTTTGTTCAATTGCTCCACTTTCATTTCTTTTCTCTACCACATTCCGGCCGCTCTTTCAGCGGTGGAACCAATAAAATTGCGGCTGAGTATGTCCCATTAAGGAAAATAAAGCAAAGAAAGAAGAAAAGAGTTGTATTTATGGCGAAAGGAGCATTTTTATGACAATTCCGCTTATATAATGCACACAATATAGAAAAGTTTGTTTTATATAGGTCACATATTGAGGAAATCATAAATTTTTCTCTTCACCTGCTTATTTATGACGCTACATTGAATTACACACACGCTGCCTCACGGTTCCCCTCAATTTCATTTCAAGTGGTATTCCAATTGTACAAACAGAAGGTGAATTTCCACCGCACTTTGCATACTTGTTGGTACTGCAGATCCTCTCTAAAAACTTCATCTCCCCCACGGTAAACAATTGAATGATAGTGCAGAGCTTCCCTCATACGAGTCAATGCACATCTCCGCAGTGGTGTACAATATTTATTGTTTTCTCTTGGATACACTTGATGTGATGCTGGAGATGGAAAGGGACAAGCGAGAGGACAAGTTGCTGAGGGAAGGGAGACAAGTAAATATTTATGCCAATAAAATTTATTCTCTCAATGTGGGAGTAAAAGCATCCAACGACAACCGAATGCACACGTAATAGGATTGCAAGATTACTTATGAGTGTGTGTATACAGTGGGGAATGCGCCCGGAAGCTTTTAATATAGCGTTATGGGAGAAGTTCAGAAAATCATGGTGGAGTGTCTTGCACAGTGAAACAAGCATCAATCCTCCACACTATTTGTTGAAATAGAATTAATCCCACTCCATGTTGCATTTGTTCGGCATGCTGAACAATTTTTCAGCGAACGAAAGGTGATTTGAGACGCAAAAGGTGAAATTATTACCAAGTCAAATACATCATTACACATATTTATTGTTATGAGAATCTAAAGAAGTTTGTAATGTCAGAAGAATTAAATATAAATAGGCTGAAGATAGAATAAACTGAGAAATTGCCTATTTCCAGCTTTAAATACTCTAAATAGCAGATCCGAATTTTCCGGCCATGAGCTCAATTTTACCCAATCGATGGCAGTTTACTTATTCATGAGCTGTAATGTCGTCCTATTTGACTGATTAAATACAATCAAATTAGGACTCTTCAGAGCCTTACACTCAACGTTTGTCCTCGAGAGTAAAGGATTTTCGAAAGCCTCCATTTTCAAGGAGCTGAGAACAATTTGACGCACATTTTCTCATACATAATTTAGAAGGAGATTATTTTGTACATACTTTAATGAGTGAAGAAAAAAATGGGGGCCTCCAAATTTATACCGTGATTTCAAGACTTTTCAATTTATACACATTGAATTTGTAAGAGCGATCCACATTATATACACACGCTCTCAAGTGTGCTGATGGCAGTCATATTGATGGGGAAATGGCCAGACGGGGAGTGGATGAAATTTGAAAAATTGTTTGAAGAAGGGAAGAAAAAAATAGTTAAATGGAGTTTGAAGACATGAATTTGTGGAAATGGGCGTTTCTCTGACGGCTATTTGATTTTTCCCATCCATGTTGCATGTCATGAATATTGATTGAAGCCAGAGTTGGCAATAAGTCACATAAGACTGGGAGGAATTAATTTGGCAGAAATAGGGTCTCTCAATGGCCGGGTATTTTCTCTCATATCAGGAGTCGGAGTTGGCAATCTAACTCCAACATCCATATGCACGTTTTATATGGCTCCCACTGCTATAAATAAGTTAGGGAAGAAGGCGAGGAAATCCTCGAAAGTTTTCTAGTTCCTGTGACTTTTTCCTTCAAACATTTTATTCATGATTCACGAGGAGCTTGTTTTGTGCTGTGACTTGATCAACTTTTGCATTATTTGTAACTCCTGAGAATGCTGAATTTCGCCCTCCTGTTCTACATTTCGTTAGTTTTTATGCTCTCCACCATCATTTTTTCCTTCCTCCCTCTCGCGCCGCTCGTCACATGAGTCGAGAACGGGAAAAGCCCAAAGTTTCCCACCAGGACTCATCAATGACTGAAGATATATAGTGAACATGTGCAGATGTGGAGAAATGTCTCTCTCCCGCAGACTGACAAATTTCCACAGGCGCAACCACATCGGGCAACTTCTTAACTTTACCATACTGTAAAAAGTTTCTCTGATACCTTGCAGGGCAGGTAAGCGTGAGTGCCAATTTGAGTTGTGACGTTGAACACACCGTGTCCATCCAGGTAGGGTCCCGTGAAGAAGCCATTGCTGGACGTGAGCTTCGAGTGGATCAGCGAGGACGATATACTGGCCAGGACACTCTCCATTCCCACTGCAAGAAGAGGTAGAAAAAAAGGGAGAAGAATTAAATTCAGATAAATATCCCTCCACTCAGCTCATTCTCTACGTCTCATTCGATTTATCTTATATCTCAGTTAGACCTCCATCAACGGCAATAAAAGAGATTCTGACTACATCGAGCATAAAAATAAAGTTTCGTGTACAATTAACGGAGAAAAGGGCACGGGTCGGAGTGTGGGGGGAGAAAGGGAAAATGGGAAAACAAGACGATGGCAAGACAATTTATAGGTCCTAAAAGATTGTTTGTGTGCGTTCCACAAGTTTCTCCTCCAAGAACATCATAAAGTTGCCACACCACTCATTCTCACTGTGTCACCCCCACAAGGCATCGGCAATGTAAAACACACTTAGGGGACAACTCCTACTACACCACAGGGCGTTTAATTTATCTAATTCACGTGATGTCCTTCTGAAATCATCAAGTGTTTCAATTCAACCCTTTGCTTTCTCATCGATTTTCCCGAAGACACGACGGAATGTGGCTTCTTATTCCACAATGCAGCTAATTCAATACGTCTTCTAATCGTTTTTAATAATTATACGATATTTTAGTCAATTCGACGAAGCTCGCTGGAGCTCTGCGGAAGATAATAACGTGCTTTCGCAGAACCTTCTATTCCTCTTTGCCTCACTTTCCAGCGCGCGGCACCTGTGGCTGCGCTAATCTCGCGGGAATTGCCAGAAATCGAGTGGGAAATATGCAAAAGTTCACTCATGTGCATCATCTCGATGCGATGCTGCGTTCTCGATTACCGCAATTACACGCCCCGCGCTCAATGCTGCGCCACAAGACTCAAATAAAATTGCCGCCACCCTTCGCGGCATTCCGTCCCACCACCCACTGTCGCCTGGTGCTCCGTCGACAAAGTTTCACGCCCCGGGCATGAACTAAAGTGAAATTCCAAATTGTCCTAATTGTGGTTTCCGCGAGTGACATATGTGGTTGAATTAAGAGCAGAATCGCACCACTCGCGCGCTCTTCCAAATTATAATGTGATATTATAAAATTTATGGCACGCCGCATTCTAACCAATTCGTGCCGAAGTGCGTCTCTAATTGGTCCGTGCGCGATTTGCGCTGCGGCGCCCATTTAAATTGTCCAAACAAAATGAGTAATTGCACGGCGAAATTGAATCAAAATATTGCAATGCGAGTGAATTTGTTGCCACTTTTGGCTATATTGTTCTCACCCCGGCCAGACGACGGAGGACAGAGAGCGCGCGTGAGAATGGCGCACCAAATCTGTCGCCGCGAGGCTTCAGTCAATATTTTATTTACATCACCAGCGGCAAATTGAGCAGACGTTCATTTGGATGGGCTGGGCGGTGGTTGCAATTTGGATGATTGGTGGGTGGATCAACTGAGGGGTGATTGCTATATTGCATTGCCAGGCGTGATCGAATGCGAGCATTTGGCGAGAATGGTGTCGAAAATCAATGAGCAGCGCTGTTTGGGGAATGTAAATGGGGGAGCCGTAAATAGAAAAATGGGGATAAGCCACGCAGATTATCGGTAGCGATGATTCTCTTGTTTGCTGCTCTGGAATATGTGCAAATGAGGCGCGATATTGAGGGCGGGAAAGCGGAAAAGATCATCTACAAATTTATATTTTACTTCCTGAATTTTTTATTAAACTCTTGTCAGCGCTTAGTCAATAAAAATCAGGGTAGTTGTTAACATTGCGTCGTGCCGAAAGTTCATAGTGTGATTGGGAATTTTCAGGGAGATCACAATAGTTGTGATTAACAGGAATCGGACGCAAAAAGAGGGTGAAATGGGGAATGAAAAAGGTGGTTGGCTGTTCTGGTCCATGTTATCTTTGCATTATAAATGGGAATTTCGATAATAGGGTGGTTTTGTGTGCCGGAATTGCCCAGCATTCGGGTGGCTTCCGTAATGACCAAATAATGGCTAGAATGTCCCTAACGCCGCAACCCCAAACTACGGCCGTTCGCCGAAACACGGAGAACTTCTCTCGGCGACTTTCCCCAGTTCGGGAGGAGCGACAGCCCAACCCGTGGAAATGTTAATGCCGAGAGGAGGGCGAAACACCAAACGATGGACCATGGAAGGCAGCGGCGTCATCATCGTTCTCGCTTATCTCTCTGCTGTATCGATTTTGTGATTACACCGTAACCATTAAACACAATCCCCGAAATCGGTGCGGGGCGGGCGTAATAGTTCACATGGGACGAGGTGGATGGATCTCCTCTAAATGTTGCTTTTTAAATTTATAGCTCCCAGCCACCCTCAAATCTCCTTTTGGTGTCTCGTGCGACAGAACAATTCCCCCTGCGACACCCTCACGACACTCTGCAGTGTTATAAATTGTATTCAATTTGATGAAATGCACTTGTGCTCATGTGTGGACTGATGCCACCCCATATTGAGCATGTCTCCCGGTACGATGCAATAAAAGCCGTATTTATCTCTTGGAAATCTCAAGTTGTAACATTTTTATTTGCGAAATGGGGAACATAAATGGAATCTCATATAATGCCACACAAACTCCACCATCCATGCCACGGCTGTGATGCTCCCGAGTGCGAGGTATTACAGGGAAAAACCACCCCGTCGACGACGCTCCTGATCCGACGCCGCCGAGGATAGATCGACAAAGTATAAAAGTTGTACATCGTGACGGCCACCTTTCCCCCGCAGTCTCTGCACTCCTGTCACGTACACCTGCCACACCGACACGTGTGGCCCGGCGAGCAGTGCCACCCGCTCCACCACCCGCGGTGGCTTTTGTTTGGCCCGGAGGGGTGCTTCTCGCAGAGTGCCACCACTTTCGACACGACTTGAGTCAATTCTCGCCCTCAGCGACCCACTGCACGGGAGGGGCGTGTCAGTTCATGTCGCGAAGCACTAAAATTCACGGTCTGGAGTAGGTCACGTGAATTCCTCTCATTTGAGATATGGCTTGACACGGGGAAGGGGAGAACATACTGCTCAAAAACTACGTATTTCAATTCAATTAGCTTTAATAACGGCTTAAGGTGCACTATCACGGACATTTTGGACTTCAAACGACTTTCTGGGGTGAAATTATATTTGTGCTATGATTCATAGTCTTATCAGTAACAATTAATATCGACTTGAGGTTTGAAAGTGGGAAAAGTCGTGAAAAAAGTTAAATTATAGACATCTTCAAGGGCGTTTTTTTTTGTTCTTGATAAAACACATGGATTTTCATAATGAATAATTGCCTAATGTAGTGTTCTTTGTGATAATAAATTCCAATTACTGCGTGCTACAATAGACTTTGTTGTGATTTAATACCGAGAACTCCTGTTGAACGAGATCAAAGTAAATTCACTTATCTCACACAAGATATACTGCTATGTTTAATTATGCATATGAAAGGAATTTCATTAGACACTGCAAATAGTAAACTCGATTGCAATCTGTGTTGTGAAATACATTTTCACCAATATTCAATTACACACAATTTATCAATTTAGGGTGATACATAAATCACAAAGTTAATAAACATCGAGAATGATTGATTTGTTGATCTGATGATAAAAATATGTGAAATTTAAATTTTGTCAAAAATGGGGATGTGAATTAGCCGACTGAGCAACCCCCGGACTGCACAGGCGGCAAGTAAACATTGAGGTGAAGGGGTGTATTAGATGGACAGAGTTAGAAGCTCAGCAAGGTAGGCAAAATGATGTTGGGGAAAGCAATTTTCTCCACTTGATTTTCTCCCTCGCATTCAATTCACGGGAGTTAGTGAAAGTTTTCCCTCAAGTGCTCTGGGAACAAGGAGCTGGTGTAGCGGCAAAAAAGCACAGTAAATGCGTTGAAGCAGCAGAAGAAAGTTAGTCTCCTCTCAATTTAGCAGAGAGCTTTTTTCTCGCATCGCGTTGCTGAAAAATTTTTCCCGTGGCAAAAATGTAATTTAATTCCCAACTCTACAGGCCACACGCAGTCGAGGTGACACGGGCGATGACAGACTATGGGAAAGGAAATACTTTTGGGTGTTCGGAGAGAATATTTTCTTTATGAATTTCGAGGGTGGAGTGCGTGAGGATGGGTGGAATGTTGTTCGGCACTTTCAACCCTTCGCACCCGGTGACAAATAACTTTTGTGTCACAATCGAAATTTGTTTATCAAATTTCGACTTTCCCCGAACAGAGAGTTCAAAATTGTGCGTTGCGATTGAGAGGCGCGCCACTCGAGGGTGGGTCAGGTTTTGTGTGTGTGACGGAGAGGCAAATTGAAAGCTACGGAAATGGTGAGACATTCTGAGGTGGCGGTAATCGCTGGGGAGTTGTATACGTTTTGAATAAATTTAGAATTCATTTTGGTCGGGAGCAGGTCTGTTCACTTTGCTCACCGTTATGGGGGTGATTTTTGTGCTCTCATCGCCAGAGCACGTAACAGGGCGAATCTTAAAAAGTGCAACCAGAGCGTGGTTGAAGTCTTCGCATAGACGGCATGGAGTGTGTCCATCGCAACTTTCAAAATCAACCCTGTGTGTACAAAAATAGGCTGGAAATATGTTGGAAGTACTTTCCTTGGCTGGGAGGGAAAAAAAGAAAACGCCCTCGTCTATCTTGATTATGTCCCCGGAGACTTTATGAGATGGAAACACATTTTCTCGACTTACATTTCAAGCTCAATGTTGCTGGTTAATCAGACTTAAAATTAATGGGATCTGCTATTCCCTGAAACATGGGCTCAGATGAAATTAAAAGTGATGCCTCTCGAGGAAAAGGTAAAGGAAATAGACATGGACATCACTTCGTCCTGTCTTCTTGTCAGATATTGTAACTTGCGTTATCTTGTATGTTGCGACACAAAATTAGTTCATCGCATTCAGGCTTAATGATTCAAATAATGAAATCCCCCATCGCACAAACGAGGTAATGACTAAGCCGAAAAAATGGCCAAATCCTCTTTGGAAACTTTTCCAATTTCGCTGTAAACATCTGACAGAATGCAGCCCTTCGCAATCCCCAGGAGAATCCCCACAGGAACTTGCGGGAGAATCAGTCGAGTCAGACGTTTGTTCAAGAGATTACAAAAATATTGTATAAATCATTCTCAGCGGGAAGAAGTATCGCGCTAACGATGAGAAATGCTTTGTTTACCGCTCCTCAGTCACTCAAGATTCCACGGAAACACCGCAATTTAGGGCCAGCCATGGATCACTCGCGCCTGGCCAACTCCCGACAGACTGCATGCCACAGACACCGCCGCTTCCTCCTTGGCTTCCGCCAACCATTTGTCACTGCGTCCGCCGCTGAACGGCTCCCGCGGAGCACTTGGCTCTGCCCGCAAACCGCCACTTGAGTCATCAGCCACCGTAATTAATGATGTCGCACGTCGACTCCATCGACGTCTCGGCGGCTGTCGCGCGCGCTTCCGGGAGGAGACGGCCGATCTGCAATGGCATCGCGGAGGCGTCAAGCTCGCGGCCCTCCAAAGCCACCAATCAGACACGCCATGCTGGCGAAATGCATCGCGGATCCGCAGCTGGCGCTCAAGCCACAGGGCATTCATGTCAGGATCGTTCCACTTCATGACACTCACCGCTGCCGAGCAGACAAGCGCGCACGCGATGTCGAAGAGAACACTCGAAGCAGGAGCCGAGCTCCCCAGCACTGCACCTAATCGGATCAAGGAGACACACTGGGAATGCATCACGTGCACAAGACTGGAAGCACTGATGATTTAGATATAAAACCCCAGCAATTTGTCCACAAGGAAGCTCAAGCCTTTGACGTGGCAGCTCAAAAGGTCCCACAGAGACTCTTTCAATTTGCAAAGTGCACAAAATCGAGTGGAAGATTCTCCAATTCATCGTTTCTTTTCAGCGCCCCTGGAATTAATTGCGCGAATCTGTGCATCCAACGCCCAGGCAATTCAGTCACCTCCTCGCCATCCTTTGTCCTCCCTCTCCATCCCAACCCCACTCCACAAGATCCGTCAGCCACTTTTTATGACCTCAGATAATTCCACGGACGCCACACGAGTTGATAATTTTTTACTGCCGCAGCCATCCATAAAATCCCCGCCAGCCCCGAAATCCCCCGCGAAGCGCTGATTGGGCTCTCGCCCACGGCCCGCAGATCCCCAATCGAAGACGGAGGCACTCAGGCATCTGTCATGAAATGATTTCCCGCAAACTCATGCATAAATTATCCGCTGGGGAGTCGCGTAGCCCCCGGAATTCGCTTCCTCGGCGCCTCCAATTGGGCCACAATGAGTGGCGATTTGAGAAAATTGAATCGGCACAAAAGTTGAGGAATTTGATGAGAAAATAATCTAATTGCCATTTAATTTCTGACTCCTTCGCCACCACGACTCGTCGGGCGTCTTTCCTGCCGCCGCTGCCCGCCAAATCAAGCGCCTGCCATTCGGGTCACGCAGCCGATATAAATTCGGGTGAGTTGAACAAATTGGAGGCGCTTCCATGTGAAATCTGTATCGAAAGGCCGTAAAGGCGCTTTATGACTGACCCGGACGTGCCAGGTAACTGACATCCCGCCGTGCCCGTCTTCGAGCGCCCCTTCGGCGCTCCGCCGCCCGATCTTCTCCCCTTCGAAACGAACTGCGACGTAATTTAATTAGTTGAAAGTCTCTCCTTTGATGCCACGTATCTCGGCGTCCCATCACGAACCCGAGGCCCATAATCGCAAGATGAACGGCTGCGGAGTCCCGCAGTCGCAGGCCAGAGATGAGCAGATTTCCCGGGTCACGTCCACAGCCTTCGGATCGCCCGCTTTGCAGCCGCCAGGATCAGATAGTGCATTCCGCACTGCTCGCTCACGGATAATGTCTTTTTAATTGTGCACCTCCTCGACGGCACCTTTTAATTCCGAGGACTTCCGGTGCGCGATTCTCTCGCCGCTGCGCGTCGATGCAATAATTTATCTCCTTCATTTATGATTTATGGCGCGTCCCCGTTTCCATTTTTCATTTCCCACCCGAGAAAAACTGCCGCGGTGCCGGAGTTTTATCTCGCCAAGAAGAGATTCGCCTCTTCTTAAGAGCTCGCACTCCATTGAAATGAATTCATATTGTTCACGTCTGCTCCTGACGTACTTTATGGAATTCCGTGCCACCCACTCGCTCTCCAGGTCGACAGATGGAGCGTGCAGCCGAGCTGGGATTGAGAAACGGAGATCATTCAAACATGTTTCCTTATGGATTTCCTCGCGTCGATTCCTGCTCATCGCGCGCTGGTCACCACAAGCAGAATTCCATCTGCTCTCGTCGACTGGAAGTCCACCTGCCCGACTTTGGCCACAGACGGAGAGAAGAGGATTCGCAAATTCCCGCCCGAAAGCAGAGGCAGCACTTAATTTCCTCACCGCTCTCGAATTTCCGGGAATTGTGGCGTGAAGCCAATGAATCATCGGAGAGAGTCTTGCAAATTATCAGATGTGCAGAGCGGAAATTCTTGCTGCATTCTCGGAATAGTGGGAAGCCTTCCGGTCTGTTTCTCGGTGCCAGAAAGAAGGAATTATTGGGCTAGGCGTAAATCTCTCTTGATTGCCAGTAAAGACCCAAAAATCCACAAAGGAGATATTTTACTACCGCGTTCGCTTTCATATCACACAGTTCAGTAGTTCAGTGGCGTCGTGAGTTCGGAATTACAGGCGGTTTTCCATAACCTGAACCAACAATCTGCTGCGCCACTGGAATTTCCCAAGGAGGCGCGCATGAAGGCGAATTACCGTGGCTGAAGAATGTACTCGAGAGAGGCTCAGTGACACTGCTCATCATCGTCAGGAAGCTCCTCAAATATTGACAGAATTTATCGACGATGAAGGCCTATTCTTGCCATTGTTTGGCGTCGAATTTCACTCGACGATACATTTCACCAGGGATTTCATCTTGGCCAACACCGGATTAATTATGTTCCTCGGGCCGTGAAGGCAAGTGAGCGGAGTGGATTTCGGCGGGAAATGAGGGAGGATCGATTACGTGAAAACATGCAGAGTCCGTCGGGGGAATAATTAAAGTGGGCAAAGCTGCACAATGAAGCTTCTGCAGCCAACGACTCTCTCACTTCGAGAGCTCATTGTTCTTCGCAGAAGAGACCACAAAAGACTACGTCCACTTCCCGTTCTGCAGCCGGAATGCTGAATGCTGTGGACAGGGACAATGGTGTCCACAAGCCAATTCGGTGCTCCACATCGGCAGCATCCCAGTTTGCGAGCTTCTTTCTCTGGCAAAACAAGAGTTCGGTGAAAGCAGAGACAACAAACACGTTCAGAGGACGCATCGCAGGAGCAGGAACAACAACGGCATTCGGGCGAGAGTTCCGGGTTAAATGGCTCCAATTAGGAGCGTGAGGAAACGCTTTTGACATGCACTTCCCTGTTTCTTCCGCCCACAACATCGTTCTTCGTCGAAATCCTCCTCAGGCATGACAAACGAGGTGCGCCAAACACTTCAATTCAAAGGTCCTTCTCACCACGGAATCAGAGAGAAACTTTTGAGTATCGAAGTTCAGCGAAGGATTCGCCCAAGAAAAGATTTCGTGTGCGGAAGAGAATCTCTTCCGCAACAGGAACACACGTTCCGAGCAAATTGTCTTCTGAAGAGCATCTAAACTCGGGCGAGCCAAATTATTTGTGCAGTTAGTTAGTGGGAAAAGTGCAAATTGAGTTTCCCGATATTTAAGCCGAAGCTGTAGGAATTTCTCCCTTGAATGACTCACTCAGCGGAAGAACGCTTCCCTAATGAGATTCGGTGTTGGGATCGTTGAGAGACACTCAATTAATCCATCGTCACATCAATGGAAATTAATGAATTGTTAGTGTTTTCCTCGATAAAGGCGAACTACTCAAAGTTTCCCACGCAGATTTATCGGTGTTTCCTCCTTCGAGAGCCCGAAGTGTGAAGTTTTGATAAAATTACGAATAAATCGACCTTCCGCGCGAATAATTTCTGAATTTGCAAATCCCCACCGAATCGAGGAATTTATAGGGAAGCGATTTGCTGAGAGATCCTGCAAACTGGTTAAACTGCTCGGCAGGCGCGCAGCAAATCGATTCCGTATTCACTCCAATTTATTTTCCAATCTCATCGCGAAAATCTATTTACATTTTCTGCGACTGCGACAGAGTTTCCGAAGGATCTCCGCAGCTATCCTGAAAACTCAGTGGCCAGACTCACCATGGCAGAAGAACAGGATGATTGTGATGATTCGGCCGCGGCGGAACAGAAGGTGAGTCATTGTGCTGATGATGATTCCTCTTCTTCGGCTGATCCTGAAAACACACGCCAATTCGCGTCAATGCCGCGAGCGATAATGAGTCGATGCGCGAATCATTTCAGCCCGAGGCGCCGAAGCCCATCGCATGAGCCGTTGGCCGGAATCCGAGGAATCCGGCGAGGTAGAGGTCGCCTGCGGATGCTGAGCTGATGCTGAACATCAAAGGAATTCGGGAGGAGAGGGAGGAAAACGGCAATATTTGCACTCGGAATTTCCAAGGTGGAGTTTCTGCGACAAACGCAAGAATTCCCCCGCGGCCCAGCCTCACGTGTGAGATGCAAAAAGCGCGAGCACGAGAGGAAACGAGTCTGCGATGAAAAGGGCGCCAGATTCTCGCTCAAACACTGCAGTTTGCCAAGCGTTGAGGGAAAATGGCAAATTTGCTTTCTCGTCAAGCTCACTTTTCCCTCTGTTTGACTCTGTGTTGGCGGGCAAAAGAACATCCAAGAGCCGAGGGTCGAACGGACCCGAATCGGAATCATCGGACTTTAATTGATTCCTAATCGAGCGCATAAATTCTTCCGTGATTTCCTCTGCAGCGACTCAAGAATCGAATGCTTCGGGGGTGAAAAATGGGTCAGCAAAATCGGCCTCGCCTCTTCTAATTTATTTCTCTGTTTGTTTCCACGGAATGCATTTTATCTTCAGCCCAATGGCAAAAAAGAATCCCGAAATCTGCTGATTCATCTTCTCAGATTCCCGGAAATATCGAATTCAACAAATTCTGAAAATCGCCGTGAAATGAACTTCTAGGAAACCATATTTATTTTGGAATATTTGTTGTGAGAAAGTTTTCATGGAATGATTTCCTTTCGCACATTGAAAGACGTGAGCGAGATACTTTCCTTATTCATTAGCATTCGCAAGTTTATTCCTCATCTGATGAGGTAATTTGTATGCAGGCTATTCGGCGGGGAGACGAATGGTCTCAGAGTGCAACATTTGCCACATCTGAGCTAATGAAGTCTGAAAGTCGCTGCTTTCGTGCCACGCCGGAGCACAGAAGGCCGGGCCAAGACGAGCTCAGGCTCACAAAAGGAGAATCCGAAGCAATTTCTGTCAATGCTTGGCAGCGAAATGGGAGCGAGCGAATGAATGGGAGCTCATTCGACTGTTGTGGGGTGGAAATAAAAGCGCCTCGAATTAATTGGACTGAATCCTGACGCGGGGGCGAATGGTGTCGATCCTCGGAGAGCCCCAGGATTTTGACACGGTGTTAATTCCCGGGATTCCGCGTGAAAATAAACAAACTCCCGCCAAACGGAGGCCAGATTCGGGGGGAGCTTCCAAGGTCGCCTGCAAGATCTCGCGGAATCTGTCTTTGAGGGATGAGACAAGGATTTGGCAGATTCTCACTCCAGACGCCTCGGGCTGTTTTCACGCTCGGCGCCGAGAAGTCTTCAGTCACCTTCTACTTTCCCATAATAATTGGCCAAGCGTGGCCCACAATTTGCACCAACTTCACTCTCTGTTCGGCCAAATCGTACGTTTCATTAACACTCGTGTCACTTCCCCGAAAGCTCCGCCGGAGGATATCAATTACGCCCTCGCCGGTGTCACTGACACGCCACTCCGGGCAGGCGACCGACTGGCTTTCGATTCAGCAGCCCTCAGGACCGTCTGTCTCTGCGCGATTCACGGATCCGCACGCACTTGGCTTCCTGGGACGCGGCTATCAATCACTCTCTCGGATCTGCACTCGCGGCGAACACGACGCTCGGGCTCGGGGCTTCCGCTGGCGCTGGAGGTGCAACTGCGAGGACGGCGGACACTCGTCTGAGGCGCCCAACGTTTTCGCGGAGCGTCCGTGGCTGCCGTGCGTGCGCCGCGCAGGGGAAGGAGTTACGTAAGGACACGTCGTCGGACTCGCCAGGGGAAGTTCGTGTGGGGATGCGAAGGTGGAGCACAAGCTGCGCGTGCGCCTCCCCGCCACTCAGTGGACTGACGAGGGCGCGAAATTTGTCGCGGATTGTAGGTCAGGAAGCTCGCTCTGCCTCTGGATCTGAAGAGTGAGTGTCTCCTCAGGAGAGATGCAGTGTCCAGAAAGGGAGGCGTAGTAATCAAAGTAGGCACTGATCTCTCATCTTTCACTGCGAGATGAGCTTTGTATTGTTGACGCTTTCATCTTTGTGGGCGAATTCCGTCTGCCGTCAGACATCAATCCTCTGCAGCCCCAATCAATCCGCCCTAATTGAACACAAGTCAGCAAGGACAATCTCGTAATTTCATTGGGCGATGCACTTCGGAATTAGTTGAAACTTGATTCGCATGCGAGACAAAAGCGCGGGCAAAAGCTCATGTTGCACACGACGATGAGGAACGGACGGAAAGTGAGAGACAATCCTCCGGGCGAGATCATTAGGCGACTTCAGTACAATCACGGCTTCTTGTTGGCAACTTTTGCCCCCTTTCTCGAGCACGTCGCGTGCTTTTGCACCGCAGCAAACTTTCAGCACCGCCGAAGGGTTAACGAGGCCATTGTCTCTGACTGCAACTTTGGGCCAATTTGGCGGCCAAGCGTCGTCGCGAAGGCGCCACGGCGCTCTCGCCCGCAGCTGCCTTGCCAAGTGATCCTGGCACTTAATAAGGACTTTGTTGGGAACTCTTCGGGTCCGTTCTGGCCTGTGTCGCGGGTCAGAAACTTGTGGCCGAGGAAGTTTGCGTGGCATGCAGATGAAGCGCGGCCGAGACCGAGTGGGCGGAAGGGCGCCTCGTCAACAGTCTTAATTACGTGCGACGAACCGAGGACCTCTGCGAGAGCTGCGGAATGGGGGCCAATGCCACCCGTCAATCCCGTCAGAGTGAAATCGACACCCACTCACAAAGGGATCTGGAATCGATGTCTGTATGTGACAGGGAGGATAATGCAAAGGGGATGATTGTGTGCGAAGATTCACTTCTCCTCCCCTCATCGTCGCTCAGATTGGAGACACCACTGGGGATCATTTTAATGGGTCTCGCAGTGATTCCAGGTAAATGCGACGATGCTATCACTGACAGCACGGTATGAAGGTAATACCACAAAATGTTAGCTAAGATAAAGTCAAACACACGAGGATCATGTTGGATGCACGGAAATTCTTGTGTGTGATAGATTGCTTTATAATTGACACCATTATGGATTTTAGATACGCCATTGGCAATTGCTTGTATCAATAAAATATAACGTGCTTCTTACCGAATTGGCATCTTTACTCATATCTCTATGATTCCCATACACATTTACGTGTTATTTACGAAAAATACATTAGGAGAAAACAGAATTTTTTCTCAGTAAGGTGTAAATATTGTGATATAACACCCAATACAAAAGAATCGTAGAATTTACTGTATATCTGCGCACGGCATTAGCAGAATCTATTCGGTTAAAGCAAAAATCCATACAAAGCCGACCAGAGACTTTCATTTAAGTGATCAAAGGTAAACAGAAAAGTGGAAGGCAGAAAGAGAGATGTGAATCTATGCAATTTCCTCTCAATAATAACCATGGATGAAATCTCCTCGGCGTTTACTCAAGAATATATCGCACAGTCATTCTTCGATGAAGAAGTGTGTCTTTCAACGACCCAGCTTCCGTCTGTTTCGCCACCAGGGTGAGACGATTCTCATGAGGGAGCATCATCTTTTATTTAGTATGGCACAATCTGAGAGTGGTGTCTTTTGAAATTCTTCCCGCCACTCCGGAGGGATGGTATTTCAATGGCCCCAGCGCTTCAGGATTTAGTATGTGTGGTGCCTTGGAGCCAGGCAGTGGAAAAAAATCACCATCTCGTTTTATGGAAATCGCGTAATTAATCTCTTTCATTCATGATTTATGGAGCAGTCCCATTTCTCTCGCTTTTAATAACAATAATTTTCACAAGTGTATTCACTTCTCATTTTTATCTTGCCAAGAAGGAGACACCCTGTCGCCCTTCACCTCCCCGCCCCCGTCCAGATGCTCTCAATTTGGATGGCAGAGCGCCCTATTTGGGGGTGTGAGTCCAAAAGGGATGATGCCGCTTTCGAAGCGCTGAATTCGAATGAATCTGATGGTATTGTTCACTTCTGTTCTTGACATGCTTTATGTGTCCCACTTCCACATCCTGCTATTGTTACTTTTCAACTAAATATTACACGGAACTGACGTAATCGCTTTCAACAATAAGATTCCAGATTTGCACACAATTTGAGAGTAAGTACAACACTCTTTTGTATAATGGCATGGAAGAGTCAGCGAAACGTATACCTTGCGATACCGATTCAATGGCACTCACATATATTATTCGCATATCTATTGGGGCAGGTGATCGGGGCGCAAGGGGAGCAGCACAGTCCTCGGTGAGTGGGAACAGAGAAAAGATTGCGACACAATATTGTGCAAAGTTTCGATAAACTTAGCACCCTCTTCTGCTGGCATTAGAAATTAGCTCTCACAAGTCTGCCGAAGGGTGGCTCTCGGCGCGCGGGGAACGGAGAAAACAAAGGGAGCAACAAGAATACACCCACCCCAGCTCCCATTCAACTTGACATATAGCATTTACTGTCGGGGTGCGTGAAAGCCTACGACGAGACCGCAAAGCAAGCACTTTTTCTCCGCTCCGATTGTGACGGTGATACGCCAGCGAATAGCCCAGAAGAATGCCACTCTGGCCAATTTGGCCCCCATGGAGCTTCTCCAAGTGCTTCCGACGCCCACTGCCACCGTCGAGCCCAGAGTGGTTGTTTTGTAAATTAGCCAAACGGGAAAACATTGGTATTTACTCGACAACAAGGTCGACAGTTTTCACTTCAGCTCGACCGACAAATGAATATTTATTAGGGCTGCCTCACCACTCATTCGATAGATTTCCACTGATTCTCCAGCAGCATTCCGGTCTCTGAGTGGGAGCAGAAAGAGGCTGAAAATTTCTGCAATGTTCGCCATCTTTCTGGAATTTTGATCAATTCGCCCACACAATATTTGTTCAGCCGAACATGGCAAATTAGGTCGATTATGTATCAGATATATTGAGCACTTTATCCATTTAAATTTATTATTTTTGCTATATCTGCGGATCATTTTTATTTAAATTGCAAATTACATTGAAAATCACAATATCGATTAATTTAATCACCTGCCTACAAATTTCAAACGCCAACAGTCACACTTGAAAAGCAATATATTTTAGTATTAAATTAACCAGAACTTTGTATTGACAATATTGTTTGCAATTTTGGTGGATTTTTCTGATAAAATTTCATATGAGTTCCAGAAGTAAACAAATATTTTAATTGCTTTTTCATATCTGAACATATTGCACTTTTTCTCTAACATAAAAAAAACATAATAACAACAGTCATCGCATTTTAACAGCCCGTTTAAAACATCGCAATACTCTCAAATTTGCTTCTAATACATAAAATCAAGCACAAGATTGAGGTGTTTCTGAATTATTTACATCTTCACCAGAATAATAAATATTAAAATCAATCCGACCATATTTTCCCAGATATTTTCTAAGAAAAAGCACAGAATTTCTTGCGGCTTTCCAGCCTCTTCTCTTTCACCAATGCGATTTTATCCATTCTGCGTGTCGAAATTTATTCAACTGTCTTGCTGAGTGGTGAGAGGCCGAAGCTGATGCCAAAAACTTGTGGAATTAAGGAACTTTGCACGAGAAAAACAAACTTTAGCCTCTACAATGGGGCGACAATAGCGAAAATGTCATTTTATTGAGGGCACGTGTGATGGTGCGTGACTGTCGGGCTTAAAACACAGAAGCGACCGCTGAGATCAAACCACAAAAAGTGAATCTGAAGGAAATCTTGGATGATGAAGAAACAATTGATATGCGGTATTTGAATTTGGCATATGTATATAGAAACTTTTGTAAACTAGGTCAATGTGGGGATGTTTGAATTATTTAAAGATTTCATTTTAAAGTTTGCGCTGAAATGGCATTTGTTTCTCACGCGCAAGAAAATGCGTTTGTATTGTGAAAAAGCCATTCGCGCGACAAAGTTTTGCCTTTAGGGCGTCGATGATCGTTTTGGAGTCTCTTAACTTGAATTTCTGAAAGAGGAAACCTTTCAATTCATGGCATCTCACTGGCAATATATTAAGTGAAACCGATAAAATTTTATATCAATAGGGAATTTTCTGAGAAATTTCCCATACTCAGATGTCTTCCCTCTGTACTTTATGGGATGTTTCCCCTCGATTTTCGCTCACGTGAAACACATCCTCTGTATACATTATGCCACAGTGTTTTCTCAGCCATCTGACAAAGATGTGATGGGCTGAAGGAGTAGCCGAGAATGGAGGCGGAACTCCAGTGGCGGCGGATGGGTAAATTGAAGCTGTCAGGTACCGCAATTAATTATTTACTCCACTGTAACAGGTGTTGACGATCTAAAGGGTCTCTTAATCCAGAGGCGATGGAGTTGTCACGGCCACAGAGTCTATCTCTGAGCTATTTGACAGTTGAATCTTATCCCGATAGTTGGAAATGTACTCGAAATCAACTGTCTCGAATGACATTCTTCTAATCCGTCCAGAGATTGCCAGCGAGGGATTTGTTGTCAATGGTAGCCTTCATTATTGCGTCGTTTCCTGCATTGTCCTCTCCTCGTGAATGCATCCCGAAGACCAGCAGGCAATTTTGATTATCGCCCAGGGAGAGCATTTGAATTTCAATATCAATTCACATGGTGGACACTTGATGAAATGCTGTTGACGCTTTTCACAGTCACACAAACTGTATTTATAAGCAGTTTT